TATAACCTGTGGTACTCTGAAAACCTGATAGCTTGACAATTAGTGTGAAACCATTTTTTACAATAAGAACACAGAAGGCCGTGTTGATTACATTTGACTGGCTTATCACAGTTCCCACAAGGGAACTTATATTTTCGACCGTCAACTATAATTTTCGGATCATCACTAGATTTTGTCAAACTTTCACTTAATTCAATACCCTTCTTACAAATTGAAGATAATTCGCCCAGTCTTTCATGTTCACCTTGGATGGTCTGAAGGCTGGTTTCAGTCGTGACCTCTGTTTGACTGCACTGAAATCCAAAGATCTCCCAGAAACAGCTTCGGCGTAGGACTTTACGGGGCTGCTTTTTTCCTCATCAGAATGAAGACTCTGGTTTTCTCGGTAGATGGCTTGATGCCGCCTTGCTCCAGGTTCACTGCCTGTAACTTGATCGGACGACCGTTGAGTCCAGCCATGGCCTCGTGTTGTCGATTGGTCAGCACTGTTGATGAGGTGTTTCAGGTTGCCTGCCAAGATTCGTTGACCGGCTCTGTTGAGGTGAACGCCATCACGCCCGAGATGCTGCTCGCTGATATCATTGTTGATGATGAGGCCCCATCTGTTCTCGCTGGCTGCCAACTCCATCAGATAGTTGATCTCATCAACCCGCTTCTTGTCCGCTTCACTCTCCCCTCTACGATGGATGATCGTAGAGACTGAGACGTTAAACCCCTCGGCAGCAACAGACTTGCCGAGGTCTGTGATTTGGTGGCAAACTTCACCAGCACCCTCAGAGATGTTGTTGGTGCCAGCGTGGATGATCAGTTCTCCCTCTGGCTTGAGAAACTCGCAAGGTGAAGAGGTGAAGATGTCTCTCACTTTTGCACCGGGAATAGAGACGCACTTCACGTTCTTGATGCGGGAGAGATGTCTTCCGTCAATGTGTTTAATCATGGAATCACCGACCACAATTACATCTCGTTTGTTACGGATCACACTATGTCGGTGGCGGTATCCCTCTATCTGCTCATGGTATGTTGGTGAAGTAGAAGTAATACTAGTAGGTGTTGACAAAGATCGGCCTGAGCTGTCATCAGTTGCGTCGCTGTCAACAGTTGCGTCGCTGTCATCAGTTGCGTCATCAGAGAGAACTTCAGGATGGGTGATGTTGGTTTTGGAGAACAACTTCAGGTGCTTGGCCTTGTATTCATGAAGTTGATCTTTCATTGGCATTGATACACTCTTGGCACTGTTGTCTGATTTCGTGTTATCGGATAATATTTCAAACCGGTTATGCGTTGCAATTGTCGGGAAATATTTGGTGGTAGGCCTAGATACTTGTTGTTGTGCCTTCAGATTCTCTACATACAGAGTTCGACTGACATGACTAACGACTGACCCCCTGTGCCCAAAAATAGACTTAGTGATAAACTTAGCTATACGTGGCGGTACCAAGCAAGCTAATACTGTACTTCAATCACACAAACGAGACCGAACACAGAATTACATTACTAGTAAGAGTTTCATTTCTAAAATAATTGTAATATAATCTCATTTCTAAAATCAAGCGATTTTTTTTTTACACGATTGATAAGAATATAGTGTTTTCATATTTTCTTTGTAAAAGTTATGTTGTATTTTTTATTTGTGGAAAAATATTATTATTTCGAACATATTTGTTTCTTTTGTTTTGAGTGGAAAAATATTTATAAATAAACTAAAAACAAAAATTACTCCAAATGGCCAAATATCGGTCCGTTTGGAATTGGTGTAGAGTCGGTTTTGCGGTGTAGATGGGATAGGATGGCAATGAGACTGAGATTATTATGAGAAATTGTGAAAAAAAATGTATATGTATGCTTCCCAGTCAACCTGCTACTCCTATGCACTTTAAGTTTAGTATCCAGGAAGAAACGATAACGTAGGCATATATAGAATAACTTATAAACAGTTTCATCACACAAAAAGAAAAAAAATCATCGATGAAAAAAAGAATTATGATTTTTTTATATATTGAATCGTGACCAGTGATGGTATTGTAGGACTATTTTCTTCCAAGTCTTTGTAAGTACCATTATTACCCCCCCCCCCCCCAAAGTCCCACCTTCCGAGTTTTCCCACTTGTTCCACTGCCCATAATTATAGCATATACATTGATCTCTGGATCGTAGGACGGACACTATTTCTCTATAGGGCGTGGCAGCTAAACGTTACCCGTCAAAAACACACCATGGATTCAGGGAAAGAGGGCGTGGCAGCTAAAAGTAAAAACAAACTTTGGAGGATCAACTTGTTGTTTAGACCTCTTCTGGGCATGGGCCTATACGTCTTTGATTAGAGTTCTGTTATCTGCTCGTAAATATTGTTTCAGGATTTTGTAAGAAAACCTAGTAGATTGTTGGTAGAACCATGGAGCTGTAAAGTAGAACTATATACAGGTTTTGATACAAATTGATCTTTGCAACCCGGCCCCCCCCCCCCCCCACTCAGAGGTCGGAATGACCGCATGCGTGTTGCCAAAATGTCCGGTAAAGGGGTACTTTTCGTGCGACAAAGTCCGGCCCGAGAATTGTAAAAAAAGGGGTGTATTTGACTTTTCACCCGGAGATTTCTTTAAAAAGGGGGTGTTTTTCTTTTTTTCTCTCATCTCTTTGGACTCCTGAGAAATTATTCCGAATTAAGGGGGGTACATTGAGCATTTTTCCTGATTTAGGGGGGTCTCCAAGGCAGGAAAAGCACGCGAAAAGCCCGCGAAAGGGGGGTTCGGAAATGTTGGCAGTCCTCAGATAGGGGGTGCTTTCAAAAAAAGGGTACGAGCATATGCGTACCCTGAATAACACTGAGTGGGGGGGGGGGGGGCCGGGCTTTGCAACGCTTGAATTCACAGTGAGCAGCGCGCGGATGAGCTTAAAGGTAATACAAAGTTTTGGTAAGGGGGTCATAAATTTGGTTTAAATGAATAATTATATTGGAAGCATTTGCGATCCTACAATATTCAGTGATCGTTGTCGCGGTTGAAATCGAGTCTAAAGTTATGAAATTGTAAATAATAAACTCTTTATGTTGTATAGCTCCCTCTCAAGGTCAAGGTAATAATTAAGCTATAAAACAATGTTTCTTGACTGAAATCGACTGATTTGCTATTCCCGTTTGGAAATTATTATCACAACTACATATTCTGAGAATTTCATGGTCGCAGCTACCATTGTACGGCCGTAGGCGCTATTTGAAATTTATCAAAATTTACCGGGAGCACCGGTAAATTTTTATATTCGATTTCTCTCGAAAACAGAAGTGTTTTAGGGGCTAAATTTTCTAGTGCTTATAATACATCCACAGGGGCATCCAAATATATCAAAATTGTAAAGAATCACTATCTACCTAACTTTCGAAATTTCCCAAAACTTTGTATTACCTTTAAATTCAATGAGCAATGACCTCCATGCAGGATCCAGGTACGCCGGCAATCAATAGAGGGGTCAGTTAGGGGTGTGTTGTCCAAGGGATTACATAACCGTGAGTCGTACGCATTTCATATATTTATTCAGTATGTTTGCACCCCCAAACCAGGAGTGGTTCTAGATTTTTTTTTTTTTTTTTTTTTGGGGGGGGGGGTTGATCCACCGCCCCCTCTTATCGATTTTTAACTGGTTGGCCAATAAGTATTCAGAGTCTTTGATTGGGAAATATAACTGTATGCTAGTAAGGTCCTTTAAGTACCCTACTTAAAATAAATATATATTATATAGACTATATATTTCATACAAAAATTATTTCATGCAATATTTTAAAGACCCATTGCACTACTTATAGCTACTTGCGCCCTCTATAATATCAAACAATGCCTAAGCGGGGGCCGTTTGTCCCCCATGGTCCTCTTTTTCTTAAGTTAATAGAGAGCTGATTTGACGATGAGATAACCCCCTGCCATTGACCATGCAGCTGCTATATTCTAATCCCTCCTGAAAATCGCGCAGACCGTTATTTCGACTCAACATACCAATACAAATACAAGACTGTCAACTTTGGGGAAATGCTTGGAGGGAGATCGTATGCATTTTTTTTTTTTTGCTTAACGGGAGGGGGGGGGGGTATTGGAAGGGGGTAGTGACTAGTGAGCCTTCCCCCTCCCCCCGTGGATCTCCACTTGTTTTAAAAATTCACAATCCTTCACTGTGGCGAGACACAGTCTCCCCCCTCCCTTAGCTAACTACAATGGTACATCAACTCATCTCCGCAGTGGCGGATCCGAGGGGGGGGGGGGGCTGCCCCCCCCCCTTCTGGGAAAAAAACGTTTTTTTGGGGGGTCGGTGCACATTTTTAAATTTTCGAGGACCAAAAACAAACAAAAAGTGCTCACTACCCCCCCCCCCCCCCCAAATGAGCGACTTTTCGGCCGGCACGATTTTCAAGTTTTCGGGAGCAAAAAAAAAAAAAAAAAATTGGGCCCCCTCCCCTAAGAAATCCTGGATCCGCGCCTGCATCTCCGCCCTCCGAGACGCTAGAGAAAATCTACATTTAATGTAGATTTTCTCTAGCGTCTATCCTATACATACGACAATGATGATTGAGGTGTGTAAACTGTTTTTAAGCAGGCGTGTAGCCAGGGGGGACGGTGGCCCCCCCCCCAAAAAAAACAAAAAAAAACAAAACAAAAAAGAGAGAGAAGAAAACAAAAAGAGGACGCAGGAGGAAAAAGGAGCAGACAATTGAATATAGACACATTTTTAATATTCAGACAAGGATTAAGAGTCATGAATGGTACTGGATATCTTTCTTAAGTTCTTCGTGATAGGCTACATGCATAGCCCTTTAAAGATAAAGAATAAAAGAAGAAGAATGTTAATCCAACCTATGCCCTCTCATCTCTATATCTTCTGATGATCAAGCGCCCAGGCCAGGCACTGAGCTTGCTGCTGATTGAGTCAACATCCAATCACAAGTCTCCGTTCAAGTCAGGTGACAGGCCTGACATGGGTAAATGGTCGCGTAATTCTTTGGTCTGTCTCTTTTACACGATAGCATTCGAAGAGAGAAGTACGGTCGCTCGTTCTTTCGCTGCAAGCTCATCTTGTAATTCCACCAAAATGGCTCAAGAAAACCACAACTCATCCGTAGCCGAGGGAGACACCTTCCTCTTCACATCTGAATCCGTAGGAGAGGGACATCCAGGTGAGCAAGGCTTCTAAAGTCGAAAATGAAGTGATTTTTGCGCGCTAGAGAGACCGGCTCATCCGAAATTCCCGGTTACTGCGCTGCATTCCCCAATTCAATGCATGCTCACGTACCGTACGCGTACGCTTAGCGAGCTAGCTGCCTTGGCGAGCCCGTTCACAGTTCAGTGCATGTGCATGCATTGGCAATCACAATGCAGTCATGTGTCGTGTGTTTACGTTTAAGGCGCATGCGCAAGTCATTGACTGTAAGTACAAGTTCAATTCAATGATGCAATGTACATCATGTGCACATGTTTATTGTCATGATTGTGTGTGGATTTTGCATGTTGTTGCCCATCCATATTTTGTTATGTATTCAATCTTTTATTTATATCTTTATCAACATGATCAACTCCTAATGCTCATGCATCAGTGATTATTATCTGATTATTAGAAGAAAAAAAATTGTCCACACTTTTGACGACCAAACAACAACATGATCATGTCATGATGAACACATAACCAGTAAATATTAGGTAAAATCCCAAAGAAAAAGAATTATTGTTCTTATTCTGCTATTAAGACTTCTGCAATAATATCAAATTCAATAAATGATCGGGACAGATTTAAGGTAATGTTGATCCTTTTCAAGTAAAATGAATGTTTGGATTGTTGAAGTAGTCTAGTCTATGTGAACAAATGTGTAAAATGGTTGTAAAAGCTTCCAGAAAATCAAAAAAGGAAGGTATTCAAGGTGACAAAAACAGCACTAAATATATTTGTTTGAAATCTTAGGAATAGATCTCTCACTCAGTGTTTAATATTAGAAAATTGAATAGGCAGAAAGGAAGGGTTCCTCAGAGACTACGGTATATTAAATACTAATTCTGATAGTCGTAGATCTAGAATCTCTATTCACATTTCTATTCAGATGTTTATTTTTCTTGTTGATCACAACCAAATATAGGTCTAAATCTGTGTTCTCTGATATTTTTTGATATCCTTGAATTCAGTTTAAAAATACTTTTGGAGCTTTCAATATGTACGAATCGCTTACCGCTCCAAAGTATTTTTCTTTTTCGATGCTTGAATTTACCTTTTTGTCCACCAAATTTTCATGGCAAAATTTTACTTTCCAGTAAATTGTATCATAATTTGCAAGAGGATGTTGTGTACATGTAAGACACATTTCTGCAATAATTTTCAAAAAAAATATGTTTGAAGTCAAATATTTCTAAAAGTCTAAGTGGAAAATGTGTATTGGCACAGGATACAACTTGCAGGTGTCCAATATGTGTGGAGCAAAGTTAGTTGGGTACTGAAGTTAACATCTTTCAACTATAAATTTTGGGTTGAGCCAAGAGGTTTTTGTCCTAAACGATGTTGTTTTTTCTGGATTTTTCTGGATGTTCATGCACGCATCTTCTAGAGTACGGAGACACACCCCCTTATATTTTGTGACGTATTATACTTTTATTTCTAAACCTTGCTTGGAGCTTCCAGGTGTGAAATCTCTCTTGGCTCCTGCAATTCTTCTTTTGTTCTGATAAGGGAAACTTGCATGTGCTTGTTCTTGAAAGAACAAATTATTGATTATACAGCTATTATGCTTACCCCTCCCCCTTTGGGAGACATGTGCCTGTGTCACTACTTGAAAATGAAACGTCATCAGTTATCAGTTTATCACTGAGTCTTCATAGTAAAGCACAAGAATCAATAAAGACTGCAGTAAAATAAATAGCTAAATTCATGCCGTGCTGAGCTGGAATCATTCCAAACTTTGTAAACATTGTAGAAGGTTAGATCATAAACTGATTGGACTTTTGGCAGCCCCGGTTTTACCTCCCACAACTATTCTCATTGGGTTTCTCTAAGTAGAAGTGCAAACACAGTGAATGATCATTGTTTAATATCACCAAGAAAAAGGTAATAAGATAATGCAATCTGGTTTAAAGTGGTTCTATGTGACCTTTCAACCCTTCAAAATATACATAAAAACCTGCTTTAAGACATCACATGTACTCCGTAGTTCTGTGTTGTAAGTTCTATGAACGTGCTTTAGACACCTTTGGTCAAAGGCACCTTCCGCTCAGTTCAAACATCAACTAATGAGGATGAAATAAGGCCCTACCAGATGGGATAAAGACGATAAGATGGCTTACCAAAAAATGCTGGCTCAGCAAAAAATATTTGTCTTGGCATGGTTAGTCACCTTAGAGGATTACCAGGTCTTTTTCTTGGTATACTCTAAAGAAAAGTGGGTGGTTTATTTGTAGATTGTGACAGAAAGATAAAGAGTGAACTGACAAGAGAATTAAAAACTAAAAAGAAGGTTTTGCCAAATTCAAAGGAAGAAAAGAGATCTTGAATAGAGGCATATCGTGACATTATTTTTGAGGAAATTTTATATTTTAGAGGGGGCGTTTTGAGAGGTGGGCCTTCCATTCGACTTCGAAATGCACTCATACATGATGCATTTAACCTTCCAGAATTGTTTTAGGAAACGAGTTATGTTAAAAACAGTTTGAAAAGAAATGAATACCTAATACTTACTCATACAGAAAAATTGCATTGGTCATTTTTGATGGATATTCAAATTGATGTATACATGTACATGAACAACCACTTCATATTTGAAAAATTTGTGATAACAAGTTATTATTAAAGTTGATTGATTTTGTAGTCGCCTACAGTATATCTGAAATAATATCAACAACGTGGCTTTGTTTGAACAGTTTATGATTTGTATTTTAATAGATGAAAACAAACAGTGGTTGAACTTTAACTTCTTGGCCACCTGCCAAGCTAAGTTTAAAAAAATGTAAACAAAAAGTATGCTGCGCAATCAAACTCGTCTATTAACGATTAGTCATTGACGTTGGCGTTTTCTAAAAAAGCAAAGCATATATTTACAAATACGAAACCATGGGTATGACGTTTATCAACTTTAAGCTGACATCGGACCTACTTTCAGAACTGCTGAGCCAGCAAAGATGTCGCAATGTTTTGTATTTTTAATTTTTTTTTTTAAAGAGTGTAAATTGACCTATAGAAGAACAATTAAAGCAAAGTTCATTTGCTTGTATTTTAGTGTGTACAGACCATCTTGTGATGTTATTTGTATGAGATGCAAGTCACCCTAAAGAGGGGAAAAAATAACCGTTAGATTTTCTGAACTGACGAAAGCAATCTAGAATATGTTTAGCAACATAAAATTATGCTCGATTGGAAATCGATAGAAGCCATATATTCGTCCAAAATAGGCAGATCAATTAGATGTTGTGACCAGTGAGGCAGTTTAAAGTTGAGCTTGAAAGGATAGCAGCTTTACTGCTAAAGAATAGGCAGTGAGTGCGTTGTTTGCATGGTTTGAATGCCTCAGCAGAGTACTGGAGTATTTTGCAAAGTCATAGATCCAGCCAGACCCATGTATTGAAAGTAAAAAGGGGTTGGGATCTTTTATTGATTCCTCTGCACCAGTAAGGGTTTAGCTTTGCTTTGTTGCCCTGTGTACCTCCCCCACAAAGGTCTCTGGGTGTGGGCAGCATTGTGTTCTCTTTCAACATCTTGATGTCTTGTTTTTCTCAAAGTCAAAGAATTACCGATAGTATTAATGGGTTGTGATGCGGCAATGTGCAATGTTGATATTTTTCTTAAGTCCAGGGAATTACACATGTGAAAGAAATCAACAAATAGGTGGCCGGCTTTCCCTTAGATTCTGCATCTCTATTGCACATAACCAGAACAGCCAGGAACAGCCAAATGTTCATCATCGGTGTGGGCAGTATGTTTTCCATCTGTCGGGACTCTTGTGGATACGCCTTCTGCCAAGGGACCACCTAATGACTGCACTAGGAGAGAGATAATCCAGTGCGTAAATAATTCAGGGAATCGCTTGTGTACATACAGGCTTGAATTGTTTGATGGCAATTTGCATACAACTGGTCCCAGTATTATTCACAAACACAAACTGTGGAGTCATTGTTTAAGTTACTTGTTGTATGGTTTTGTCTTCACCGTTACAAGGTGACTTTAAGACTGCATCTTTAAAAAATGCAATCGTAGCCTTGAGACGTCTAATACTTCTCTACATCTTTAACCTTCCTCGATTCTCAGAAAGCGAATTAGCTCTGCCTCTTTCAAACTTGTCCGTCCCTTCTCCTCAAGAACTGTATGGTCATGTGCATCTGTTTGTCTCGTTTGCCCAACATCCATTTTTGTGTCTTTCTTCTTTCTTTCCGTTCACTTTGAGCTCTCCTGTTTTCTCTTCACTTTGCCTGAACCCTTCACCAGCCAGCCTGGCATCCTGTATCTTTCTGTTGCTATTGTCCAGTGACTGGGAAGATGATGTGTGTGTGTGTGTGATACCCTTCGTGGAATGTGGTACTCAGGAGGAGGCCCATTTGACCCGATGCACGTGGGTCACTCCTGCAGCTGCGGTTGCTGATGATGATGATGTACTTTCCATAACTTAGCTGTATCTTCTACATCTCTGCATTGCGTTTCCCGACTTAATATTATGTGCAAATGTACCACAAGTAAAACAAAATATAAATTAATAAGTATTAAAGGCAATTAACCAGTCTAGCCACAACAACATCAACATGGATTTTGATAAACTAATCAGTTGTTCTCAAAAGCTTTTGCAGGATTAAATATTGGGAAGAGATTTCCTGTAGGGTTAACATTTTTGTAGTTAATGAACCATTGCTCTTTTGTAGTTATTGAACCATTGCTCTTTTGTAGGCTTTATTGTTGTATGATTTATTTTCATCTCTTTCCCCGCATTGAAACCATGAAGCCGGAAAGACATGATAAAGGTAGCATTGTTGAAGTACTTCATGTGAGATGAACTTCATGAATTTGGCCGAGATCTTTTTCAACTCTGCTATTAGTGGATCATGTTTTGCTCCAACTTTTTATATCGGTGTTCACAGTTGCCAGCTTTCAGACTATTGCCTCAGATCATGCTTCTTGATCATAGGCCCCAACCCCATCCCATTTCTGACCTCTTTATAACCTATACATTGCCTATGGGCTCTATGTATGCATCATTTTGCAGGCTAATTATGTATCTGGTATCCCTATGTGATTGACATTAAATTTGTAGCACTTCATTCATTAGCTGAAATCATGAAGTAAAGCTTTTATTTATTTTGCATTCCTTATTTTTTCTCTTTTCTTTCCAGACAAAATCTGTGATCAAGTCAGTGATGCCGTCCTGGATGCCCATCTTGCTATTGACCCCAATGCAAGGGTCGCGTGTGGTAAGTTCATTAACCTTGTTTGACCTTTAACCTGTGTGCTTCAACATGCCAACTACCTCATTCACTCATTGCCATAGGCTTAATACAGGGGTTATCTGGTTCCAGAAATACATTTGAGATTGCATAAGCATATGAAAGATGATGACAGAACCACATTGGGAACAGCTGTTTAAAACACCCACAAGGGTTTTGTCACAATCAAAAGTTATTATGACTTGCATTTTATAGTTATTCTGCCACAAGCCCTTCCTCCATTCCAATATGGTCTTGTGTTTTCATGTTCTAAGATGTGTTTTGCTGAGTCATGTCGAGCTAAAGAGACTGATGCATCATCTCATTGTCAACTTTTGTTTTTGAGGGTAAACAATATTGGTCTAGAATGTGCTTATAGTAACAAGACTTACAACACATGACCTCTCAATTAACATTTGCATTGGACTAAATTGCAATGTCATGTCCGGTATTATAAAGGATCTAGAATAAACTTCTCTTAATCAAGTTTATTTTTTGTAATAACACACGACCACACAATACCGGTAGTTATATTAAACTAAAATGCAATGTCATGCCAGTATTAAAAAGAGAAAATAAAACGAAGTGTAAGCTACATATGATATAGTTGTCCAAGCCTTTTATTAACCGGGCGCCGGGCGATTTTTACCCTACGGTCCCTGACTTTTGGCGCCCGGTAAGACGGGGAAAATGAGTACCGGGCGCCGGTCATTTTTTATTTCTGGCGCCCGGTCTGGGAGAATTAACATTTTCTGTTTCATAAACTTCCACATGTCTAGCACTAAATGTTCACAAATGTGACAAAAACTTACTTGATACAAGTTAAACGTGGACTGAATGAACCCTAACAAATCATTATAATGAGAATCCTAATTAAAATCGCCCAGAAACAATTGCAGCACGAATACGAGCGGCCGCTATTTCCTACTCCTAGCGGAGAACGGAGCACACAATACAGGGGATGTACACCACTCAAAGACGAGCGCATTTCCCCAGCCCAGGCCATGCATACACACACAAATGACATCAGTGCTGTACTGCAGTACACACACAGTGTCAGTACAAGAAAGTCTCGATGTAACTTCCAAAAATCCATCCGAAAAGCCAAATTTTGCTGTCAAAAATGCGGAATCGGAGCCATATTTCCAAAGCTCACGGGGGTTAAACTCAGTTTTAAGAAACAGTTTCATCAAAATAGCGCTAAAAATCAAGAAATCAGCGATTTTGTTACCAGTTTTTTTGCCTATCGCATGCCCTTCGAATGTAATGGTATCTTCAAAAAAGCAAATGAAAATCAAAACACCGGATCTGCTGATGCGTTGACTTTATGTACAAAGTTGATTGCAACTCCAGACTTGCCTTGATTCAGCGGCCCTCGTAATCATTGACTAAAATTCTGTGATGTTTTGAATAATGGACTTTTCTGATAAAATAGATAAAAATATTTAACAAATCTTTTTTTTTTAATTTTCTAATTATTATTATATTATTATTATTATTTTTTTTTTTTTATTTTATTTTTTTAAGTGACAGGTCGGTCGTTCTCAATGATTAAATGCGTTTTTATTCAAAGAAACATGAATGCAATAGCATTTTATAGGGAAAATAACAAAAAAACGTAAAACAGGCATAATCTTTTTTTTTCACCTAAAATATGTTTTTTCAAGCTGAATAATATGTTTTTTTGAAAGCGACAGGTTGGAAGCTCTGCATTGTCATTATAGATCTGGTTTTTCTTAAATATTTTTTTTATAGAAATAATTTAATTCCCCCTTCCCAACATTTTTAAATTTTTGACATTTAACGGCATGAAAATAGTATCAAACATGAACTACAACAACTACAAATGACAGATTTATCTAAGGTATGAGTGATTTAATATTAGAGTGCTCAAAATTTAAACTAGAAATTAAACTACCGTATGTATAAATAAAAGGTAACGTTTAACAAATAATTTAAAAGAAAACGGTACATATTTTCATCAATTCTCGAAACGGCTCCTGGTCCTGGAAAACGGCTCCCGGTTCTCTAAAAAAAATAAGGACCGGGAGCCGCTTTTTCAGATATTTGGCTCCCGGTCTGCTTTGACTTAATAAAAGGCTTGTAGTTGTCTATTTAAAGGTATTATGTCCCATTTGCAGGCCAAAAAATGAAAAAGTTAAATTCCAACTGCATTTGAAAGATAATACTAATTTAGAACTTCCCTAAAAAAGGTGGGGCTTGAAAATGTCTTCAAGTGGGAAAATAACGACTATTAGTTGTCAAATCGACTTTAGGGCTATAGAGCCCAAAAGTAATAGTCTTGATTTTCAGATAATTGTACCGAATGGTAATACGTTTTATGCTGCGCAAAGATTCAATCAGTTTAATCTTGGCCATCACAAGAAGTGGGTTATTGATGTAGACAAATGCTCATGTACCCTTTACAACTCTTTTCATGTATGTTAACCAAAGAAGAAAAAAAGCCAGTCAGTCACTCAATAGTGTCTGACAGTGAAGTCTAGCAGGTTTCCTTGCATAATTTAAATATGAGGACACTGCTAACGTTTAAATTTCGCAGATAGGACATACATGACATATTCATAATTCCTGCAAAGTTCTCCAGAATGTGAGGTTGGCTACAAAAGGGACATAGTACCTTTAATAGCTCCTAAACAAATTCAATGTCTGATCATGTTATGAGGTAGTAGAATCCTGTATTTCAGATATTCCCCAGGCTGGCATCGTAATTTATTTTTTCCTGACCGTAACTGTTTTGATTCACCATATGTAAGCCAGATGGTAGAAATCCCATGCAACTGATTTCGTCATCTTTAAATCATATCATGCGATTGACAGCAGTATTTTGAATGATGATGCAACATCTGATCACTTTTGTGAGAGTGGAAATATGGTTTGGCTAGGTTCCAACAGATGTTTAAAGGGAAAGTCCACCCCCAAAATAAGTTTGTTTCGATAGAGACAGAATAATAAGAAAATCAGGTGAGTGAAAGTTTGAGCAAATTCTGAATGAAAATAAGAAAGTTATGAATTATTGAAGTTGTGATCAATCAAATACAAATTGGCAACTCTGTGACTTATTATACGAGCTCTCCTTCATTTGCTTTGTGCATAATATTCCATAAAATCATGTTTTCTTCGTTATTGATGCCGGAACATATATTTGTTCCTTGCAGGGGGAGTATAGAAACATATTTGCAATTATTTTATTTAGGGTGCATGTATGGTTGAAATTTTTCTTGAGGGAAAATGAAAATTTTAGATTTTTTTAGTACTGAGCAAATGGAAGTTGAACTCACATGATATGTCATAGAGTTGCCAATTTGTGTTTGATTGATCACAACTTCAAAAATCCTAACTTCCTTATTTTTAATCGGAATTTGCTCAAACTTTCACTGACTTGTTTCTCTCATTTTTCTACTCCTAAAACTAACTTAATTTCAGGGTGGACTTCCCCTTTAAGTATACCTGTATGTACTTTACCTCACATACGCATAACTCTGCGAATCTGTTGAAACAAATCACGCCTTCAACTCCAAATATTTGTCTCTACTATGGTGATACGTACTCATGTGAAGGACGTGTCAAAAAGTATTGATATTTTATGAATTGTATTCACAAGTCTTGAAAGGGTATCTTGCTAATAAAAAAGGAAAAGACAGAGACAGAGAGAGATAAGGAGAGGAGAAAGGCAGAGACACAGAGAAACAGAAAGAGAGAGCTCATTTTTTTATCCTGAGCTTATTACAAATGATGAAATAAAATTAACAAACATATACCGCTACTGGCTTTTTTGCAGTATTTGAAACAAAAATCTTGTGCAAATGAAAATACATTGTACATGTCTATGGTGTAGCATACAAATACTTTATTACATCTGAAAAAGGCAAATGTTGTTTTATCTTATTTTTATCTGTCGCTCAGCAGGTGCTTCGTGATGGATATGTTAAAAAAGGTGTGGGTACAGGTAACTGTGCAAACATGGGGAGATTTATTATTTGTACTTGTTTGCTTTGAGTGGTATTGCTGCTCGGTAAAATCACTCAGTAGTACAATGTCAATACAATCCGTGCATATTAAATTACTACCTGTAGTTTATGGTAATGATTCAGCGTAAAAATAGCCCAAATTAGGATAATATGGATCCATATAATGCAACAGCTGTATGAAATTCATATTCTATATGTGGTTTACTTGTTAAGGCTGTTAAAGTAAAAGATAAACCAATGAATCAATCTTAGCCATACCAGCAGTCAAACAGACTCATTATTTCAGTCATTGATTGCTGTCGTACGGAGCAGCTTGTTTATTTTTTAAGTTAATACTTTGAACTACATCCAATTTTGTTGTTGATATACTATATATTACCAGTTTGTTTTATGCAGTAAATCCATAAATGAATAGTTTGTTTTATGTTGTATATCCGGATATGTTTCATATTAAATAGTTACATATTAAATGCGTGGTTATAAGCTCCAAAGAATTGTTGTAAAAGAAAATTGATTTCGGGCAATTGCATGCAATTGGTTCTGTAAGACATATTGGATTTTCTTCATTTATTTCCCCCCAAAATGTAAAATTCTCTTGACTTACCATTGATAATCATATCTGATTGATACACGTCTGTAAAAACCCAATTACACACACACACATTAATGGTACCAAAATTAAAAAGAAATCATTCAATGGTCATATCAAGCAATTACTTCTTTTCCCCCTCCATTTTGGAGGAAATAAATTGAAAGATAAATCATAAGGGATACATTGCACGGGACCGCCCTTTACACTCACAATTTGTCTCTACAGAAATTATGTCATCTAGTTTTGGCATCAAATTTTTCTGATTTGCACCATTTTGTTTTGTTCTTTTTATCCAGAATGTGCCTCAAAGACAGGTATGATCATGGTGTTCGGAGAGGTGACCTCTAACGCCCATGTAGATTACCAGACCTGTGTCAGGGATGCCATCAAAGCTATAGGGTATGATGATTCTTCTCAAGGTAAGACTTATTTTAGAAACGATATACATCAGCGAGGGTGCTAGTAGTTGTTATGATCATCTTGTTTGGGGAGGTAACCTCCAACGCCCTTTAATAGACCTGTGTTATGCATCAAGAAAAAAATAAATGTCTTGAGATCTATCCTCTTACATTACAACCAACAGTTTTACAAGGATTGACCTCGTCATTTTATTTAAAAACAACAAGCAAGTCGAGTCTTCAAAAGTCAAATTGTTAATGTATTTTGATTTTTTTTTAAAGGGGGTTATGCAGAGTACAGCTGCTCTTAACAACATCAAAAGCTTGCTGGAGTTTTATCTGATTAAGCAGCGATGATGCTAAATATTAGATGCAAGAAATAAAAAGTGTGGAGTTTCTGTGAACAGGTTTTCATCAGGAACATTTATATCTAACTCCGTCTTAGGGTGGAAGCCAGTGTCAGGGTATCTGGACTGTATTAATTTGTCAAAATTGATTACAATGAACGTTTTCTTTTTTTCATGTTGCTTGTATATTTAACAGTTCGTTTGCGTAAACCCTTCACTCCATCCACCGCCCTCTATACTGACATAGCAACAAACATTCTTCTCACTTCTCCCCTTCAGGTTTCGACTATGATACTTGCAATGTTCTAGTAGCCATTGAACAGCAGGCCCGAGAGATTGCAAACTCAGTTCATGTCGGAAAGGCTGAGGATGATATAGGTGCTGGTGATCAGGTAATTTTTTTAAATTTTTTTCTCCCCAAACCCCCACCCCCAAGCTCCTTCTCTTTAGGGTGTGGATTGTTACGAGGCCTAAGGAAGCCATCCGAGTACAACATCCAATTTTTTTGAAGTATTTGGCATTTTTCTATATGTAAATTAATAAATGATGGGCAAAATCCAAGAAGGGGGGGGGGGGGGGGGTAAAATCCATCCCCTCTGCAGAGCTGCCAACTAGTACGGATTTTCCGTAATTGGTACGGAAATTAACGACCATTACGGAATGTTGTCTCAAATTACGGATTTAAAAAAAAAAAAAAAAAAAAAGATTTTTTTTTTTTTTTTTTTTTTTTTTAATGAATTAAATATGATTTATCGTAGCGAGTGCTGTGAATAGGAGCCATTTTTCATGATAAACTGTGTTGTGATGACCTGAAATTCAATACTTAACATCTTTGTGTGAGTAAAATCACCAAAAATTTCAGATAATCATGCGTCCGCGCAGTGTTGGCGTGTCGTTTTTTTAGATTCATAGCGCCGCATAAGAAATTACTGATTTATACCCCAAATTACTGATTTTGAGCCTTGTGATTACTGATTTTCTGTTCTGGAGGTTGGCAGCTCTGCCTCTGGCTGAGAGAGCCCCAAAATAACCTGGCATTTTTAAGGTAAAAACATAAAATATGTTAAGATGTTAACAGAATGAGGATGGAGCAAGCTAGGGTAATAGTGGTACTTTGTAAGGCTGCTTCATCATCCCTTTGTATAAACATGTGCATACTTAAAATGTAGCTCTTTAATTTGTTTTTATTGTTACCTATGATTTGACCTGGTCTTTGTCTCTCTTGCAGGGATTGATGTTCGGTTATGCCAGTGACGAGACGGAGGAATGCATGCCCCTAACATGTGTCCTAGCTCATGCTCTTACACAAAAGCTGGCTGAAATCAGGCATGGCGGAGATAGGAGGCTACGTCCCGACTGCAAATCACAGGTATGGTTGTACAACGCATGGGGGGTGTTTCACAAAGATCCTAAGTTGAACTTATCTCTAAGTTGAACTTAACAATTATGAAGTGCTGTTAGCTTCTATGAAAATATTTTGTAAAAGTTATTGCAAAAGGCATAGAATGTTGATTCAAATCATTCATATTTTCTATCATCAAGGATGTTATATGTTCTTGATGTGGAATTTATAAAAAGTCTAAAATACTTCAGTTTTCGCTTTTGAATATATTTTATTTTAAGGCTACAAATGGCTCTCCATGACTTTTAAGTCCAACTTGGAGGTTAAGCTCGACTTAGGATCTTTGTGAAACACGATACATGTCCTACCTCAAAGTGAATTCCGAACTTCAACCCTTGACCAAAAACCATACCCTAATTCTGAACCTAAAAGAAAGCCTGGTTTCCACTTCAACTTTATATCTTTGACAAATAAACCCTTGGCAATCATCAGGTTACCCTGAAAACAGCAAACATGGTCAAGATTTATGTCAAAGTTCGGGTATTAGAATTCCAATTGAGAGGAGCCCGATGTCAAGTACTAATTTTGTACTTGCACTGCATGAGAAAATTCTGTTGTATAATCAGAACAATCATGTAATATTTGGTTTAGAATCTTTAAAGGTCACTTTTCATAGACCGATTTTAAAATACAGAGTACTTCGAGAGAAAATCATAAATGGACAGAACGAGATGATAACAGTAGTGGTGGTGGTTGCAGCCGTTTTTTAATAAAAAAACAAAAACTTACCATACACAACTATACTATGGGGAGGGAATGTTTATTAAGTAAAACCGTGTGGGGACAAACATTTTGTATTTTGTTCTTTCCACCAGGTTACCGTCGAGTACAAAATGGACAGAGGAGCCTGCGTACCCCTGCGCGTCCACACCATCGTCATCTCCACTCAGCACTCTGAAGACATCACCCTCCCGGACCTCCAGAAGCTTCTCAGGGAACAGGTCATCGACGTGGTCATCCCCAAGAAGTACCTAGACGAGAACACCGTCTACCATCTCAACCCCTCGGGTTCTTTCCTCATCGGTGGCCCCAAGGGCGACGCCGGACTCACCGGCAGGAAGATCATCGTCGATACCTACGGAGGGTGGGGCGCCCATGGCGGAGGAGCTTTCTCTGGCAAGGACTTCTCTAAGGTGGACAGGTCAGCCGCCTACGCTGCCCGCTGGGTGGCCAAGTCTCTGGTCAAGGCTCAACTGTGCAAGCGTGTCTTAGTCCAGGTTGGTATTGCAATCGGGTTCATTGGGTGATCATTTAAATACCTTGAGTCACATCGCCAAACCAACTTCAAAGCTGACCGATTCATGGCGTTGGGGGGATATAATTTCTTTTTTGTCCATTCAATTGTTAATTTGGTTTCAGTTTTTTATTGGTATGACCGTTGTGTAAACTGTAAACACAACAGTAGAGGAGCTTTGAAAATGATAAACAGATGTCCAAGAAAAAAAAAAAAAAATGTAACCAAACCTGTAATGCAGAATTGAAAAAATGGGAATTTTGGTAACAAATTATATTTTACACATTTACAAGACAGTGTTCTTTTACCCACCAAATAAAAATGTAACAATCGATATTCAGAATGTCTATTATCAGGGGCTCTAGATTAGTTTTTTCATTCTCGTCTCCTTAATTTTTCCCTCTAGGTTGCATATTCCATCGGTATCTCAGAGCCTCTCTCCATCACTGTTTTCCACTACGGCACATCGGAATACTCGGAGAAGGAACTCCTGCGTATCGTGAAGACCAACTTTGACCTCAGGCCTGGTGCAATTGTCAAGTAAGTCCACCCTGAAGTCCTAGTTTCATGTCAGAATGAGTTCTGTAAATGCGTGTTGCATTAACCCAAAACAGTTAAGTTTTCGAAAATTCTTAATAATTTGAATAAGCTTTTCTTCCTCAAACAATTTTTGCTAATTTTCACTTTTTCATAGTTTAACATTTTGTTGTTGATGTGTAGAGTAAAAGAAACGGTGTCAAGGAAGGAAAAATATTAATCACATTTCTACTCGAAAATAGTGATTATAAATTTCTCTCTGAGTTGCCAATTTAGAGACTTCAATGATTACTTTTGTTATGGGTTGTACTTTCTATATCAATTTGGCAATTTTTCATTGAAATCATGATACAGAATTTGCTGCAGGTATTATAATTTTTTCTTCTTCAGAAATCAATTATTTCTGTTATTTTTAATAGTGCCCGTAAAACTTTTAAGGATGACTTTGCTGATGTATCGAAAGTACCTTTTAATCAAAGAAAATACATTCCTTGATCTCCTCCACAGGGCTCTTGATCTGAAGAAACCCATCTACCGAAAGACCGCTACCTTTGGCCATTTTGGACGTTCTGAATTCACTTGGGAACAGCCCAAGAAACTTGTTCTCTGAGCGACGCCACTAATGGACTCATTTTTTTTGTCTGTATTGTCCCATCATGGATCTAGGGAAATGGGCACTCTTTAAATGGACTACTTTCTACAGGTGGAATGTTTAGAACACTAACAAAGCATGTTGGTGCCTACAACCTGTGGCAGAGACAGATTTATATATATATATGTATATTATATTGAAACAAAAAAAAACAATTGAAATTTCTAAAAGACAAGACTATTGTAATTTGAAATTTTCCCCTTCTTGATCCCCTCTTACAAGGAGAAATAATTGAGAATATTTTTTTAAAGGAAGCATCTACACGGCAATGCATGTAGGCTAATATGAATCAGTATGGGGTCCTTTTAATATTGTGCTCAGTGCCATTTTGTCTGTGATCTTTGAATATGTTGGTATATTTGAGGAATTTTCTTTTGACCTTGTGAATGTGTATCACATGATGGGTAGTATTCCATGTTGGGCATTGTGCGCTCCTAATGGAATGAACTTTACATGTCATTATTGCACGAAGAACTAGGAATGTTCTAGGAATGAGCTACCCTTAAAAAAAAACACACACACACACACACAGACACACACACACACTGAATTGATTGCCAGGGCATAGTGAATGATTTTGAAGCATATCTTCATAAAATTTCCGCCATTCCTTCTCTGATTAGGTGGCAGTATGTCTCATTGAGCGAGTGATTGATTCTTTTGTGTGTGCGTGTGTGTGACAGAATGCCTGAGGAGTTATGAACTGTGAATAAAACCCTAATGCTACATGAATGATTTTGTTTGTTTAAAGAAATAATGTCATGACGGAATGTCTGGAGCAATGATCCATTCCACCTTACAGATCATCTCTAGACACAAATTCCTGTTAAAAGTTTTTTATAGTAGTATTTTTTTGTTGTCGCATTTTTCTCCTTGTGTGATTCCGACACCATAATAAAGAGTATTCACTTTATCATGACGTAGGATGTAACTGGTCATGTAATTGTAGCTTTGGGGTTAAACATATATGGGAAGCATCGATAGCAGGGACACAATTGGAATCTTGGATTTACAAATGTGTTTTCATCATTATAGAAAGTTTATTTTTTATTTTTTCCTGTTGTATCGCAGTCCTGTCTTTTTATATTAAAGAGAATGATATTTGATGACGAATATTAAGTGAGGGTGTTGTATATATTATACATGTGACTGATAATTAGGCAGGTATTCTATTATTGTTTCTCTCTAATTAGATTTAATGAAATATATTAAGATTAAGTATTTGTGATTTTTCAGTACTGTTTCTTTAATACTGTCTTATTCAAGGTATTAATATCATTTCACATTGAAATTTTTAACCCTTTCCATCATCCCTAATCACATGTTATTCGGGTGTATGGAATTTGTGGGTGTATTAATCTGAAATTCTAATTTATTCCGTCAAATGCAGTCTCGGCACCATGTCCAGTGCCCACTACATTAGCTTTGTATGTGAACAATTCTTAGCTGTTTTAGTGCATTGGTAGTTTATGCATGCGTGCGGTAAGAGAGGAGTATGCACCAGTCTTCATGGTGTTATGTAACGGTCAATCTGTGCCCAGTGATTCGAAATGGCTTGAAATAGCTTGCTCTTAGTAATGCAGCTGTGTAAAATACAAGATTGTTTTGTATGTTTGAAGCCCCAGTGGTTTTAACTAATATACTTGGACTCCAAACAGAACGTTTGTTCTTCTTTTGGTACAGAGGTATATGAACCATCACATTGAGATGTTCCTTTAAAATAAAAGAAAAGAAGTTAAAATGTGCCCATGTCAATGATATGTGGTGGTCCGTTGGAAACATTCTAAGAAAAGAACCGCGGCCTCTTGCAATAAAAAATCGTCTTTAGTTGCGTGATATGAAACCAACTCTTTTAGCATGTGATTTTTACAGCAGGTCCTCGATTTATAAATTATGATTGTGTGAGGGTAGCTACAAGCTGGGATTTACAATGTACATGTGCCAAGTCAGTCAGGTTATTAGTAGTGAATGGTTTGCTTCCAAGGCCAACGAGTCAATGCCAACAGTCGTTATTCTAGCTTGAACTTGTTAGAGAGTAACTTGTTTCATGCGCCCCACCCACTCCAGTGACAACCTGTACATAATCTGTATATGCATACCACTGCACTTGTTTTACAGACACTTTTTGTTAGGGTGTGGGGTTTACTCCACCAGTGATCCTCAATTCAATGTTAGAACCTGTTTTGAAGGGAGCCTGTATATAAAGACCACTTGCTTCCCTCGAGTCACTCAGAGTTGTCCTGGCAGGAGCGACTGTATCGTACATTCGTTGATTTTATACAATACTAGAAATGTGAGTTTATTTATGTCTAGTTATCATCATCAGAATCGGTGTGTTAGGTTAGATATTATTTGACGAGATTCTACAATGATCCCTCTCTCTATGAGTATTTGCGAAATGGAGTAAGGGAAGAACTCTGAAAAATGTCAGAATAAAAGATTCTATTCAGAGTTCCTTCTTCTTTCTCCCACTCTGTTCTTACCTTCTGGAGTGCATGTCCATGCTTTCAAGCAAGGAAATAACGGAGCTTGCTTGTAAAAGTAGACCCCCTCTTACATTCGATGAAGGACCCGCGTCATTTTTCTGCGAAGCAGCAAGACATTCCAAATATGGTCTCTTCTAGTCTTCTACCCCCATCCCTTGTCTATTTCAATAGTTCATTGACCTCTCTGAATGTGCCTTTGATCACGATTGAGTTCTCTACCTAGGAGAGCTTCGGAGTAAATAAACATGCTATGTGTATAATGTGTACTCATTGTATTAATACTATTTCTTTTTCTAAAACAGTTCAGGTGTTGTGGCACATAGATGCTTGTATTCAAAGGTTTTTACGACCAGTGTTCCAGGAAATACACGTATTTTGATTTAACAATGATATAAGAAATAATATGGAATGCATACTATTCCTTACTCTATGTTGTCACACTATAGAGCAATTATGTACATTACAATTAAAAAAAGAAGAAAATGAACTATCAAATTTGGTTTTATGCGTCTTTACTTTCTTACCCGTGTTGTCGTGAATCGCAGTCCAAATTACAAAGATAGATTGAAGATCAAAAAAGAGCCGCTAAGCAAGATTGGCGATGGTTCAAAGGATCTTTTTAATAGTGTACATGTGCAGATAGATTAAAGCGTCTGTTTAGAGGCAGAATGGCGTCAATTCATATATTTTAACACAGTTGATATCCTTCTGGCTCCAGATGAGATGATCAATCGAGACCGAAACTTAGGAATTAGGGTGGATGAGTGGGTATGTCATTGAGATGTCATTGAGATGATTGCCGTCAGCTGATAAAGAGGCTGACAAAGTAACATTGTTATTGAACAGCATTTGGTAACATGATAAATACAGTTTGTACATGTATGTCGGACCAGAAAAATAGAATCACATTTGTATTGACATTTGACCTTTGGGCGTGATTCATACCTTCACGCAGTTACCAATATGGCATGTTCCTCAGGTTCTGTATTTAGGAGAGCACTATTGATACTGCTAAGGCTAAACAAGACGGTTTTATTTTAAAAACAATACAGTATTATTTTAAAAACAATGAGATCACCCACAACATATACCGGCACATGTACATGAATAGCAAATAAATTAACACACCGACACTGGAAAAGACTTAAAGGGGAAGTCCACCCTGAAATTAAGTTAGTTTTAATAGGAGTAGAAAAATGAGAGAAAAAAGTCAGTGAAAGTTTGAGCAAATTCCGATAAAAAAATAAGGAAGTTAAGATTTTTTAAGTTGTGATCAATCAAACACAAATTGGCAACTCTATGACGTATCATGCGAGCTCAACTTCCATTTGCTCAATACTAAAAAAATCTAAAATTTACATTTTCCCTCAAGAAAAATTTCAACCATACATGCACCCTAAATATAATAATTGCAAATATGTTTCTATACTCCCCCTGCAAGGAACAAATATATATTCCGTCATCAATAACGAAGAAAACATGATTTTATGGAATATTATGCACAAAGCAAATGAAGGAGAGCTCGTATAATAAGTCACAGAGTTGCCAATTTGTATTTGATTGATCACAACTTCAATAATTCATAACTTTCTTATTTTCATTCAGAATTTGCTCAAACTTTCACTCACCTGATTTTCTTATTATTCTGCCTCTATCGAAACAAACTTATTTTGGGGGTGGACTTTCCCTTTAAGTGTACCGTGATTTATAGCTCTATGTATAACATCAACCTCAAAAAAACTTTACCTGACATTCTATAAAATAAAGGATAACATAAAACCCTGGGTACATAGGGCTCGCGAGGATTGTCAGACGTGGGTTTCATGCGAGCTCTATTCTATTCGAGAGCATACACTAAACTCTACAATATGTTTTACTGTTCACTGAAAATGTATTTAAATTGCAATATCTCTTTGTAGAAGTAATACACAAAGCTCATGTTTTGAATACAGTTATACTTCTCTCTCTCCTCCTCTCTCTCTCTTCCCTCTGCCTCTCTCTCTCTTCCCTCTGCCTCTCTCTCCTCTACCTCTCTCTCTTCCCCACCTCTCTTCCTCCCTCTCCCCTCTACCTCTTTCTCCCCAACTTTCTCTCTCTCTCTCTCCCTCTCTCTCACCCTCTTTCTCTCTCTCTTCCTCCCCCCTCTACCTCTCTCTCCCCTACCTCCCTCTCTTCCTCCCTCTCTCCCCTCTGCCTCTCCTCTACATCTCTCTTCCCCACCTCTCTCTCTCCCTCCTCTCTCACCCTCTCTCTTCCCTTACATCAAAACCAAAGCAGGCTTTGGTGATACACACAAACACACACACACGATTAAGGAAAAAGAGATACTCCCCTATAGATCATTCCATAATGTTTACAGTGACAATAATAATTGCAAATTTGATAAAAGTTGATAATATTGAGATGGTCTGAGGTTTATGAGTTCAAAGGTTTATTTGCTTTCCGATACCACTCTGGAAACACAGCGATAATCCGTCCCAGTTATACACGCAAACAAAGTGATGTCATAGACGAATTGTCAATGACATGCCGAACAGTTAGAAATCTCTGTCTGCTGATCTCAAAAAGTTTGTTGTCAATAAAGGGCCTTGAACCTTGCAGGCTGCAGCTGTTTGATGTATTGATCATTGTTCTAAAATATCTGTGTCAAATATGTAAATTTAACGTATTGGATAAAGCTTCATTATTGACAATTATGATTACTGGTAATCATTATGACGATTACAAAGTATTCAGCATACTTGAATTTTATCATGTTTTTCTTGTTCCATTGCTCTCTCTCTCTTCTCTACCTCTCTCTCTCTCTACCTCTCTCTCTCCACTCTCCCTCTTTTTCTTTTCTCTCTTCTCTACCTCTCCCCTCTCTTACTTTCTCTTTCCCTCTACCTCTCTCTCTTCCTCCCTTTCCCCCTCTACCTCTACCCCTCTCTCTTCCTCCCTCTCTCCCCTCTCTCTCTCTTTTCCTCCATCTCTCTCCTCTACCTCTCTCTCCTCCCTCCCTCCCCTCTCTCTCTCCCCCTCTCTCTCTCTCTCCCTTTCTCCTCCCTCCCTCCCCTCTTTCTCTCCCCTCTCTCTTTCTCTCCCTCTCTCTCTCTCTCCCTCTCTCTCCTCTCTCTCTCTCTCCTCCCTCCCTCCCCTCTCTCTCTCTCTCTCTCTCCCTCTCTTCCTCCCTTTCCTCCTCTACCTCTACCCCTCTCTCTTCCTCCCTCTCTCCCCTCTCTCTTTTCCTCCCTCCCCTCTTTCTCTCCCTCTCTCTCTCTCCCCCTCTCTCTCCTTTACCCCTCTCTCTCCCCCTCTCTCTCCTCTACCTCTCTCTCCTCCCTCCCTCCCCTCTTTCTCTCCCCCTCTCTCTCCTCCAAAACAAAGGGGGATACAAAAATGAGACACGATCCTTATTTTTCGATTCGATCCTCAGATAACCCTTTTTTATTCAAATATGACTACACCACAAATGGCAAATACAGTAGGCTTGAGTAAAACGGAGGCCCACAAAGGTAGTAAAAAATATTTATCACATGATCAATGAGCCATTTTTTAAAAGATCTATAAAAACTCGTCAATATTATTTTTTATAAAAATAACATTTGTGTTTTAGATGTAGTTTTGTCGACAACTTTCATTTTAGAAATCGCGCGGTAGGAATCCATCAATAATATTGTTTCCTACTGAAAATTCTGAAGAATTTCGATATCCATACATGATTGCGAAAAATGTAATCTCTCACAATTTTATCATAAAAATGATGGTTATTTACATATTCAGCCTAAAAACTTCAAAAGACAGTCATAGTTGTTACAAATATAACGATTCAAGTCATTGTATGTGGTCATTGAAAACTCCATAGGGTTACAAAATGCTTATAAATAGATTGAATTGAATACAGATAAATCACTAATAAGACAATAACAAACAATTCATCAAAATATTAGGTTGCACTGGGGCATATCCTATGTTAACATGTATACATACCATAAAAGTGTTGTCAAAATACCCATTTTTCAAATTCTATAAGCATGAACTCAACTATAGACATGTACTCTGAAAAGGAGAAGGGTCTTTCATAAAAGATATGTTGATCTCAAATATTCCCACACAAAAAAAGAAAATTCAAAGATGGGGGATGCATGTACAGCCAGAGAATGAGATGAAGACGGCACATGCGGATAAAATCAAACATAATATCTAATAAAAAGACATAAATCTAATAAAGCAAGCTTCCCGAATCTAAGAGCTGTTCAGCAAGCTTTAGAGGCCATTTTCTCACGACTGTCTTAAGTCTTAAATTTGTGGACATCTCATTAAAACATGTTGATTCTATATTTCATGTTTCAATGCAATGTCAAAAAGGTTATACTTACAGCCGTTTTAAGAAAGGGCCTCTCACTAATGAAAATAGAGCATTTACTTGCAAGCTAGATAACAAAAACCAAAAATGCATCAAATCTGGTACCTGAGATCGTTAAACATGAATGTACTTGTAAGAATTACAAAAACAAGCACAAAAATATAAAATGTTATTGAATTTGGGAATAAATTCTTCATTATAACTTTCTCCTAATGTGATAGATTCAAAAGAAATATATAATAACAAGCAGCCATTCTGAATTGTGCAAGAGTTGATAAAGAACTAAAGTGGGTTTGGTGATAAAGGATCAATAAACCTGTTAGAACATTTGATGTTCATGAGTTTCCCTTAAAGACAAATAGATTTTGAAAGAGAAATTAAAGGCCACCTGCCTCGCTTAAAAACATATCAAATAATCATAAAAATAATCATAAAAATACCACAGAAAACTCTTTGCTATAACTTGCAAAAGAAATTTTTTGATGCAATGATAATAAATAATAGAATGAATTAGAGAATTTGAAAAGGATAATATTAAAATAGATTAAATCTTGAAGATGGTTTGTCCCTTTTGCAGACCTAAAAACCTGAAGTTGCGTGAATCCAGTAGTGTATTGAAGAGGTCTGTTATCAGGAACCTCCTATCAAATGTTTTTAAAAAACTACGGAAACTGACTTTCCACAAATATATCTTGAGTGTTTAATTCCAGATATTTATTTTCTAGTCTCAAAGAATGTATTTGTACGTAATTCATAATTAATTTCGACCATTTTATCTGTTGATTTGAGAATACCTTCCTCTACGGCAACATGAACAAAACAGCACTAAATTTCTTATGAAGTATTTTCAGAACCTATGAATGAAAAATTTCAAACAAGATATCGGAAGGATATCTTTTAAACACTCGCCAAGTTTCATGAAGTTTGCACAAGTCTGCAAAAGGGACTCACTGCCTTTAAGGAGAAATTTTTATTAATTTGCTGTACATAAATAGGTATCAGAAGGGGTTACAAAAAGTTATAAATTGTTATATTCTATTAGACTGTACCACCACTATATAAAGTTTGATGTTATGTCTTTATCATAATATTGCTATATAAATCAAAATTGAACAAAATAATTAAATCACAAAATCATACACCTCTATTTCAGATAATGTCAATACACAACGAATTCTACGGGTTAGGATTAGATTACTAGAATCCAGTTTCATTCTGATTTAATTTTTCATCCTCTTCTAATAAATCATAATGAATGGGAAGGTGACAACTTTAAAAGGTCTATACTAGAATCATCTAGTAGTTCATGCTTTAAAAAAAAAAAAGGATTTGAACCAAAGTCAGTGCATGGGGGATATTAAAGTACTGATAAATATTTTACAAAGTGGGAATAAGGGGATAAGAGGATAAGGGATGGTTAAAACCTGTGTAGAAAAAAGGTACACCGAACTCTATAGGTGGGAAAGAAATGTGAAAATAATGGTACCGGTATGTCACCAACAACAAAAAAACAAAAAAGTTCTTTGTTTGATTGGGAAGGGGAAAAAGGAAAAATAATTTTACGGATTGCAACACCAACAAAAAAAAGGGGGGAAAACGGTATGTTGATATACACTGTATTACCACATTAAATGAATACATTTACGCATCATTAATATTAAAACTTAACCCTATAGAACCATTTGAATTCAAGGAAATATATTGCATCTGCGGCTTCTGCGAGAGCTACAAAACTTTAAAATGCATAGGTTTTTTTCCTGACAAAACAATTTCGTATTTTCAATTGAAGCACCATAAACATTTGAAATGCAGAATTCATCATACACGATTTCAAGGTCCATAAAAGACTGATAAAAAGCTTGTAGAAAGTTGGAAAGAAATCATACAAAAAAGTAAACATAAACAAACTTAGTATCAAACATATATATATATTTACTGCAGTCATTTTGAATAGCAAACGCCTCTTTATGCTGCTTGACATCTAAAAGCAATTGTACATAGTTTTTTACACCACAGTACGACTAATATCTTATACAGCTATTGAATAACTTAATCTCGGTATCTCACAGAACTACATACATAAAAAATGAACATGATATTTACAAGATCAAGCACCCATTTTGCTGATTCGCATAGCACCATCAAAAAATCAGTCTTGCTTTACGACAAAAACAAGATAAAAAACTGCAAAAACAAGGCCACGTTTATCAATATTAAATACATTCGTAGCATGTTCAAGTCATACGAACACAACAATTCAGAAAATATCTCGAAGCAAAACATTTACACCTAATAGATATATCGCAACATATAGATAATCCGCTCTATATATTAATTGATCTACAAGAATAGAGGTACTATACAAACAATTCATTGTCAAGCATGAGAAATTAGATTTAAAAAATAGCAAGCGATAAATTTCTTCCATCTCACGATCAAAAAACGCTTACTTAGTTTGTGAGTGACAAGAAGGCTCCCATATCTTGAATAATGATTGATCGGAAGACATACTAATTAAACAAATACAGGTGTAGAGAGATTACTGGTTCTCATCAAAGACACATCGATCTGCAGCATGATTTGAATAATAACATCCTCTGTAGATGCAAGAAGATTATAACAAATATACCTGTGGATTTTGTTCGATATGTTTAAATCAAAGAAGAACAGTTATCATCATTGCATTGGTCACTGTACCATTTATGCTTGAGAACAAATGAATTATAATCTCAAAGTTATGAAAGTCTTTGTAAATAATTAAAGCGGTCTCTTGCTGTAGCAACAGAGGGACCTGCTGTAATAGAAGTTAGCGGTTTGGCTGTATGGAATGAGGCAACCTTTGTAGATTCACAGAGTTAAGGAATATCTTCCGGAGCGTATTTTCAATCCGAAAAAAGTTTTATATCCATACTGTTACCGTGTCTGCAGCACAAATATCTCATACACAGCAAGAGGTAGAAAACATAAGAAATCAATCGAGCATTTAACACAAAATTCTATAACTTCAAAGAGAAATAAACTATTTAAAAAATAACCTCAAACTGAACTAGATTTTCGTTAATCCATCCCTAGCGTTCTATTCACTTATCTTTTTTCCCCTACATTTGTATGTAGGATTATCAAACTAATCTTGAAAACAGAATTGTAAACATTAACAAATGACTTGGACAAGTTTGGCAGTAATGTATAGAATGCTAATAATATTAAATAACTTCGCTAAATATTTCAACAATCTAAATCAAACAAAAAGAAAAACAACCATATATTATTATGACAGGGGTCAAACTTCTGTTCCCCCCTCGCCGCTATTTTGACCTTGATATTTGGCCTCTAAATTGACCTTTTTAACTTTGGCCTGTGACCTATATAAGTTGTCAGGCTTGTAAAGATTTAGAGTGCTGACTTTGACCGACTTTTGAATGTCCATTTCCATTTCCATTTCTTCATCGTCCAGCTTCGGATAAGCCGCTTTGACCGACGCCAGGCTCGCTCTAGACGCGGCTCGGTCTCGATTGTTCGGGACCGGCTCTGTCTTTACCTCCTCTCTCCTTCTTCTCCGTTCTCTTCTCCTCCTACTGATGAAAAGTATAATGATGAATATTACAAGAACAATAGCCACTAATACTGATGCAATGGTTGTAATGTTTGAATCGATACCCTGATTTGGTTGAACTACGAGGTCTTCTTTGCTGAGTAAGAGAGGATGCATGTTGGTTCCGTTGGGCGTCTTGTTGCCAGCAGCACGTTTGTTAATGGCACCCATCGCGGAGCGTTTGTATCGGGCCGGTCCATCAGTGGGTCCTATGGTGTAGACGACTTGCATGTACCACTGGTGTCCAGAGTTGACCTGAGGGTGTGAAGGAGAGAAGAGAAAAGTGAATGATAACTCCATTGATGAGAGCATCTCACTCTTTTATATTCATCATCATCATTGCAAATGTCACATTGTTGATTGAATGCTATCAACAACACACCATTATTCACAATCACGGTGATCACTTATCATTGTAGGCGATCGTCACAGTAATGATAGCAGCATAACTTTAAATATTGCTATCACTCTAACCCTTAACAACACATCAAAACCACTACCAAGTCATTTTACACCCTCTTCATTACCGTTCCAACAATCAAAAACGCTATGGTGATGGCAATCACCATTGCTACTACCATCATCAACTACTGTTGCCATCAACATCATCATCATTACCAACAACTACATCACCAATACCCCTGTCACTAGCACTACTGTCATCATCCACTAATGTGATCAACCACCACTACAACCAACATCATCTTTACTACCAGCACCACCATCATCCCCACCACTACTACCACCATTCCCAACACCACTACCCCCACCACAACCACCACCATCACCACTACAACCTCCACCAACACTGCCATTACCACCACCACTCTCAACCACTATACCACTATTAACTCCACTACTATCACTGCACTCTACTATCAACACAATCACCACCAATCATCAACATTCACTACCACCAACACCACACCATCCACAATACTCCTAAGTACACCAATACGATCATCCACCAACACCAACACCACCTCCTTCCCCCACGATCGCCTCTCATCTCTTCCTCACCTTGTACAATGGATCCACGTTCATAGTAAACCCGTCCACTCCAGGCATCTGGCTTACGACTTCATAGGATAAAGAGTTTCCTGCAAACTTGGCATCGAACGGCACATCGTTGAAGTCGGGATGGACTGCGTCCGGGTTCCCGCGATCCTGAGATGAACAAAATTCACAAAAAAATCTTAACCAAGGCAATCCTTCGGGAGATTTTTAAAAAATGGCCACTTACTGAGACAATTTCATACTTCATACATCCATGGGGGAATTTCACAAAACTTGTCATCAGTGACAAATGACAGTTTTTGTTATAAGCTACTGAAATCCTTGCTTCTGATTGGTTATCAGCAGATTCGTCACTGTTTTTTTTTCATTTGTCATCGAAAAATGGCTTTGTGAAACGCCCCCCAGAAGTTCACATTTATATTTGTCACACCCTCCTGGGGTAGAACCCTATGAGGATGCATTAAAAAAATAACCCTGACTCTATGACTCTACGATTTTGTATGTCAACCACAAAGGTAACCACTTATATGTTAACATGACAATTTTGAATAGTGAGGATGCCATCATCATCATCATCATCATCATCATCATCATCATCATCATCATCATCATCATCATCATCATCATCATCATCATCATCATCATCATCATCATCATCATCATCATCATCATCATCATCACCATCATCATCACATTTGTTTAAACTATTGTTCCTCATTATGTTTAACAGGGCCTCATGGAAGACCAACATTAATTGGTGATGAGTCACCCTCTCTAAATATCAGAAATAAATCAATAAAAAAAAAATCATCATCATCATCATCATCATCATCATCATCATCATCATCACCACCATCCTCATCATCATCTCTACCACCACTACCATCACAATCATCATCATCTTCATCATCATTGTTATTGTAATTACAAGTCTAGGGCCGTAATTAACTCACCAGGAGCAAGAACCTTTCTCGAAGGTGAATGTTGTCCTGCATACAACCAAACTGTGGTCCCTCTTCGTAGACCGTTCCAGATGGGTCGTAGTACGGCACATGGCCGTCATTGCCGGTACAGATGAAGAGTTTCTGGATCTGGAGCTTGTAGGCCCGGTCCAGATCCTGGTCCGGGTTCCACAGGACCCTACCAAAAATGGTTTGTCCTACACAAGACAAAAGAGGGCAAAAGGAAGACAAAAAGTTTAATTTTAATACCATAGGTGACAAGACTCTCTTATCTGTTTTGAGGACAGCTATCGTCCACTTTGGTCAAATGTGCTTACTTCACAGCCATGCACAACTACTCAACAAAACAGTCTAGGAATTCAATTGATAAAGAATAAAGAATTGCAACTTTTACTGTCTGTTTGTCTCAGAAATCAAACCATTATCAAAGAAATATTTCAAAATGCATAATCAGACAGTCTAGCTTTAACTGGTGCTTTTTTCATTATCAAAATAAAAGTAGAAGTTTTTATAACCCGTTGATTCGAACATTTACAGTGATGTTACTATCACATGTTAGACCCAACAGAAATTGGGTTTCCTAATACACTACACATACATTGAAGCATTGATAACACAGTACGAAGTTTAAAGCTTATCTCAAGAACAATAATGAGGCGATCCCAGCCAGAAAAACAACAGTTCGCCGAGTCAAAGCACTTTTAAGACTAAGCTCAGTGGAATGGCAGGGTTTATATCTATCAAACTTCGGCCCTCTCGTTCTTTCGGAACTTTGGAATGGGGGATTGGCCTTATCTTGCAAAAAATGAAGAATCAAATTAAGATTGCTACGACTATCAAAGGACTTCATATAATTTAAATGGGGCGAACAATAACCTTCAATATTTACTCGACATTCAATAACCTTAAGTGCATTTTCAAAGTTTTATGACCTCATTATGGCGAGAGACAAAACAAAACAGAATTGGTACCTCATTAAACACAACTCATCTCCATAACCGAGTAAATACATGTAAACTCTATTTGCTTTGAACAGAAGAGTACTTCAAAAGAAAGACGACCAAAAGCAAACATCCCTAAGTACTGTGTCAGTAATTTGTAATATTATGATATCATTGTATGCATTGGTCACACAACTATACACTTGTAGACGAAAAAAGAAAAGAAACCAGTATTATCATTAATAAAAGAGGGCTCTCCACACTAACGGAATCTGTTTTGCTGATTCTGCAACTTTTTAAAGTTTGGAATATGGTTTACTTAAAGGATATTAAGGGTGATTAAACTTAGCCAAATAAAAAAAGAGGTGGCAGTTTTGTTTAAACAACCTTGGGAACTATAATAAGTCGGTCAACAGTTTATGAGAGGTAAATTGTAGGTAGGAGGTCATACGTTTGCATTGCTTTAAGTTCTGCTGAAAATCGTTGAGTCAGCATTTTTTCTTCTTCATTGTTTGACATATCAGCATAGAGACATGAGTCAGGGGAGAAAAGAAAGGAGGTGGGGGGGGGGGGGGAGATAGAAGAGCAGAGTAAAGATTGGAGGAAGAAAGAAAAGACAAGAAGGGGGGAGCTGGAAGAAAAATAAATTGGAGGCAGAAGAGCTAGGGAAGGAAAGAACAAAAAGAGGAAAGGAAGAATTGAAAAAGGATGGAGGGGGTAGATAGAGAGAAAAGGGGAAAATGAGGGAGAAAGAAAAGGGTGGGAAAAGGGAGAGGGAAAAGGGAGGGAAACGAGGAGGGAAACAAGGATGGATACATTTGGAGATGGGTAAGGGGGGGGGGGGGGAGGATAGGAAAGGAGAGAAGAAAATATAGAAAGGGAAGGTACAGATACAGATTCATATAAAATGAGAATGGAGAAAAAATGGTTGAGAGAGATGAAAAGTTAAAGGAAAAAAACAAAAGGAGTTTAAAAGGAAGGAAACAAGGTGATACAAAATTAAAAATAGATAATTTATAGAAGAATGAAAATAATACCTTTTGAAAATGCTCCTTTATAATCCATCTCCCCCAGTGTCATGGAAGCCTCGACAGGATTCATCATGAAAACCTTCTCATTATTCATCAGATGAAACTCGGTGTTTAGAGAATAGACAACCGGTACCGGTCGATTCGTCTGCTGGAAGGCTATTGGCACAACGAACCTGTACAACAAAGGGGAAAGTAAACAAAAGAAACGCCTTTAAAATACACATAGTACAAAATGATGACAGATAGAGTGAACATCTGTGTTCAATATACAAACACCCAAAGGAGGTTCTGAAATATCCACTACAAACACTCACATTTCATGAGCTACATTGTACATCCCTCGTAAATCAATGTCTTCAAATTAAAAACATATTTGTTCAATTGACAGATTCTATTTTGTAGAATTGATTAAAAAAAGGAGCTCTGAACCAGCGCAGCTGAATATATTTTGTATAAAAGCGCCGCTATATAACTGTTTTATTATCATTATTAATGTATTATTATTATTATATGAAAATCATCACAATGAATCAAAGCAAAGGTTTAGAATTATTTGCTAAAAACTAGTGGACAAGGTACTGAATATATATTTATTCCCAACAGAAGTTAGTTTATCAAACAAAACGGATCGAATAATTACTCCTTAGTTCACAGTAACCCAGCTACTGCACATATCACCATAGGTTAAAAGTTTACTCCCAAAATAGTTACATGCTTTGTAAATGTACACCTCGTCTACATGGTATAAATGTTTGTGTAATGCCATCTAGTAAAACGGTGTTTTACCCACTAATGAGGCCATCCCGGTAATAACAAAAATAAATAAATACTTGATAAAATAAAGACAAAACTCTTTGTAAAATATTGACTTGGTGACTTACTTCTCAGGTGGGTGCCCAGTGCAGACGATAGGCATATCAGGAGCTACATGGTATGACTGGGTAGGTGTCACTGTGCATGGAATCAACTCTATGATGTAATCCCCTGAATAATCCTGAAATAGATGAAAGAGATAAATGAAGAATAAGCATGTTTTATTTGCATTGCTGTTTTTCCCTCTTATCCCCCTTCTCTGCATAATTCTCTCTGTCTCTCTCTGAACCTCTGTCTACAAGTAGGTCTCTTTTTTTTTCTTTTTTTCTGTCTCCCATATCTCCTTGGTCTCTTTCTGTCCCTTCCTTTTCACCTCTCATTTTCTCTCTCTCACTTTCCCTCTCTCTCTCTCTCTCTCTCTCTCTCTCTTTCTGTCTCTCTCTCCATCCCTCTCTCTCTCTCTCAAATCTCTCTGAATCCCTGTCTACAGTAGGTCTCTTATTTTCTCCATCTCCCACATCTTCTTGGTCTCTTTCTATCCTTCCCTTCCATCTCTCTCATTATTTTCTCTTTGCTCTCTCTCTGCCTGTCTATCTCTCTGAACCTAAGTCTACAGTAGGTCTCTTATTTTCTCCGTCTCCCACATTTTCTTGGTCCGTTTCTGTCTCTTCTCTTTGTCCCTCTCTCATTATTTTCTCTCTCACTCTCTTCCTTGTCTTTCAGTGACTCTCTTTTCCTGTTGTCTCTGTAAGATACTGTACATATAAAACAGATATTGCCCGTTTGGTGCACAAAGGGCATTAACATGTTATTATGTATTGTATTTTGTTGGAAATGAAATGAAATGAAAAAATAAAAATGAAATGAAATGAAATGAAATTAACATGTATCACTTCACATACAGATAATGCCCTTTTAATTGGCTCCAAACAAACAATAACCTGACTGGAAAGAGAGTTTCACGTACCTTTCTGTTGTAGGAGCTTGTGGCTCTCCATAGCTGCTGTGGACTGTCAAAGGTTCCTTCGCTCCAAAGGAGCTCCAAGTCAAAGGCCACACCAAGCTCTAAGGGTGGGACTACACGAGACTTGTAGTTCTCAAGGGTATGGTGGTTGACAACAAATAGACCTGAAAAGGGGAAAAAACAAAACATTTATTTGTTATTGAATAAAGATAAATTCCTGATTAGATTTTACAAATGCACAACAATTCAATGGTCCAAAGTATTGAAGACCTCTGAAAAAAAAATATTAATCTCTTGTGACGTTATGTTGGGCAAGGTATCAACATTCTTAGTATTACCAAGACTGTGATAAAATTCAATGCCATGTGTCCCCTTGGTAAACAATCCCCATAGTTAAAAATCACCAGTTGATATCATCATCATCATAAAATTTTGCTTTGTCCCGTGCTGTGGTGTTGAGTGTCCTATTTCTTTAATGGTCTTTCGGTCTTCAGCATCTACCTGGGAGAGGCAAGGTGCTCTCATATCTTTTCTTTGAATGTTGATCTTTAGTTTATCTATTTCTTTATTTAAAAAATTTATACAGGATGACAATATCAACCAATGCTGTTTTTCATATTGGTCCTGTATATACCTTTGACCAAAAAAATTCTCTATCATCCTCAGTACTACGAAAACTACACCCAATTTTCATCTCCATGTTTCTCTTACCTCTAAATTTTGTTGTGGTTTTGAAGTCGATGACCAGGTTGCCGCCATCTCCAATCCATATCCTTAAGACCTGCAGTCTACCACTCAGTACGCTCTCTGTTTCCAGACCAGTACGCCAAAGAATTGTACTAAGGAAGAGAAAAGTGGAAAAGGGGTGAATTGTATTTAGTACGATTGAAGGAAATGTACATGCCTCCTTATCACATTCTACTCTTATCTGTGAAAATGAGTATTTATATATAATTTGACAAGAAGTCAGATTTTCATTACCACAACTAAAGGTACAATAATGCCGCATCTTTGATCTTATTTCTGGAAAACTCTACCTAATTTTTTTCAATCAACAATGTTAACTACATGTAGTTATAATTAATCATTTCTTTTCTGTTGCAGTCGAGAAAGTGTAATGGGAATGAAGAGTATTGATTAACAAGGGGAGAGCAAGAAGTAGAGAGTGAAAGAAGGAGACTGTATTCAAGCAAAGCTGGCTCTTGATTTAGTAAAGACAACTAGCTTTCGAAGTGTTGTTTAGTAGTATTAATTAGTATTCACCTGTAGAAGAATGAAAACTCCATCTCTGTCCTATGGTCCAGTGAAGCCCATCCTGTAGGAGCCATCACATAGATGTAGGAGACGTAAAGAGGAACAGTCACTGTCAAGAAACTCTTATCCCCGTCCCTGACCTCAAAGTCCGAGCTAACAGCGCCCCCACACAGGTCGATGAGCTCAGTCATGTGATAGTAGGCATCAAACTGCCAGGTACAGCTCTTAAGGTTCAGGTTCTTGTAGAGCTGTAGGGTGCGTTCCTCTCGGACGTTGGGGTCGAACTGGTAGGGGTAGTCGTACCCTGGACCCATCACCATGTTGTCATAGTCGACCTGGTCCAGGAAGGAGTACTCCTGGAGGCTGTTGCCATGCTCGGTGTTGATGAGGTTGGAGCAGATGTGGGCGGAGCGGTAGACAGGCTCAGTCAGAAGGAGGCGGATGTTGTGGATAGCGATGGTGGAGACGATGGGTAACATGCCGTCCTGGTGGGGAACTTCAACCGAGACGTGCAGGGAGTTTGGATGCTCCTCTTCCGAGGGTCCAATGTACTGCAGGTTGGCGATGAACGACTGCGCCTGGAGTCCCCGCGAGACGCCGGCCGTGACGGGGGTGTGGCAGATGCCGTTCTCCGTCCCGATGGTCACTATGTTGCTGCGGAGCGGCACGCCAGGGCGCCCTCTCATGTCGTAGGGCTGAGAGACGCAACGGACCTGGAAGCGTCGGCTGAAGTAGATGCTGTCCAGGACTTTGTGGTTTGAGCTTGAGAAGGGCGTCGTGTCTACGATGCGCTCGAATGGGGTGCGGGTCCCGTCGTTGTCCATGGGTGTGGAGACCTCCCAGTTGTAGCGGATGCTGGAGATGTTGATGCCGGAATCCAGACACATGGAACGCGTCATGGAGTACTCCGGGAAGTGCGGATCACATGGCTGAGAAGGAAAAAAGGGATGACATAGATATCAACGACTCTTACAATTGATATAAAGTGTACACATGCAACAAAATATTATGGACGTACACTGTACATATTTATACAGTTTTAATGCAGAGACATGCAAATAAAACTTAAATCATATAATAAAGCAGGGAACCACCACAATTATGCCAAGGAAAACACAGAGTACAGAAAGTTTGCAACAGCCCATTTCCCACTATCTTCACACAAAAAAAGATCACACCCATGTATATGTCAGCAATACATGGATTAAATATCTTCTGAACTTCAAAATATTGAGCCACAATTTCACACATACTTCACTAAGACATGATAATGTACACAATCAATTAACCTACCTGAATGCTGCTACTCCATATGTTAGTGTTAGAATGTAAAAATGACACGAGAAATCACCTAGAATTAGGCAAAAATCAGATAAATTGTTTCCAAGCTTCTGCAACTAGGTGGAAATTAATATACTCCACACAAGAAATGCAAAATTCCATTAGCATAACCCTGTATATTATTACTTTTCCCCAAACTTTCAAATGCCTATTTCTCAGATTTTTGTATATCAAAGGCAACATGATTCTTGATGCATGAATATCAGATGGTTCTCCTAGCCTGAAAAGAGCCCCAGATATTTTGAAGTTAATTCAATTAAAAGCCTGTAAAGGCATTTCATCAAATCCTGAAAATGCCATTCTTAATTCTGAGGTTTAGCTCCCATTAAATGACAAGAAGAACTCACTGTGCAGCAGACGAGTGGATAGCCAGGCGAAGGATCAATGTCCAGAGCTGAACCGATATTGTCATAGTCCATCAGCGATACAACCTGAAAAGAGAGGAAAATAAATAAAAGTCAGCATATGACAAGTATGCATTCCATGCCATTGATCATTTTCAAGTTTGGTAAAAAATATAAGAACAAAGCTTGGTTTTGTTAGAATTGGCAAATGCCATTCCCACCTGATCTCAATATATAATTTAGAAATATTTAGAAGAAACTCGTGGTGATCATCATTTCTTACATCTTTGATTTCTTGCCTAAATTTTTGGTCCGTTTTGGAGCTTTTTCCAAGGTGTAATTAAAGTAACGGAATAGATATGAAAGAATACAAAGAGAAACCAATTACAATGACAGAAATATTGATGAATTTCTGTGCTTCTTCTTGCCAAAATAGAAGTACTCTGGACTAAAAGACTCATGCTGTGTGAGTCGGTGTTCATATCCTTGCACACATACATTTTTGAAGAATTATAACTTAGCCCTCCCATTTTCTCAAATGAATTAGATTTAAAATAGAAGACTTACCACTGGTGGTGCAGGGAGCACAACACTACCGGCCGCCTCCTCGTCGATCACTGTGACCGTTGCCGTGGAAACAGGGCCCAGCAAAGCATTCTCCGGGCCTGTGGGTCCCAGGATGATGGAGAAGGTCTCATGCCACTCCATGTCTCCATTGTATAAGATCTCGACCTGGATGTCAATCGACTGAACAGCTATAGACAAGAGAAAACAAAACAAAGGAAGAGAGTTAGAAGCTGCTTATAAGTGTCGGCTTCGATGGTGATGTAGATATACATCTTGATGAGGGCTAGTCAACCTGTTCGAAACGTCGAGCCCGTCCTACCACCCATCCTCTCCTTACTGCAACCCATACTGGCGCTATAATTCTTTTTAGAACTATAAGCTCAAGACAGATTACACCAGACCTTCTAGGACTACCACGGTCCTTTTTTGGGACTACACAAGAAAGATTACCAACAGTCCTTTTCAGGACTCCCAAATCCTCCCCTCTCACGTGGTTGCAACCGTAAGCTTACTGTATCAAGGAAGAAAGTGTACAGTCATCTTCTAACACTTACACATGTACATTGGTGAATCAGTACATCATTTTGATAAGCATCAAAAGATTGCCTGGGATAAGTGACGGAACTGTCACAGCAGTTCCTTATCTTGTGCTATAGTTCACTCATACAGAACTCTTCCTCCACATACAGGTACACTATGTCTATAGTATAGAGTCCACATTACATTCTGGAATCACTTTTATATTTGTTTCAGGAAAGTTCTTTTTAATAATTGTCCTTTCCGTCCGGCAGAGTGTTACTTGAAAGTCAACAGTAGCAGGGGATATAGGCACGACTTAAAGTTTTTGTTATAAGCTACTGAAATCCTTGCTTCTGATTAGTTATCAGCAGATTTGTCACTGATTTGTGTAATGTTTAATTGAAAAAGAGGCTTTGTGAACCAGGGCCCAGGTGAAGCCATCAACTTTTGATACCCTGAAGACTACCTTCTCAGTAAGTCCACCTACCTGGCTCAAATCGTAGGATCTTAGAGTAAGGTTCATAGTCCACTCCTGACTTGGCTGACCCGTCCCTGGTGCTACACCTCACGCTGGACGTCCGATTATGATCTCCTGTCCGGATCACCCTGATGTCCACATAGTTCGTGGAGTCTTGACCGCTCGGCTCTCTGACACTGTACGCCATCCGCTCAAACTGGAGTGTAGGTGCTGTAGCATAAAAGGGAATGGAAATTTAGTTATAAGTCTTTCAGAGTAACCACTTGTTTGTGGGGTGCCTCACCAATGACTACCTATTGAATTAAACCAGAGAATTCATGTAAGGCAAGAAGATGATCACATTCATGTTGATACCATTCTAAAGGAAGTAACTACTAAGAATCCCTCTGTAGAATCAAAGGGCCAAGAAAATATTTGACTTGAATTAGCCCAAAATGTTTCAGCTGCTTCTCAACAAATATCTTCCCTCCTTCTCACCCCCTTCCCATCCCCCTCAAAGGATATAAAAGGAAGTACTGGAAACTACAGAGAATCCCTCTGTAGGATCAAAGGGCCAAGAAAAGATTCTTAAATATGCCCCAAATGTCCCAGCTGCTTCTCAACAAATATCTTCAAAGGATAGAAAAATCAACATAATCGAACCCTGCTCAAACATACCATCTTCACTATCCGTCACTGTAATAAGGGAAGTTTTGTTCTCTCCTATTCTCGCGTCGCAGATATCACTTCCGTACGGCATCGTCAGCTTGACAATAAACGTCTCGTCTGGTTCATACGTACTGTCTTCTACCAATCGTACAGTGCAGTTCTTGATCTGTAGAAAAATAGGATGAAATGATGATCATTTTCTGTTTCAATCCTTCGTTCTCTCTTCTATGTCATTTGCTTGATATTCTTTCCTCAAATTTTAAGAGCCGAGTCATATCAATCCATTTGTTAGAATGAAATTAAGTGAAAATCTGTTTTATTCTTAAACTCCCTCTCTCTTGCTTTTCCTAGCATATTTTAAATGTCTGTACTATCGCAGCAAGATGAAACAGGAGGGAAAAGAATCAATACATACAACACGATAATTATTCACCATTACAAATACCATCTTACGCCTGAAACATCACCATAATAAAAATTGAAACCTGCAATACCATCTGACACCAACACAATCAAAACAGTATCATAAAGACAAACACCAAAGATGAAGTCACCCCAATAGTCAGAATATCATGATAAAATGATAGCTGAGTTAGAGAGGGTATAACGTGAACAACTCATAGAAGGAAAACTGTGTAACAGAAAAACATTTCTGTTCTTAGAAGCTCTTTGAGGATTTGGCGTTGTATAAGTATGGTTTTCTCGCAGAGATATTTAAGTATTATTTTTTTATTTTTTTCACCAGAGCTTTTTTTCTATTTACCAGGGCTTAATACCTTTTCTCCTGGAGCAAAGACGATTCTGAAATCATCCGTATTGAGTCTCTCGTCATAATCCATCATGACCTGAGCTGTCTTCTGACGGGTGAAGCATCTCACCGATGATTCGTACGATAGATCACCGGTCCTGATCACAGGTACATGGACCACACCCAACTTCTCTTGCACGGTGACCTTGGTGGTCAGGAACTGCATTGTGGGTACTGAGAGTGAAACAAGGTACATATGCATTATATATTAGAGAATGTATATCATAAACTATGATATTAACAGCATATCAAATCTTTATTTGGCTAGATTTGCCTAAAAAGTTACTAAGTATTCAGAAAAGATAACAATTAGCAATATCGCAATGTAGATATCTATTGGCACCTATTTGCCAAAAACAAGTTTCATATAAAAAGACATAATCTATATGTATTTTGATATTCAATCTTCTTTCAATGTGTATTTCAATATGTGCGAGAATGAATAAGAAAAGGATTACCTTAAGATCTGATGGAGAAAGGACATGTACAAGTATGCATTCAAAAGCAAAAGGAAATTCATGAATATCATTTATTCCTAAAAGAGCACAAGCTGGGAGATTGATCCCCAAAATGCGACTCGTCGTCATCAATGAGAGACAATTTATCTATCCACCATGTCCTACAAACAGAGTGTTGTTCAGTTGATTCTACAGGATAATGATTCCACATATCAATAACTCAGAATTCAATTCTTTACAATGGACAAATTATTTGGAATAACCTCCCACCTAATCTCAAGAATAGTAAGACCGTAAAAGAGTTCAAACAATTATTTAAACAACACCTCCTGAACACATAAATGATAAATATTTTGTTGATGTTTCCTTTCTTTTCTTCCTTATCAAATGTCTTATATTTTCTTACAATGTATAATATGTTATGTCTATACTTTTAAGGGGTCAATAAGCCAATTAGTGCTTTTCATGACCCTGCCACTATTATTCATATGTATATGTTATTGATTTGTAAATTGTTTTAAAAGTGGAAATAAATTGAATTGAATGGAATTGAATACAAGTACATACCATCATCGGCAGTGTCATTGATGACTACAATGGCCTCTGAAGGCGTTCCTAGTCCTGAGCTCATCGCAGAGCTCAGGAAGACAATGAATGTCTCGTTGCCTTCCAGATGAGGGCTAGCAGAGTCATCCACGATCGTGATACGACAAACCTAGTTCAGATAAAAGCATGGATTTAGTTAGAAATAATTGATGAAATTTAGAGGGAAAAGGGTAAAACCATTTATATTCTGCCCTAAAAATGTTATCTTGCATGTTTACAACACAAAACTATATGTGATAGGAATGAAAACTTATTAACAGAATTCTTAATAAATACAAATTTATTCATGCAAAGCCTTAATGAAAGGACAGTCTATAAGAATATAAGTAATTTTGTAACCATTATATTACTCTTTCTTTAAATTTTAAGAGACATTGGGTAAAACTGCATCTTATGATAATTCAAAAGACAAGCCCCAGTCATATTTTCCCAAACCAAAATTGGAATTTAATGAAAGTTTGAGTTAAATTGGATAGAGCAAATGCTCAGATACATGTAAAACATGTTGTGGCCTCCCATGAAACAGAACAAGGGTACCCTATAAATAAACAAAATGCAATCAAATCAAGTCAAATTAAAATCGACCCCAGCTTACCTCCACTGTCTGCTGGGGGTTAAAGGTCAGCATATTGGCGTTAGGGACGAAGTCTTCTCCCGGCGAGGCCGACTGAGGGAAGGTGGACTTGGGTGCGCACCAGACCATGGAGGTGTACGAAAGGTCGCTGCCATGGCGATAGACCTCGATCTCCACCGTCCCAGCGTTCTCTCCAAATACATAGTTGGAGTGGCCGAAGAAGATGGTTGATTCTAAAAGGAAGATGAAAATAAAATAAAGATAAATTACAAAGTATATCCTATTGGGTCATAAAGTATAAAATACAAGTTGCTCAGAAAGTAGCAGCTGGAAGGGACAGGACCCTTTCTTTCATTCAGTTTCCCCCAAATAATCATAATTGATGCAAGTTTGATATACATATATATATATATATATATATATATATATATTATATGCCAGTTGAATTTATCTTAACAAAATATGACATAAAAATGTTAAGAAAATATTTGTCTACAGTCAATCAAAGATGAGCATCTGTCTCAGTACCTAATATCAGTAACCCTAATCCTAAAGGATCTGGAACCATCTGCTAGGCTCAGCAGTCAATGCAAAAGGAATTACCCACTTCAAGGAGGCTGCTCTACCCTCCATCAGAATGATGCAGCCCCCTCTTGGTTTCACATCATATAAGCTTACCAGCTTGGTTTTTACTTGCACTGGGCTTAGCATATTTCACTGTAAATTGACAAGTGCTTTGTCCACACACCATTCCAGCACTTCATGACACTCCTTGTAGTTACTCGCCTCACCTACCATCCCAGTTTAGCTTCCTTAATGAGCTGCCAAAGTACTAAGTATGGTTACCATGTTAACTGACTTACCATCATTAGGTCCATCGATGATAACGCTAGCTCTTGCCTTGCTTCCTATCCTTGTGTGGAAGGAAGGCATAGACAAGGCTATCTCAAACTCCTCCTGCTCCTCAAACAAAGAATCATCAATGATCTGAAATAATAATAATAATATTAATAATAATATCTGGTTCTTGTATAGCGCATATCACATTATATAATGTCTCTATGCGCTTCCAAAGAGCGTTTGGAAATTATTACCCTAGCTTTAGGCCTGGCAGCCGTAATCAGCACACAGTGCATTTCAAGGAATAATCCTACCAGGTACCCATTTACCTCACCTGGGTTGAGTGTGGCAAATGTAGATTAATGAAAGATAAAGGGCCCAGGTGAAACAAGATACATTGTGGTCTAGAGGATAGGTCACCATACTGAGGATCACAAGATATCGGGTTCAAATCCCTCCCACAGCACAAACATCCTTTGGCAAGACATCGATCAAAACTTGCCAAACTCGTCCAAATTGTCTACCAGGTTCAATCATACTCTTGCAACGAAGTGTGCACCGACAATGATTGCCCTAGCTAAATCTGATGAATAATATCCAAAGCTTTTTTTAAGGCTTTCGGGATGTTAAACTGTGCGATGTCTAGAAGAAAAAAAATTGAATGATATCATCATCATCAAGACAAGATAGAAAATGTTTTTATTACTGCTCAACTTGAATTTGGAAGACAAAAGAAAGAGGGGAATGTTTTAAGTTGCCGTGTTCTTTCCATTCAGCTGATAACAATCACATAGACTGGGAGAAGGATACCTGAACAAATTTTACCAGTTACCTTAACATACATCACTCACCTTGATGTCGCATGATGCAGTGTTGACTCCTTGAGGGAAGACTACCTGGTACTGCAGGGCCATGCCTCTAGTCTTGTAATCAGACCCTGATTCTAGCCCAGTCAGGCTGCTGCCTGTCGCCGTGCGAGGGATGGTGAAACAGATCGCCGACACCGATGTGCTCGAGTCACCTTAATGAAGAAGAGAGGAAAATAATTGATCGAGATTCAAAACAAAATGAGTCAAATTCCCATGGTAATTATATATTATTACTATTCATTTATATATTGATGTCAGTAATACCAACAAATATAAACAAAATGGATGTTTATCAATGTACCAGTATGCTGTTTTGAACAATAAAAAAAAACTGTTGAGAGTCTCTTGCAGCTTGGAGATAAAGAACGCTCTCTGATTTTTACGCATGACCGTGTTGTATTTTGCATAATAAAATGTTAAGTTGACTGCTCTTTTTTATATGATGGATAGAAATGGAGAAATGCTCAATTCTCCTTTGGAATAATAGACACAAGCCACGCCTCTTAGTAAAGAGCCAAACTAAAAACCTCTCTTACCTTTCCTTACTACTGGAGCGAAGAGGAAGCCAGCACTTTCATCGACATGATACTCAAGATCTGCAAACTCAATACTAGGTTCTGAAGAAAGAAAAAGAATATACAAAAAATGACAAAAAAGTGTTATTAATAATAAACAAATGATCTTGAAAATCAGATGACAAATCAATGACATCTGATGGCAATGAAAGCAAAGTTTGTACAAAAGGTGCTTGATAATTGATGTAGAAATAGTTAAAGGCAACAACACTGTGGTTCTTTCTATTGAAAGAACTTTTTAATCGATTGACAACCACAAGCGTCTCCTAATTATTGACCAACATAAAGGTATAATCCAAGCAATTGCCTTTAAAAAATACATAGCTGATAAATAGTAATGAGCCAGATTCTAATAATATCTGTCTGTTAGCATGATTCCCTTGCTCTTAGTAGTACTTGTGGAAGAAGCCTTCATATAAGTTCCAGGTAGTCCGCTGTGTGTACCATTTATAAAGAGGAAGAAAAGTTTGCAATGGAGAACACATACCATCTTCAATATCATTGATTGAGACAATGGCTCTGGATGGTTCTCCCAGCAGCGCATAGGCCGGTGTGCTGAGCACCACGATGAAATCTTCCGGTCCCTCAAAGATGGCATCATTGTTGATGATGATGGTGCAGGTCTTGGTCTCCTCTCGCTCCTCAAACTGGACCTGGCCCGAGTGTTCCACGTAGTCGTTCTGGCCCTGGCGCGGGTTGGTGCGAGAGGAAGAGGTGGCGGAAGCAGACTCGGTGCTGCACAGGACAATGGCATACTAGGAAAAGAAGAGGGGGAAGAATAAGTAATGATTCTTGACTAATCTCTCTTCTTTTCAGTTGCTCTTCATTCCTCTCTTTATCTTCTATCTCCCTTGCATTTTATCTTTCTTACTTGAATCTCTCTCTCCATCTCTCCCCCCCCCCTCTCTCTCTCTCTCTCTCTCTTTCTCTGGCGCTCTCTCTCTCTAACCCCTTTTCTCTTTCTTCTTGCTTTAATTGTGTTTCACTCTCCTAATCGTCCTCCTTCCCCTCTCTCACTATATATCTATCTCTCTCTCTCTCTTTCTCTCTCTCTTTCGCTATAAATCTCTCTCTCTCTCCATCTCTCCCCCTCTCTCTTTCTCTCTCTCTCTCTCTCTGGCGCTCTCTCTCTCTAACCCCTTTTCTCTTTCTTCTTGCTTTAATTGTGTTTCACTCTCCTAATCGTCCTCCTTCCCCTCTCTCACTATATATCTATCTCTCTCTCTCTTTCTCTCTCTCTTTCGCTATAAATCTCTCTCTCTCTCCATCTCTCCCCCTCTCTCTTTCTCTCTCTCTCTCTCTCTTGCGCTCTCTCTCTCTAACCCCTTTTCTCTTTCTTCTTGCTTTAATTGTGTTTCACTCTCCTAATCGTCCTCCTTCCCCTCTCTCACTATATATCTATCTCTCTCTCTCTTTCTCTCTCTCTTTCGCTATAAATCTCTCTCTCTCTCCATCTCTCCCCCTCTCTCTTTCTCTCTCTCTCTCTCTCTCTCTCTCTGGCGCTCTCTCTCTCTAACCCCTTTTCTCTTTCTTCTTGCTTTAATTGTGTTTCACTCTCCTAATCGTCCTCCTTCCCCTCTCTCACTATATATCTATCTCTCTCTCTCTTTCTCTCTCTCTTTCGCTATAAATCTCTCTCTCTCTCCATCTCTCCCCCTCTCTCTTTCTCTCTCTCTCTCTCTCTGGCACTCTCTCTCTCTAACCCTTTTCTCTTTCTTCTTGCTTTAATTGTGTTTCACTCTCCTAATCGTCCTCCTTCCCCTCTCTCACTATATATCTATCTCTCTCTCTCTCTTTCTCTCTCTCTTTCGCTATGAATCTTTCTCCTCTCTCCTCATTTGGACATCAAATTTGTGCATACAGGTATAACATTGTAAACATTCATTCGCCTCTCACTCTTTTTCACAGACACTGCATGATTTTAGGGATCTATTTAACAATGCTTCATCTTTGCTTACATCTTTAAAAATTACTTAACACTTAATTTGAACAATCTTTAAACATTGAAAAATGATGCTTAAACATTGCTTCAACATTGCTTCAACATTGCTTCAATTTTGCTTTAACATCGCTACAAAACTACTTCAACATTGCTTTAATGTTGTTTCAGCATTCATAATCCAATTCAATCCAAAAGATATTTTATATATCACCTTTTCCTCGCAGTTACAAAGAGCTGCACACACGCTCCACAATGTATGGGCCACTTAAAACAAAAGATAGTCAATTCTCAGAGATTATGTAGAAATAAAAGCAATTCTATACAGCTTTCCTACCTGATTGACATTGCCTGTCCTCTTCAGTGTCACGCTGATGGTCCCCTGCGTCTCGCTCACGTTGTAATGGGACTTCTCAAAGTGGATAAGGGACCAGCGAATCCTGTACACCGTGCCCAGCACCATGTTGGGATGCGTGTCTGAGACGTCGAAGATGAAGCTGTCGCTGGTCTCGACCTCCGACCCCGGGCTCAGCACGTAGCGGATCAGACCGTTGTTGATGTCCTCTGTAAAGACAGAGAAGGGAGAATAAGTTACTTTGTCTGAAATATCTCTTTAAAGCCTTCCTGTACTAGTTTGGCCAGGGGGATTAGAACACCCTGCAAGGTCACTGACAGGTGGTTATCTCATCAAATCAGCTCTCAATTAACATAAGAAAAAGGGGATGGGAGACCAACAGGTACCGATAAGGCATTGTTTGCTATATAGAGGGCGCAAGTAGCTATACATGTAAGTAGCGCAGTGGGGCTTTAAATCATTTTTTGTCTTACAATATTCTTGTTACTATTCTCATGAAATCATACCCTAAGATATCCTTATTAATGAATAGGAGAGAGAGAGAGGTTGACACGTTCTCATTCAAAGAAATGCTTCATGTGATAATTTATATTTTTCAGGGAGGATGGAGGGTGTAGGGGCCAGTTATCAATTACTTTCGCTTCATAGCTAAGAACATTTGCTATATAGAGGGCACAAGTAGCTACAAGTAGTGCAGTCCCGCTTTAAAATGTCTGTTTGATCAGAAAGTAAAGGAATTCTTCTCTTGCCTTGAGTAAACGTAGCAACAGGTGTCCTAGGCGTCAGGGTGCTCTCTAGGTACCCATGCCTTGGTGGTGAGGTGACGGTGTAGACCAGGGACCGGTCGGGCGTGTCCGTATCCATCGTCTGTAGGGTGCGGCTGGTGATCACGCCCATAGCCTGGTGATAAATCAATAAATAATATGGTTATTTATATAGTGCCGGTATCCGTCAGGTTGTGACGCTCATGGCGCTTTACACATACTACCCTGGTCGTAGCCGAGCTGCCTAAGTAACTAGCGTTCAAGCATATCAGGTACCCATTTACACCTGGTTAGAGAGTGGCAAATGTAGACTAACGTCTACGTCTAATATAATAATAATAATAATAATAGTGGGTTCTTGTAATGCGCTCATGTCTGTCAGACTTGACACTCCTGGCGCTCCCGATTATTACCCTGGCTTTAGCATGGCTGACATACGGCGCTCTATCATGTCAAGGAATACATTCCTGCCAGGTACCCATTTACTTCACCTGGGTGGAGTGTGGCAAATGTAGATCAATGTCTTGCCAAAGGACATTAGTGCCGGCGGCGGGACTCAACCGCGGACCTTGGGATCGACAGTTCGGCGACGCATCCACTCGACCACAATACCTCTACATATATAAAATGTGTGTAATGGTGGGCATTGCATTTGACAAATTGAGAAGTTATGAAGTACATGTTAAGTGTTCATGTTTGATCGTGAAAGGTCTCACTATCCTTGCATGTGTTGAAAGTGAATAAAATTAGGTTGTCATGGTTATCCAATAAAAATAGATTCCGGAATATGTTCAATGTCTGGTAATATACATGTAAATTATAAAATAAATGCTTACAACTGTCTATTTTCTCTAATACAAGACATCTCACTTGTGGGTGGCTTGCAGAATATTTGTGGGTGGTAACTTACCCTGTCATCCACATACTCCAGGTAGGAGAGACCGTTGTTGGTGACTATCCTTGGAGTACCATCGTCTACTGGCATCACTGTGATGTCAAACACCTGACAGAAACAGAACAATATCATAGTTAAATCCTACAACAACAACAACAAATGGATTACTTTATGATACAAAAATATCTGTATTTACATGCAATGCTTCTTCAAAACATTCTATTTTTGATAGGAAAGATGTTCTCTTCTTTTACATCTTACACAAATGAAAATTGTTAACATAAGATTAGAATCAGGGAGAACATTTATACAACCCCCATTCCCTGGAGATTATTTAGGCCTTATGGCCACTCTGAGGGCTTATGACAAATTAAACTAAATTCCTTTCAACACGCTATAATACTCTTCTCATTCTTTCCTGGGTATGGAATTGAAATTATACATGTATATTACTATCTTTGATAAAGGACATTAGTGCTGAACCCACAACCTGCACATCCCCAGCCAAGTGGCCAAACCACTCAACTACAACACCCTCAAAACAGATACAAACCCATACCTGTGGAGCAGAGGTTGTCTGAAGCTCCAATCCCTTCTCAACGACAAACATGGGGTTGGTCCCGTCCGAGACCATGAACTGGAACTGGTCCGAGAGCGTGTTGGTCCCGTCGTGATTGTAACTGATGCGGTTCTCGTAGATGTCGGCCATGGAGAAGGTCAGGGTCGGGGCGTAGCGCACATTGTCCAGGGTGAAGTCCACCGTGCCGTGGGTAGGCTGGGTGAATACGGTGAACATGATGTGATCCTCCTGTTATAAAGAAAAAATTATTAAATCAAAGCAAAATAAGTCTCAAATGTGTACACATTTTAATAGCTACAAGCATGAATAATTATAAATATCACTGTTTGGAACACAAATATTTATTTGTTTATATTAATCTTCTTTTTTTGGGGGGGGGGGGGGAGGGGATACCATATTTTAAAACTCATTTGATTGCAGAATTACATTTACTAAAATAACAACAGTTCATAATGTAGACAATGTAAAGAGTGAAATGCGTTGCACAGAAGTAGCCAAAAGAGAAACTTTGGAATGCGTTTGCTGAAATGCAATCTATTGTCTGTTGAGACCTTCGGCCAAACATATAGATATTTTTTTACTTGATCATCTTTGAGGTCATCTTACAAAATGAAACACCAAATAAATGATACTAAGAAATACAGCAAGTTTGGGGAGGACTTACAGCAGTGTCTAGATCGATGGCTTTTAGCTCAAACTCAGTGATGGTCTTCCTTACTCCCTCCTGGACCCGCATCCCAAGGTTGGACACCAATGGAAGAGAGTCATCCACCGGGCTGATGTTGATGTAGAATGTTTGCGTCACCTGGTAGATGAAGAAGAGGAGATTTGAAATTTCCTACTTGTCAATATCATCTTGATTCATTTAAAAATCAAACCGATAGCTATCAATTCGCACATGCAATGGTAAGATGCACACAAAAACATATCTGCTGAGAGCAAGAAATATGTTGACCCATTTTATAAACACTTTGGTAATTTCCTAGCTCATAGCAGACAATTTGAGATCTAGCTGACAGTGGTATCAGCCCGGAGTATGTATACATAGAATGATCAAATCAGTAAATAGCTGAATATAGGACAGAATGATCCCATCTCGATGCAATAATAGATTCATAAAGAATGCATAAATATTGCAATAGACGTCAATCTGTTCCACACTGAGCACTAGATAACTTCAGGCTACACTGATGGGAAATGCAGAACAGAAATGTAATCTCCTACAAACAATCAGTCCAATTAAATGATATCCTTGATTAGTTGATTGCCTATTAAAATAAGGGATGTTAAATTCTAACTAGTACTGATCCCATTTGTTCATTTCCACTGAGCAGAAAACTAACCAAATGGGTGGAACTTAATCCTATCAATCAACAAAATGTTAAAGCAAGCTCCTTATGGCTTGCAGATTCATGATATCTTGATAAAAACCTACCTGGTTAGTCCCATCATCCACAGTGAACGTAAAACTATCCATCATGTTCTCATCAGGACTGGTATGGACATAGCTGATGGCTCCTGCCGCCAGGTCCGCCTGGGAGAACTGGGACACGCCCGATCCAGGGAAGTCCGAGTGCTCCACCCGGCCGTAGTTGGGCCCGGCTGTCACGTAGTACATCAGGTTACCTGGGATGCTGTCGTCGTCAGTGGCGGAGAGGGTTGCCGTGTTGATGGTACGCGAGGCACCCTCCTGGACGGTGAGAGGCTGGTTGGCGAGGATGCGGGGCGGGATGCGATCCTCTGTCAAGGAGAAAAAGTGGTTTTAGTGGTAGTTATTTTACCTGACTGCTAAGAAAGCATAATTGATTGTTAGTAATGCAACAAAATTATCACATGTGATTGTACTTTTGCATCTTTACAAAATGAATTGCTTCAGCATGACTGATAAATGTACAATTGTTATCTTTTCTCCATCTGTGCTCCAAAATTGACAAATAATTGGCATAATGAGATTTCAAGAGCCAAAGGTGACATTATACATATAGCTCCCTACATCATGTGTACATGTCCCTGAATTATCTCTTTATGAAATAGATTACTGTTTTAGGACTAAATAATAGGGAGGAAGTGCTTTCTTCAAGGGATAAGAACAAATGCTATTATTATCCCAGGTTTAGCACTGCTTCATAAGGTGCTCATGCATACAAGGAATTTCTTCCTACCAGGTACTCATTATACCTCACTTGGAAAGAGAGTGCCAACTGTTGTTTAACCAACATACATTACTGCCCTGGCAAGGATTTGAACCCAGTTCATTGTTATCCATGCTTACAACACTCGACTACAGCACCTGCAAGTTAGCTGGGATCAGCATGATACTACAGGTGAACATAAGAAATCATTGCAGTACCTAGTACGGTGATGATGAAAGATTGGTCGATGAGGTCATTGCCCTCTTGATCACTGATAGTGAACTTGATGACTACTGTCCCAGCCGGTTCACTTAGGTCATGAGTGTACTCAATGTAACCTGGAAGGAAAGATGGAAAGAATTAGAGAATTAATACAAATATTCAAATAACCCAAACTTTCAAAAGGCTGGATGTTGAAATATATTGAACATGATTAAAGATACTTTCAAGAAATCTACTCTTACATGCAGGTCATTTTAACAGCATGTTGTATTGCCCATAGAAGTCCTTGTAAAGATCAAACATTTACATGGGCACGGCTAGTGAAACACCTCAAAGTTTAATGCTAAACTGTGCTTTTGAAGCACAGTCTCATGTTCTATAAAACCAGAAACCTTTTCAAATTTCAGGAGTGGCTGAAACTGGCAACAAGTTTGATGTCACCAAATAATTGAATCACAACATTAAACGACAAAGCATCTTAGAAATATAATAGGTTTCTCTTCACAAAATGGCCATTGTTAATGATCCTTGAAAGTTTATATTGCAAATATTTCAAGTTTGATAGTACATGACTAGATTATAAAAGGATAACACTCACCATTATTGATGTCATTTTGCCTGAAGCTGTTCTTCTGAGATGTACTGCTGATGTCAAACTCCTTGCTAGGGGTCACGAAGCGTAGCTGACCGACGTTGGGGTCAGCAGCAACAGTGAATAGAAGCTGGGCATCTTCTGAATCTATGTCCGAGGCTCGCAGGGAGTCCGGAGTGATGGTGGTGGTTGAACCTGTGGAAAGGCAACAATAAATTGGTATTATTATCAAATTGTTATTATTATTATTGTCATTATTATTATTATAAAATTGTTATTATTATTATTATTATTATTATTATTATTATTATTATTGTCATTATTATTATTATCATACCTACAGCCACTTAGTGTAATGGTTGGCACTATGAACTTCTTTACCCATTTGCTGCCCCAAGGAGTCTTATCATTGGTTACTTTAACATTGAATTCTTATAGACATGACACATATATACATTTGCCACTCTCCACCCAGGTGAATTAAATGGATACCCAGTAGAAATGGTAGCCTGGCTGAAGCCTGGGTAATACTATGATTGAGGGACTCTCAGGGAGAACAGTTTTAATGCTGTTTAGGCTATCCCGAGTTAAAAAAGACATCATATTGTTATCATCATAATCACCATCACCCTCATTATAATTATCATGGGCTGTTCAAACATCCTGTATTTCTAAATTGCATGTATAACACATGTATCTTTGCACAAAGATAAGCTTAACATTCTTTGAGAAATTCAAAAAGATTTATGAAATTAAATTTTGTATCGAACAATTAAAAAAGCACTGTGATTGAAAGCTGTCTTACAAACTCATGGTGATGCAGTCAACAGACTTAATGGTAGTGTAAGGATCAACTCTAAGATATCACATACAAACGTACCTATCTGGACCCTGAGGCCGGTGTTGGTAGCCAGCCTTGGTGTCTCGTCGTTGACCAGGCCGATGATGACATGGATATCTTCCTGAGCCGTGTAGAGTCCATCGGTCAGTGACATCCTGAAGGTATCAGAGTTGACGTCCGAGCCGTCATGGACATAGATGATCAGCTCTTGCAAGACATCCTGCAATAAAAAAGAATATAAATACCAGAATGACTTTAATGCACGCAGACCTCGGGGACGCCCTCCAACGAGATGGAAGAACCAAAGTTCGGTGCGATGTGGGATTACCCACACAAGAGGCAGAGCAACAAGCCAAGGACAGATTAGAATGGAGCATGATTTCTCGTAGGGAAGCAAGGGGACACACCGTCCCATGCACCTAGGTCAGTATAAAATATGTATTTACTTCAAAATTTGTCAAGTTTTCTTTTGGTTAGTACAACCCTAAGGAACCAACCAATAAAAGTAATTAGACTTTTTTTTCATGAAAGCCTATGATTTACCAATTGAAATACTAATAGCAAAAGAGAGGGGGATACAGAGACATACAGTGCAAATAAACAAAGAGATGGAAGGGATAATAATAGGAGAGGAGAGAACAAGCAAGGTCAAGAACTAATATGAGACTGTCACCAGTGAGGGTTAAACATTGGGGAAAATTGGGGGGGGGGGGGAATCAGGGGGAAAAAAAATCAGGATTTTTGTTGGGGGGAAAACAATAATCGGAAAACCGATTTAAATCACGTAATTATCAGGCCTGTGAAACTGACCTCATAGGTGAACGTATCTCCTACACCCAAGATCTTGCCAGCGTAGATAGGATCCTCTAGGAAGTCCCTGCGTCTGAGGTTACCGTGCTGAGGGTAAGTCACGATCTCAAAGAGAAGGTCCTCCGTGGGCGTGTCCAGGTCCCGAGCGTAGAGGGTCACATTGGCAATGATGACGCCTTCACCTTCGGGCACGAAGGCCTGCTCGGTGATGATCACCGGCTCCTCGTCATTCACAAGCTGGTGGAGAGAAAGAGAGAGATTGGAAAATGGTGATTTAAAAATAATAATAATAGGAATTTCTATAGCGCCGTCTACCTAGAAATTCTATTCTGAGGCGCATTTATTATTACCCCGACTTTAGCCTAACTGCCATTACAGTGCTCCAGCATTTCAAAGAATTAAATCCTGCAAGGTACCCATATTGTGGTGAGTCTGTGGAGGAGGACTTCATGACAAACCTACACCTGACGACATTCTAATGTTACTTTTCCCTCAACAACGTAAAGGCCTTGATATCAAGTACTTGAAGTTCATGTTGTTGCCAAGGAAGTAAAGGGACAGTGTATGGCATGGACAAAATACTATAATCATTAACACACAAATCCTCTCTCTCTCTCTCACATGGTGCACCCGCAAGCCTACTGTATATCATCATCATTGTTCTCACCACAACAATTATCATCATCCACCACCATCAACACCATTACCACTACCACATCACCATCTTCGTAACCATTATCATCATCATCACCACCATTATTATCATAATTATCTACCACCACAACCACTAACATCATAACCACCATCAACATTATCATCACCTTCACAGAGCTGCCAACCTTGTGCGATCAAAAAAAGGAATCATGAAGGCAAAAAAAGGAATTTCAAGCAAAAAAAAAGGAATTCATAAAAACGAAACTTACAACCACGCGCGACACACTTCCAATGCAGAAATGTTCATTCATCATGCTGTTTTTTCCATACAAGCAGGTAATTTTTTTGATGGTTATTTTGGTGTTATCGGCGTTTCATTTTTTTTAGAATATTTTTCTCTTCAAGTATGTTTTAAAATTAGTTTTCTATTGAATTTTTGATCAAATCACCATTTTAGGGCAGTTGTGTGACGGTATGTAAAAAAAAAAAAAACGGAGTAATTCTGGCAAAAACGGAATGGTTGGCAGCTCTGCCTTCACCACCCTCCTCCTCCTCTTCATCCCCACTTCTTTCTCAGTGCCTCTCAACTTGAACAATATTCCTACCTGGATTGTAATATTGAATCTCATCTGTGGGGACTCGTTCTCTCCATCGGTCACGTGAAAGAGGAACCCATCGTGAACAGGTTCAATGTTGCGATGTATGTTGTTGACGTAGAAGATGACACCATCCAGGATATCTTGGACCCGGAAACTTGTGATGGGGATACCGGCATTGGACTGCTCCGATCCAGCACCTTGAAATAAGCAGATGATGTTATTAAAGTCAATGATATGAGCCACAATGGTTTTCTAGGATATGATGTATAAACCATTGAGTACTCGGTACAAGATACATTTAACTATAGCTGGAGTCTGGGAAATGCTTATGTTGTATACCAACAAGTTATAATTTCCAACAGGTGAAACGCTTTATGTGAAAGGTGCATTGCAACGACTGTACTCAGTTGATTGTAAGACTACTGAAGATTGAAACAAATGTCCCTATCTTCCTGCAATTCCTGAACCAATTCTAGTAGCTTTGGAGCATTCACAAAGGGGCACATTCATTGTTTCAGTCCAGTATACTCAGCTGAAACACAAGAAATACAAGCTAATTTCTTGCAGAATTCCACTAGTAAAGTGTCTTACATGAATTATTGTTAATTTCCAATTGGTGAATTCTTATAACATTTTATGAATAAAGTCAAACCTACTTTAGTGATCACCTGAACAAAAAGAACATCTGTCTATAATGAGAATTATCTGGTTTACTTTAAACAGCACTGTAACCTGTACCAAAGGTACCAGTTCATAAAGACCACCTGCCTTTAAAACAATTTTTCTTGTCTCCCTCGACAGGTCTTCACCAACAAGTATCATTGTAAAGCAAGAGAAGTACTGAGAGAATGGAGGAATGGTAAAGATTGACTTACCGGCTCTGATATTCTCCACGTAGCCAAAGTTTGGTAGCGTATCCATGACGATGGAGAGCTGAGTGACGCGGGTATCCAGGTCCGTGGTGCTGAGGTGGAGGTTGCTGATGGCCTCCCTGCCTCCCTCCGTCACCTGGAGCTGGGTGGGGAGGGAGACCAGAGGGGCGAGGTCATTGACGGGGGTGATGGTGACGGTGAAGGTCTGGCCCTGCAGGGAGTTACCGCTGACGTCACTGATGTTGATCATGATGACCTCACTGATGGGCTGGCTACCGATCTCTCCTTCAGAGACATATCTGGGAGAAAAAGGAATGATCAGAAAACTGTACTATGACTTCTATAAAGGCCTTAAAGCCCCACTGCACTACTTCTAGCTACTTGCGACCTCTATATAGCAAACAATGCCTAATCGATGCCTGTTGGTCCCCCATGATCCCCCTTTTCTTATGTTAATTGAGAGCTGAGTTAATGAGATAGCCACCTGTCAGTGACCTTGCTGTGTGGTCTAATCCTCTCTGGCTGAACTAGTACAGCTGGCCTTTAAATCATTGTGTGAGCAAGGAAAGGTTACAGAGAAGCTTCCCTGGTGTGAGCCATTGCTTCATCTATTACTCTGTATGAAAGAACCTGTTCCTCGTATACCATAGTATTAAGGATTAAGGATCACTCCATCACCTTATCATCCCGATTCTTGAAGTACCTAGTTGAAGCTAGAAGAAGCTAGTTGAAGCAGTTAAATCATAGTCCTACATGTGAATATCTACTGTGCATTTTTCATTTTTCACTTTACATGATTACATCACTTTGATAAAATTTTGCTAGAGAAAAAATAAACCCACATGATTTAAGAGGATTTCTATTATCAAACTTCAAAATCGATCCTTCACAGCTCTTATATCTTGATGAAATAGAAAGATTTTGACCTTAGGAAATGGGAACTGTACGATAAAATACATGATCAATGAATCACAAAAACTTCAATGATTCTTACATGTATATCAACAAAGTAGAAAGTTGTGGATGGTTACCTTATTGAATAGGAGTTGATATCAGTCTGGGTAAAAGTAGACCCGACATGGAGATCTTCGTACACATCCCCCACAACTTTCCTCTGCAGACGCCCGTTATGGGGCTCCGTCCTCAGCTCGATGGTGATGCCATCGGCAGGCGTGTCATCGTCCTCGAAGGCCAGGTTGTCATGGGTTACGGTGACTTCGCTGTTCTCCGGGAGGTAGAGGGAGAGGGATGCGGTCCGGCTGACGAAGGGGTTGGTGGTGTCAGAGAAGGAGATGATGACGGTGCCGGTGAGGGTGGCGCTGTGGCTGCCGTCCGTCACCGTGATCTCGAAGGTGTCCTGATCGGTGGCCGAGTCGTCGTGGATGTAGTGGAGGGTGTCCTGGATGAGCTGGTCGTAGGTGAAGGTGTTGCCTGGATATTGTAGGGCAGGAGAGGAAGAAATCACATCGGGTTGGGATTCAGTATATTTGAGAAATTAATTTAACAGAAAAAAAACATGAAGCAAATAATAATAATAATAATAAAAACGGTGCTTATAAAGCGCTTACCACTGAAGTCTCTAAACGCTATTACAAACAAAATACAATGATAAACAATTATATTTTAAACAAAACAAGAAATTAAAAATAAACCTATAAATAACAATACATATGAAATATACATCAATGTGAACAGAGTAAGTTAATCATCAAAAGCAACTTAAGAATTCTCTTTCTTAGTCAAAATGATCATGTTTGTACAACTAGTGCATCAGACGGTGTCCATAAAGTGCTCTTAGCTATACATTTGATCAGAGATCACATAGCTGTTACATAATACCTACCAGTTTCCATGTTGATAGAGCTGAACCCGCTCTGGAAGAGCGTCCCGTGCCTGGGTGCCTGCTCCACCCTGTAGACCAGCTGCGACAGGACGGTATCCAGGTCCGCGATGTCAGCAAGATACTCCCTGACGGATACGATCCCGCCCCGGTTCACCTGGAAGAAAGGGTTGGCGTCGCGGAAGATGGGCGGGGCGTTGTCTCTCGGGAGGAGGCTGATGGTGAAAGGGAAGGGCCCCAGTGTGTTGGCTGAAGCATCTAACCCATCGGTCACTGGATTATAATAGAAAAGAAAATTCATGTCATATGTTAATCAATCATACCTAATCTAATACACTTCTGTTTTGCTCTCTCTGTCTCCCTCTATCTCTCTGTCTCTCTCTGTCTGTCTGTCTCTCAATCTGTTTCTCTCTCCCTTTCTGTCTGTCTATCTGTTGTCTGTCTATCTGTTATCTGTCTGTCTCTCTCTGTCTCTCTCTATCTGTGTGTGCAGTATTCACAGACTTTGTGGATCATGCTGTTCAAAAATTCTTCAGACGTCTCTGTCGGTTCGACCCACTGGCCTCATACCTCTCTTCAAGCAATTTCTTTAAGTTATTCATCAGAAGTGCTATTCCATTTTCCTCTTATCCCCTTAATCTTTTCTGTCAGTACCAGATTCTCCAACCCTCCTCTGCATATTAATAACTGGTAACACGATAACATCCACTAGTTTAAGAAACTCACCCGAGAACTCGAAGGTCACATTCCTGGTAAGATGGCCCACCTCAAGAACGGACGGACGGTAGAGGATCCTCCTGGCGTTGATGTCGGCCTGAGTGAAGATGGTGATTGGTAGGAAGGGTGCATCCATGTTGACGATGTTCCCGTCCCCTTGGCCGAGGGGCGTGGTGATGTTGTAGATGATGTTGCGGTCGTTGCTGTCCGGGTCGGTGAAGGCCAGGTAGGTCCTGGAGAAGGGCGTCAGCTGGTCCTCAAGAACCTGCAAGGGCACCAGGATGTGAACGATGCATCATTGTGTTATATCAAGACTACAGACAGTGAAAGAGCCCTGCCTTATCTAGGAGTGCATTTAAACTAGTGTCGTAACATCACAGATATTTCCAATTCTGTTTAACTGCTAGTCAAAACCGGACGGTTTTCGGTTAAACAATTGTTTTTTGTTTTGTTTTGTTTTTTAAATTTTAAATTTATAAATCACAATATTTACAATGCATAAAATGTCAAACTGAGACAAGATACAATGATTAAACCGATGAAGCTCCGATTCACAATATTCTTGGACATTTGGGCCATCTGAACAATAATTTTTCTGCATATGTAGTGCTTAATACATCGGCAATGTCTGAGTTTCTAAGCGCTTTACAGACATTTGATTACCCCGGTTTTGGATTCTGGCTTGCCCGCATACAATGTATGCACATTCTCCACTCCCTGGGGAGCATTACAGCAAGAGCTATTAGGCTCAAATTGCTAAGCATACTACATTTTGTACATTGGCTTTCGCATCCTACCGGGTACCCATTTAACACCTGGGTGGAGAGTGGCAAATGTAGATCAATGTATTGCCGAAGGACATTAGTGCTGCATCGGGACTTGACCACGACACCTCTACAATGAATCTGATTTACTTACAGGCATGCCTAGAGGTGGAGTAACCCTTGGCTCCAGCCTGGGTGGCTCGTCGTTACTGGGCATGATCTCAATGTTGAACACCTGGCCTGTCAGGACGTTGGGCGGCTCAGCTGAATCGGACACCTATGAGATGATATCAAAATAAACTTTATTATCACATTCCTCAAAATTTAGTTTCATGTTAAAATACCATATAGATATTGATTTTTTAAAAGAAGATTTTTTAATGCAATTTAGTTTTTCTTTAATTTTGATAGATATTTGATGCATCTTATGATTCAAGTCATTTTCAAGTCATTGAAATGTACTAAGATATTACTTTTATTCATATTTGGCTTACTTTAGAAAGGTCAATCCAACCACTCATGTAAAACTCCCATATTGTCTGAACTGACAATGTGGATCTAAGAACTAGTTTGTCTTTTTCTGAAAACCTTACCTTTTTTTTCTCATATTATCTTTCTATGTTTTAGATTCCTTTGTAATTATAAAGATTCCACTATTTTTCCAGAACTGACCTCAAACATGAAGAAGTCTGAGAAGGCCTCGGCCCCGGAGTTCTTGTAGTAGATATAGCCCTGGTCAATGTCCCTCTGCAGGAAGGTCATCATGCGCCTCTCCATCACACCGTTACCAAGGTCAGTCCAACCATCGGCCACTCCTCCCTGGGTGACCGGGACCACCATCACAATGTAACCTGTTAGGAGAGAAGGAAAAAAAAGAAAGAGTGTAAGAGTAAGGAATGTTCTACATGCAAGCGAAAACAATGTCATATGTTTGTACACTGGAGACAACCATGCAGGTATTCTGTGCTACATTTTGCAGACATACAAGTAGATGCAAACATTACATGTTCCTTCAGACAATAACATCATGAATTAAATGTTTATAATTGATTTCTATCCCCTTTCTCAGTTTCACATGATATGTCCAGGTGCCTTGTCCTTGTGCCAATTTGTGTGTTTATGAGTGTTAGATGTGTTTTTACATTGTTGGATGATAAATAAATTGAAATTGAATGTATGAAGTTTAATGCCTTTGCCATTCCCTCCTCACCGGAAAGGTTATCGTAAAAGATGTTATTTGTATACTAGTTGCAAGGAACTGATCAATTGGGAAAGTGAACTATTACCCCAATCATATCTTAGTAGCCCTATATAGACAGGTGCTCCTAAACACCTGGGTGGGGAGTGGCAAAGAAGGATCAATGTTTTGAAATAAGAGATGTATTGCCTAGCATGGATTGAAAGTATAAACCTTGAATAGAAAGTCAAGTGAATGAAACACTACACCATGACACTTCGACTTAGGTCAAATGAAGTACATCCTAGTATAATAACAACTTCATCTAAAATGAGGATAAACAAAAGAGTAATTCCTTGAACTCACCATGCCTTGGGTTGTTGGTGGGAGGAGTAAGAGTGTAAATGAGTTCAGAGTCTGAAGAGTCAATATCTTGAGCTCGTAGGTGATCGCTGGAAATGAGCAGAAGACCGCCCTCTCTCACCGACCCCTGAATATTGTTCACCAATATCGGTCCACGGTCATCCTGGAATGGTATAAGAATTGTAGCACATGTAGTTAAACAAGCTAGCTTTCATTGTTTTGTTTGTACTATTGTAATGGTCTACTGTATGGGATCCCTGACTCTCAAATAGTGAGATTGCAACGGGTTCAAAACACCTGTGCAAGGCTGATCTGTGGCTGTTCTAAATTCACACGGATCACCACAATTTTAAGAAATCTACATTGGTTACCAATACGCCAGAGAATAACATTCAAAATCTTGCTGATTGTATATAAAGCACTTCTTGGTCAAGCTCCCACTTATATCAAAGAACTGTTGAATTTCAAACCTAATCAACACAATCGCAACTTGCGCAGTTCCCGAGATACTTTGTTGCTACAGATCCCATCTATCAAAACAAAAATAACGCTAGGTGATCGAGCATTTGCTTGTGCAACCCCAAAACTCTGGAATAACTTGCCATTTGAAGGAAATCACCATCTGTAAACGTCTTTAAGTCAAAACAGAAAACACATCTTTTTAATTAACTGTACCGTAAATCTAAGCATATCAGGAGCTCTTGTAGTGCAGTATAGTATTAATGACTGCTTTGAGAGAAATAGTTGTTTTTATAAGCTCAAGGGAAGGTTAGAATTGTGCTATTACCCGAGGCCCAATTGTAACCTTCCCGAGAGCGTATAAAAACAACTATTTCTCGAATATTAAAGCAGTCATTAATACTTTTATATGCTGAAAAAAAATTGACTAAAAAATAAAAAATAAAAAAGTTTTGTCGAAGATGGGATTCGATCTCTTGCGTACAAAAGGTGATGTAACTAAAGTCAGCGCCTTAAACCGCTCGGCCAGCGCGCTCTGTCACCATATATCGCAGTTTTCTCTAATATATACATTAAAATGGATTGAAAACGGCTTCGCGTGGTAGATGCTTCGCCGCTGCTCCATTAAACGGGCCCTTCTTTTACTTTTGCAATGCATATTGGCACGAACTTAGATCAAGATCTATCGGCAGATGTTGTTTTTTTGTTTTTGGAAGTTTATTTTCGTCTTCATGTCAACAATGCAAGATAAAATTGTCGGTAAGATCGATCGAGATTCAATTGTATTGAAATTACCGACCAATTCTTCGCACACGTGCGGTATCCTCGATCGCTCAGACCATTTTTTAACATGTAAACCTATGGGGTAACCATGGAGACTGACCTATTTTCCCAATAACCATGGTTATTGGGATTTTGAACTGTTTTTTAACCATGGTTGCCGGGAATTTTCGGGAACAGTTAAAGTTTATGAATGCAATTTCGACCAATCAGATTGCTGGATTACTTAAGTGAGGTATATAATAGAATATATACCTAATGTTGGATAGTTTCTGCGCTCTATAAATGTACTATTATTATTATTATTATTATTATTTGTATCTGTTACATCATTTTTGGGATAAGGATATCTGGAAGTGCACTAAAAGCACATACTTCAGATTTTAATACTCTATTTTACTAACTAATTACATCTGCATTTTCATCATCATTATCTCCCCCTAGTTAGTATCCTATGAGACATAAACTGATACAAGAGATGACATATACTGTATATTAACTGCTCCCAATGAATACAAACAAATTTGAGGGCTTGAAAAAATGTTGAATTAGAAATGCAATGTGGAGGTATAGAATTCAGAGGCAGAGTTCTAATTCCTGAAACGTAACAGCTCAGAACTGCATAAAATATTGATGTTTCACTTATCACAGTGAATAATGTTGCATATATTGTATAGGCTAAATTACCCTAGGTATAATGTGGATATTGAAGAGCACATTGAGGATGTTATGACCATCTGAAACTTGCAAGACGATGACATCATATTCCGTTTCGCTCCCGTCATGGACGTAGTTGATGTGGCCCATCCTCAGATCCTCTAGGCCGAACTGCCGAAGTCTTGACCTATCCGGGAGACGGATCAACTTCCCGTGTTTCGGACCGTCGATGACCGAGATGACCACCATGTCCGCGTTATCGTCATCGTGGATCTGGAGGTTCTGTCCCGACGAAAGCTGCCCAATCTCGCCTTCGATGACGACGAGAGGCTCGTTGCGGGTGACGTACGGCGCGTGCGGCGAGACGATAACAATCCCAACGTCCTCCGGTTCCGAGAAGAACATGCGATCGCTGACTTTTATGGTGACGAACCCGTGCAGGGTGCTCTTTGCGTTATGCGTGTACCTCACTTCACCAGCGAGAAGCTCGGGGTAGGTGAAAGTATCGCGAGCTTCCATGACGATGCTGTTCCCACGATCGATCTTGACCAGTTCGCCATTCGTTGGAGGGCTGATGAGGATGAAGAGGAGGTTGCTGTTGCTAGTGTCGGGATCGAAGGCAGTGAAGAAAGATGTGTCTAAGACTTGGATGCCTCCAATACCGGTTGTGATGGAGCCGTTCACATATAGTGATGGTGGGTAGACGTTAGCTGTAAATAAGAAGAGAGAAAATTTGATTCATTTCAAGTAAAAAATGATTGATGCACACCTTATAGAGGCTTATGGTTGTAATGCCATACGAACACGTACAGTACCATGAAAATTACAATTATTTTCAAAAGTTAGAGTTTAATGTATGTAACTGATGATACATTGTATGTGTTCATAAAATTGTATTATACACATGTACAATATTCACAAATTTAGAATTACCAATGTAAGGAAGGTAAGATTGTTGAAGAATACTCTCGTCTAAGTATATTTTTCATGCTATAATATGAATCTTCTCCCAGATTCATATATATAATGTGCATGTATACTTAAAGCTAACATCTGTTAATGTGGCCGAAAAATATAACATTAATGCTAATTTTAAGTCAACCATGAAATCAAAGAAACTGAGAACCTATTTAAATTCACTTCGGTCATGTCTATTCAATTTACCCACAATAAACCTGTATGGCATAGAAAAAAGATAAATGATCAACTACTGTATACCTTCACAGACGTTATTGAGAGGGTTGGCATAGTAACCGTCTCCGCAATCTTCCACACACTGGCTTCGCAGTAGGAAGGTACCGAGCATACAGGTCACACACTCAATGGGCGTGGCACAAGCTACACAGCCCTGGGAACATTCTGGGAAAAAAGGGAAAAACAAGATTAATGGTTTGATACTTTTGGTGGGATTTGAATGGGTGAAGGGGGACTAACATTCAATTATTTATTTCTCTTTTACCCCCCCCCCCCCCACCCCTTCTTTCCTCCTTTTTATTGCTTCTTCTGTTTCCTAAATATACTTGTTCTGATTGTGTGTGATTTTATTGAAATTGTGGAAACAAAAACTGAACCGAAAAGATAAACATGTAAATGTAAGTAGCTTGACAATGATTGACATCAACATTTCTTATTTTAGGTGAATATAAAAGTAAAAATTGACATCTGATAATTCATATCCAACAATGGTGCTTTGTGCAAGTGTATTTCAGCAATGTTAAGCATTTCTAATATTTAATTATCAAAGCCTTTGTAAGTCAATGCCTTTCTGATAGATACATTCATTTATTCATTCAACATACATTCTACTGTACATGTATGTACTGTCAACAAGAGTTTAGTACCAGTTTTTATAAAGCATATAACAATGCCAGAACATGGATGAGTTTTACTTGTATCAATAGTTGTAGTTGCAATACAGTCAAACCTGCATTAGTGACCACCTGCCTACAAAGACCATGTTTTATCTTTCCCTTGAAAATGGTTTCTCATTGAAACATGTACTATAGGCACCTCTAAATAAATACCCCCTGTCTATAAAGACCACTTTTCCTTGGGTGGTCTTTATAGACAGGTTTCACTGTACATTAATATCCAAAAGATTTCTTACCTATACATGTGTGTGTGCCATAGTCACTGTAGTATCCCACAGGGCATAGCATTACACACTGTGTATCTAGAAGAAGACGTGGAGGTTGGCAAGATGTACAGACACCAGACCCTCGACAGGTCAGGCACTCGTCTCCGCATTCTAAATAGGACATGTGAAAACAATCATGAGTTACAGTAGTTTACTGCAGTCCAAGATTTGCTACAGGCCTTAATTTACTAAAGATGAAGGTTGAGAGTTTGCAAGTGGGATTGAGGTTAGGTTAGGTTTAGGGAAGGATTAGGTATAGTCTGGGTCCTGGGTCAAGGTAAGGAATTGCAACTGGAGGATCGTCATCACAGCACAGATTCTAAAATCATTGTTTCAAGTAATGTATTCATAACAGGTTCACTCAACCCTTTTATGTGACAGAAGGAAAAGTAGGTCAAGAGAGTAACATCAATGAAAATGATTTTGGTAAAGTGATGTTTCTTACCTCGGCATTCTCCCCTGTTCTCATAGTAGCTGTCTCCACACGTCGTGACACAGGACCCATCCCTAAGCTTCAGACTATCCATACACTGGGTGCAGTCGTTGGGTCCTGGACCATTGCAGGAGTTACAGCTCCAGTCACACTCTGAAAGAAAACAAACATGGATAATAATAATAATACTCAGTTTTTATATAGCGCTTATTACAATCACTAAGCGCTTCCAAACTTGGAGATTATTACCCCGGCATTAGCTGTGCTGCCATTACGCCGCTCTAGCATTTCAAAGATTTAATTCTGGCCACGTACCCATTATCAATGTTAAGTTTTAATTGGTCACATGATAATATATGTAGATGCACACCCTCCCACCCTCTGAACATACATTATGTATCTATATTACTAATACGCAAAATCGCCGCGGGGGGTCCAAACGGGTACAAAACGGTTCCTCAAAAACGTCTTTCCCCGACCCCGCCCGCCTCCGCCGTGGCGCGGGGAGGGCGGCACAATTCCACGAGGTCTGTCTCCCGTAACCCGCGTGCCACGTCGACCCCGCGATCGACGTCCATGCCGTTAAACGCGGTTTCGGGGTGCCGGGGAGGACGGGCGGACGAGAGCACGGCGGGCGTCGTGGATTGCGAGGAGGCGACGAACCCGCGAGAGCGAGTCGGCAAGGCGTGCACCCGCCCTCTGTCTAATTATCAAAGAGAGACGAAGTGACACACGATGGACGAGAATCCACTCGCGTCAACGGGTGTAGCAAGTCTCATTGAAAAAGCTGCGGCGTATCCCGAGTAAGACCTCTTGCTATAGGGTTCGCTTTGTAGCATGTAAGAGAAATACACATTAACAGACGACTCACCCGGGTGATGGGATGTAGCCAATATGTACGCTCAACGGGTTGAGCTTACCCGTGTTATGCGTCTTTCTATAGGATATGCTTTGTAGGCCAGGCGCCAACATAACAGTGTACGTGTATTACACGCTCTCAGGTCACACACATGCACACACCACAGTCGATTCGAGTCGAGGCGATTGCGACAACTGGCGCAAACCATGGACCTATTTTCACGTAAAATCTTTACTCTGAAAATAATTATACAAATTCTGTGATCTATGCCAACATAATCATAGTCCAAGATTCTGTTTTATTGGTCTTTTCATGAAAACTACATGGAAATCACAACAAGAATAGCGCAAATAGATCTGTGATAGTACGCCTTCACGTGACAGTTCAGTTGCAAACTGCCTTGAGTCCACAGTGTATTGCCACGGCAGCTGAGCGCCGCTGTCGGCGGTGCTGTCGGAGCTGAGTGTGTGAGCATGGAGTAGCGGTGACCGGAGTAGCCAGGTCTGTCCGTGGGTGTAAGGAGAGTCTAAACAACACTTTGAAATTGCTATTATTGCCCCGATTTCAATATAGTTTCGTGAATAGATGTATGAAACCTGGGCTTGGATTGTGATTATTCTGGCCATGTATAGTTGTATACTGAATTTTGATAATCATTTTTCACAAGAAAATCAGACAGTCGTCATGGTCGTTTAAAAACATGATAATACTTTTAGTATGATACAGTTCTTGCATCAAATCAATTTTTAAAGTATGGGGGGGGGGGGGGGTCAGGTAACTCAAAGCGATTTGAGAGCAGGCGTGGTGTCCACGGGTACAAAGGGCTGAACCCCCGAAAGCTCAGGGGTTTTAGGCATTTAATTACGGTCAGATGAGCATATTTTTAATGCCTTATTTGTGACACTGGCAGGTCGATCACTAATTGGCGTGGGGTCCATAGTAGAGTTGCGTACCAACTACGCTGAGCTGAGAATACGCTGGCCTACGTTACTATACCCTGAGGGACGCAAAAAAGTACGCAAGATGGACGCAAACAATTTAATATGTTTAACAAAATTCGTACTTTCGGCGTAGAAACTTGACGCAGAAAGTACGCCTTTATTTACGTAACACTACGCTACTTAACTAAACAAACTGCATCTTTAAATGAATTAATGAAAAATTAGCCCAAGAAAAATGAGCCCCCGAAAGAAAAAAAAAAGTAGCCCCCAAAAAATTTCCCAAAATTTGATATAGATCGAGTCTCCGAAAAAAAAAAATCTTTCACTGGATTCTACGCTCACAGTCCCACACACAGTCGAGTCAATTTGTGCACAAACTGTCCGATTTTTGGCGTAAAATCTTTACTTTGAAAATAATTATACACATTTTGTGAATAATGCCAACATAATCATAATCCAAGCCTCTGCATATGTAGTCTTTTCATGAAACTACATTGAAATCACAACAATAATAATGCAAATAAATAGTAATTATCGAGATCCTATCTGACATAGTTTGTTTTACGATGCGCCATTCATGGTCAAACAGCATATATTATAAAAATTCTCTATATAAAGATAATCTAAATTTTTTGTTGGATAGCACATAGGCCTCTATCTATCTATCTATTTGGCCCCCTCCCCTAGAATCCCGTGGATTTTCCACGGGTCCTGCTAGTCAATGTACTAATTTAAAAAAAACATATGAAGAGCTTGATTCCAAAAGGAGCTAAATCCACATTTTATCAAAATGGAATTATTTGTCTTAAAATACTCATTTCCTACATGGGGACAAAATGCACTATATAACGTTCAAAAATTTCACCAGGAAGTATGAAAATATTTAGGTACAATATCATGTTTCATTCCAAAAGGAGCTAAATCCACTTTGGGTACTTCTGAGTAAATCACCTACAGTATTTTCATTTCTCCACTTTCCCTTTAGCCATGTACCTTCATGTTGTTATTTATGTTAAAGGTGTCACCCTGGACCAATAATATATGATAAGAAAAAAAATCTACCAGTTATTTCTGATTTTTACTAAATTTTTAGATTTTGTAGATTTAACTCCTTTTGGAATGAAACAGGGTCTGACTGTATGTTGAATGAGATTCAAGGTCTAATTCCCTATGTCTAATATCAATCTGACAGTGTGTCCAGAAAAATGCAACAAGCACTTTTTGTCATAATCTCAGGTTGCTCACAATGCTACTATCTTTGATAAGTTTCAACTGATTATTTTGAGTTTGAAGTTATGTATTCTCTTGTAGGGACTTTAACAAAATGAGAGGGAAAACAATCTGGGTCTATGATCTAAATTTACCTCTGCAGAGCCTCGTGACAGGATCCAGGTAGTACTGGTCAGCACAGACGGAGGAGCATTCTCCAAACTGGAGCACGTCAGAAGGATCTCGGCAGACGAGACACTCAAAGGCGCTCACACACTCCAAGCAATCCAGGTGACATGCTGAAAAAGATTGTAAAATATCAGAATTTAATTCTACTTTATTCTTTTCTCAGAAATAGAAATATAGTAACATTTAGATGCTGACATCTCGGAATGATAGGAAATGATGTTATAAAATGTGGGCAAAAAAGATTTGATAGAAAGTAAAATGAATGGTAATGATGTTGACAAGAGTGATGGCAAAGTTGGTTTGCAACCAAGATGTATATATAAGGCCCTTGGATTCTGTCTGTTTAATGGTTCTGTCTCTCTCATGGTTAAGCAGCAAAAGTTCAGATCACATTTAGTTTGTTCAAAAACAAATTAGTTGATAACTATAAACATCAGTTCATTTTGAAGAACATTGTTGAGTGTTTTTTCATACAGGTCTACTGGTATTGGTGATAACCTGTTGATAGTTGTGAAGTCTCATTTATTTTGTCAGAGAACACATAGATTGTATTAGCTCAACTGGGGGGTGTTTCACAAAGATTTGAAGTCGAACTTAACTCTAAGTTGGACTTAAAATTTATGGAAAGCCATTAGCATCTTTGAAAATATTTTGTAAAAGTTATTTTGAAAGGCATTCATTGTTTATTGAAATCATTCATATTTTCTATCATCAAGGAGATTTCATGTTCTGGATGTGGAATTAATAAAAAGTCTAAAATACTTGAATTTCTGCTTTTGAATATATTTCATTTAAAGACTCCAATGGCTGTCCATAATTTTTAAGTCCAACTTAAAGTAAAGTTCTACTTAGGATCTTTGTGAAACACCCCCCTGGTCTTTTTGAATAGTATAGAATGTTGTTTAAAGGCCGGCTGTACTAGTTTGGCTGGGAGGGATTAGACCACACAGCGTGGTCAATGCCAGGTGGCTATCTCATCAACTCAGCTCTCAATTAGCATAAGCAAAAGAGGATCATGGGGGACCAATGGTCACCGATTAGGCATTGTTTTCTATATAGAGGGTAGGACAGTGGGGCTTTAAATTGACAAACATGTGGAGCTATGTGTGCAGCACTTTGTAACTGCTAGGAAAATGCGCCATATCAAATATCTTTTGGATTTGATACAACTAGATTACGATAAACTTACCTTTGCATATCCCACCATCATTGAAGTAACCCCCATGGCACTCCATGGAGCACATGTTGGTGTGTGTTAGGACATGACCAGCGTGACAGGAAGAGCAGTCAAAGACACCTGGTGAAGTGCATGTCCTGCAGGATGAATGGCATTCTGCAAACAAGAACAGTTTATTTACATGTGAGAATTTATAAAGAATCTAGTCATCGGATACATGCAGACTCACACACAAACACACAGACATGTACACTATATTTTCACGTCTCTTCTCCCTTGGGAGTATTCCTACCATATAACCTTCAATATAATTTCTTTTTTTAAAAGATTGATATGTTCGAAATGAAGAATACAGTGGTTGTGTTCACTAATGAATTTAGCAAATGTTTCTGTAGTTTGTTTTTATTATTGGCAAAGACATCTAAATAAAGGTACATTAATTCTTTATAAATTCTTCTGGTAAATATACCTTAATGCACCTTAATTCTTTCATCAGACATCAATTTGCTTTAATCTCTGTCATGAAATTCTTCACTGTTACTACTAAATCTAAATTCCTAAGAAACAAAATATGATTAATCAAATTCGGTTAAGATCATTTCCTTTCAATTCCAATCGGTTCAAATATAAAGCGTATTTATATTATCTCTCAAGATAAAATGCGCTTTAGAAGCCTAGATTATTATTAATTATTATCAGTTTATTTCAAAAATGTTTATTTTGGAAAGCGTTCATTCTTAAAGCAGGTCACATTTACACAGGTTGGCAAGGTTGAGTATTTTGTAAACACCAGGGGGGTGTTTCACAAAGATCCTAAGTTGAATTTATCTCTAAGTTTGACTTAACGATTATGGAAAGCCGTTAGCATCTATACAAATACTTTGTAAAATTTTTTTTTAAAGGCATAAAATGTTGATTCAAATCTTTCATATTTTCTATTATCAAGGAGATTCTATTTTCTTGAAGTGGAATGTATTAAAGGTTTAAAATACTTGAATTTTCATATTTGAATGTATTTTATTTTAAGGCTACAAATGGCTCTCCATAACTTTTAAGTCCAACTTAGAGTTAAGTTCGACTTAGGATCTTCGTGAAACACCCCCCTGATCTAATTAAAGTGTTGTGATTTTTTTACCTCTGCACATGCCGGATGGATCCAGATAGAACCCGGTGCCACAATCGGACACGCAGGTGTCCCCCAGGGGATACTGGCTGCTACCCCCTCCACCGGAACACTGGGTGCATCTACTACCCTGGCCCTCGGGATTGGCGAAACAGGTGCCGCACTCCAAGTTGCACTCTGGGGAAGAAAGGAAAAGTATGTTTGCTCCCATTTTAGAGTTGGATATTTAGAGAAGACTACTCAAGGGAACCATGATAAGGCATAAATATTCATAAATGAAAGCTAAAACAACAACAACAAGAAGATAGGAGGTTTTAAACAGATGGTTTTCATCCACAGGTGGCGGGAGGGTATGTTTCCTGAGATAGAGTGCTTTGGGAATGGGAATAAAATTGTCTTCGAAAACAGGTGGTCCATTTTTAAAGATGCACGCTGTAGTGAGACAAACATGTTGTTTTGATGACTGGTTGGCAAAGATCTAGGCCCTGTTTCATAAATATTGTTGTCAATTACAAATACTAAAAACCTGTGACAAATTGGCTCAGAGCCAAACAAATGTGATGATTTCAGTAGTCCGTCATTGATAAATATCCGAATGAAGGTTTCTTAATTGTTTAATTAGGATATCTGTTTCCAAACCTAGCAGCACAGATGGGGCTAAAAATAACAATTTCTTTGCACCTCCAAGAATATGCCACACCCTTACCTTGACATAATCCCAGAGAGCCTGGGTACTCAGATGAGCCACACCCGGGGGCACAGATGCCCCTCTCTAGGGAGTCAGGACCGTTACAGGTGGCACACTGGTTAGAGTCGGGTCCACTGCAGGTTGCACAGCTCGGATGACACTCTGATGTGACACAAAGAATAGTAAGAATTAGATATACCATGCATTCTGATATAATATACATCTTCAAAGAAATGACAAATATGATAGTATCTTAGCTCAAAGGTATAGACCAGTTCTGGTCATGCAATTGCATTGTGAAAGGAACGTTGTGGAATCGATCAGAAAAGGTTGATCATCTAGCATATAAGGTGTATTGGTGTGTACTGCAAGGTTTTGGAATCATCAAAATGATAAGAAGTTTGGCCCAGTCTTGGTAAAGTTACAAGCACTGTACACAGAAAGATGTATATGGGACTTCACAAAATCTATCCAGGCTGGATAGATATGATAAATTACCCAATATATCAATTAGTAGGAGGTTTCCCGGCAAAATTTGTATCATCATGTATTAGTCAAAAAATATTATTTCATTTTTTGAGAGGGGGGCATTTTCAAAACTGGTCTTTATCTTTAAAATGGGTATTACTTAGAAAACAAAATAATAAACTTACCGACACATATCCCACCAACATCGACCTGCCTCTCGTTGCAGCTTCTTACGCAGTATCCGTGGTTCAGGATTAACGGAGATCGGCAGGACAGACAGGCATCGATGAGAGAATCAGAACAGGCCAGACAGGATGGGTTACAAGCTGCAAGATAAGGAAGAGAAGACAGAGAAATAAGGTTGTGCTTGACTTCTACCATTACTAAGGACAGTAGTCGTGGACAAAAAGTAGGTTAACAATTTTGAGTTTCAAACAGGAACGAGGTATGAATGAATGACAGACAAAATGCAAATGAAAGACACACAGCCTTGTCCAAGTTTGGAATAAAACATACAAACGTCAGAAACAATAGTAATGAATAACTGTAACTCAGTCATATTCTTTCCCAGATGTACATATAGAATAAATAGTTTATCATCTTGATAATTACTGTTGACACTAAAGTCCTATAATTCAAACCTATACAATCAAATCAGAATAAATGGATTCATTCATCTTCCAATTTAAGGATGCAACTCTTGACTAACTTGAAGAGAGTCATATACTTCCTTGATCTACAACAATACTATTGTATAATAAGTATATATGTAAAGCGCTTAGAGACATTTGTATCAAGGGCTATATAAAAGCGGAATATTATTATTATTATAATACTTACGTAGGCAGATCCCATTTGCACTTGGGAAGTATCCCTCGATGCAGGTGGGTGAACATGCCCCTTGGACCTGACCCCTGAAAGGTGGTCTGCTCTGCACCATCTCTGTAGCTGCCCTGCACGATGTACAGTCAGCTGGGTTTGGACCTTCGCATTGATGGCAGGAGGAGTCACAGTCTAATCAAGTTGGGAGGGACACAAAGGAGGCTTTTAAAGATCCAGCACCAAAATACTTTTTATACAACAAATGTGTGGATATGTAAAAGGTATTGTAAACAGTATGTCTTTCAGGTATGTCAGATAAGCATTTGGCATCTTTAATTTATTGATTGAAGATCTAAGATCACATAAATTAAATTGAATCATATCAAGATACATGTATATAATTAATAATAAACTTTATCAAATCATTCATATATATATATATATATATATATATATATAAAGTGCGAGAATTCTCAACTCTGACATGACAACGGGTGTTCCAGAATATGTAGGCGTGAAGAATATGTACTTGTAAAGTACAGCTACGTCTCACGTTCCTAGACCATTTTCTTCACGCCTACATATATATAACGTAAAATCTAATAATTTATATCAAATCATCAAACATCAAATGAAAACAAATGATATAAAATATGAACATATCATATATCATATAAAATCAAATCTTATTACTTAAATCATAATTCCATATTGAATTACATCACATCCAACCGAACCATATTGAACATGGTATCATAATCAAATCAATTAAATGACATATCCTATCAACACCAAACCATATCTCTGAATACTTACCTAAACATTGTCCGGCTTGGGTGTAGGTGCCAGCAGTGCAGTTGGATAAACAGTAGCCATTCATGAGGACAGACTGGCCTGGACATTGAGTGCAATGGTCAATTCCTGGTCCATTGCAAGCTAGACATGCCAAGGAACAAGCTGGAAAGAAGAAAAAGGAAATTACATGAAGTGAACCATGGTTCCATCTACATTTAGCATTGTATCTTTGATACAGGTAGATGTATATTCAAAAGACTTACTTCTTAAAATTGAAAAGAAAGAGAATTAACAAGTTCCTCCACGTTTCTTTATTTCATCTCCTAAGAAAAATACACTTGCATCTATCCACTTTGCCAGCTTTGTCCTTTAATGTTCACCAAATTCCTTGATCGACTCTCCTCCCTCCTTTCTTCAAACTTAGACTTTTCTTTTAAACCTCCCTTCTCTCTTTTTCCTCCCCTTTTCTTATTTTTTTAACTCATTACAACCCCATTAATTCTCTTTAAAACTTTCTACTCTGTATCCTCTATTCTTCCCCTCTCACCTTCCATCACACTTCTTTCATTTTCTTATCTTCTCTTCCTACATCTTCTTCCTATTTTCCTCTTTTCTTCCCTCTCCTCTACCACAATCAGTCCCTCCTCATCCTATCCTCTTCTTCCTCTTTTCCTCTATTCCTCTATTCTTCAGTCTCCTATTTCCATCCACCACAATCAATCCCCTACTCATCCCATCCTCTCTCTTCTCTCTATCTGGGGCCCTTTTCACAAAACTTGTCATCAGTGACAAATGACAGTTTTTGTTTTAAGCTACTGAAATCCATGCTTCCCATTGGTTATCAGCAGATTTGTCACTGACTTTTGTCATTTGTCATTGAAAAGAGGCTTTATGAAACAGGTCCCTGATCATCTACATGTATCTTACCTTCACAGTGCCCACTCCCTGATTGATAGTATCCCAGACTGCACTCACTGACACAGACCCCATCCTGCAGGAAGTTATTCCTAGGGCAGGTCACACACCATGGACTGTCCAGAAAGCACAGCTGACACGACGGGTCACAGGCTGTCAAATATTTAAAACAAATAAAAAACAAAATTGGATGCATTTAATGTTATCAGCAAACCAAGCAGGCTTCCGCATAACTTCTCTGTGACATTTCATGTTTTCATCTGTAAAAATGCTGATTAACAGGTCTTACAGTCTTGAGAATTACATGTACATTGATTGATATTTCTATCAACCTCAATGAGTTTGTGATATTTTTCTGGCTTTCATAAATTCATCTTTATTCAATTATTAAAGAAAGTTGCATTTATGATTCATGTCATTTAAGAAGGATGGCTGTAAATCACCAAGCATGATATTCTGAGAGTCATGTATTCATTTATGATTTAGATTTTCTTTTAATATGTACCATATCCTATGCCTTGTTTGATGTTTTGCACTTCACAATTATCTCTTCCTTTATAAATAGTCTTTGAGAGTTTGCTCTTAGATTTGTCTTCATACTGATAATTCCTGCAGATCCTCAAAATCCATAAAAAATAAAAAATGGTACTCACGATAGCAGTGGTTCTCTCTGCGGTAGGATCGTCGACCGCACTCCGGCACACATCTGTTATCTTGTATCATGTGACTTGAGTTAGAACAAGTAACACAGTCCGATGCCTTGGGGCCTGTACAAGCTGCACAGCTGGCATTGCATTCTGGGGAAAAAGAAAATGACAAATCTTGTAGTCTATCTATCTATCTTAGTATCTTCTTCCGGTTCGGAGGTTGATTGCAACATCTCTCCATTTCACTCTATCTTCAGCCATTCTGGTGCACTCTTGCAGTTTTAGTCCACTCCAGTTCTTGACATTCTCTTCCCAGTTGATTCTGGGTCTCCCTCTCGGTCTAATTCCTTTTACTCTTCCTTCCAATACATCCTTTAAGAGGCTTTGGTGCCTTTTAACATGACCAAAGTATTTGATTTTTCTCTCCTTAACTTATCCTACTAGTGCAATTTGTTTACGCCCTGCCATGTGCAATATCTCTGTTTGTTTTCATTTGTTTCCAGGATATCTTCATCATTCTTGTAGTAGATTTTGATATATTCTTCAATCTAATTAAGTGAATTAGTACATGTAGGAAAATATCTGTAAGATTATCTAGTTTCTAGTTTCTAGTCCGATGCCTTGGAGCCAGTACAAGCTGCACACCTGGCATTGCATTCTGGGAAAACAGAAAATGACAAATCTTGTAGTAGAGTGTGATATATTCTTCAACCTAATTTAGTGAATTTAGTGTATGTAGGAAAATATCTGTTGGATTATCTAAATTAATTCAATTCAATTCATTTTATTCCATTTGTCATATAAAAACATACATAATTATAACATTGATATTTACAGATAAGTAAAGAACATACAAATAACATAATGAAAGATAAACCTAAAATACAAATATATATACGAATGAAGAAACAAGCAAAAAAGAACAATTACATGTAAGTCTTATTTGGTGTTGATTAAAAAAGCAAGACAAATAGTTAACCTGAAGATGTTGATATCATTCGCAATCTTGTAATAATATTATTCTAACAAATAGTAATTAAACATCTGAATTTCAATGTACATGAACACATGAACATGTACAAGAATATATTTCTTAATTCACAATAACGTCTCTACACACTTTACATATACATACATACAGTACACGTACATTATAACAATTGTCATATTAAAGATTCATTTACGAACACACAATGTGTACACGGTGTACACGATTGTCTGCAGACCATACAAAGACCTGAAGAAGAAGCCAATTCTCAAAATGAGAAGTATTTCTTATGCATATGGAAACTACTGAATGATAGGTGAACCACAAAATGATCTGAAAGTATGGATAACCTTTTTTTATTTGCTTTTTTTGGAAAATTTGCAGCTACAAATACCTTGTTGTTAAATTTGGTACTAAACAAAACCCCTCAAATTGTCCTATAGTTGCCCCTGATTCCAAAAAAGTACACAAGGTACAAGTTCAAAGTCATGGGACATACGCTAAGACAATAAATAGATTAGCAGCGGCATGAGTGGGATTCTTTTCTACTATTTTGAGTTTTTGACAGGATATAGGAGAGACTGAATGTCGACGATTCAAAAGACAAATGTAACCATATAACCACACATACCACATGTGGGTGTCATCCCACATTGTAGCAACATAATCTAAATTCCATATCAGGGAGTAACCTTCATAGACTAGGAAATAAAAGAGTCTGGGAAATAGTTATTGTGATGTTAGTGTACTTTCAAATAAATGAATAAATAAGTGGTAATATGGAGAAACAGATTCAGGAGGGTGTTTCACAAAGATTGTAAGTTGAACTTATCTCTAGGTTGGACTTAAACATTATGGTAAGCCGTTAGCATCTTTAAAATTATTTTGTAAAAATTATTTTAAAAGGCATAATCGGGAGCGCCAGGAGGGTCAAATCTGACTGGCATGAGCGCTATACAAGACCCCATTATTATTATTATTATTATTATAAAATGTTGTTTCAAATTTCATGGAGATTTCATGTTCTTGATGTGGAATTTATGAAAAGTCTAAAATACTTCAGTTTTCACTTTTGATTATATTTTATCCTAAGGCTACAAATGGCTCTCCATAGTTTTTAAGTCCATCTCAGAGTTAAGTTCAACTTAGGATCTTTGTGAAACACCCCCCTTCAGTGATAAGATTCTTTGTTTAAATAGTATTTAGGAGGAAGAAAAAGTCAAAGGATGGTAAGAGAGAGAAGTGGAGTCTCAAAGTCTCAAAGATGGAAAACAGAGAGACAGAAAGAGAAAGGGAGAACAAGCAAGACAGAAGAGTTGAGGTAAAAAAGAAAGAAAAGAAAGCAAGATGAGGAAGCAGAGAGATGAATATGAGAATAAGAGCAAAAACATGTACACCGCCATCGAGAGTGGTAACAGAGAACTTGAAACTTGCTGGAAAAGGGTGGATTACACTTGTAATTGGAATCCTTAGCGCAGGATTGAGACACAAAAGCATCCAGGTGATCCTGCAAAGCTATGGGTCTGGAATCTTTATCAAAATATCCCGCCCTGTCAATCACTGTCAAACTGAATGTCAAGATTGTTTTCATGAAGATGCTTCAATTTCTTTATCACCAGTAAGCTTGACACACACACCCCTGAAATCCCCTTCCTTCTTTATGCTTTGTAAGTTACGCGTAGGTGGCAAGTGGGTTACTCTTCTCTGTATTTTCTCTTCCTTCTTCCATTTCTACCTCTATCTGTTATCTTCTCGTCTCCTTCTCCATCTTCACTTTCTCACGCTTCTTTTGACCCTAATCCTTTGTTGTCTCTTTCTCTATTACACATCTCCTACTTCTTCTTCTTTTTGCCTTAAATCTCTTTCTCTCCATTTATTCTCATAGTCTATTTGACTTTTCTGTACGTTTGTCTATCTGTTCCTGACTTATTTTTCTGTCAGTCAGTCAGTCAGTCAGTCAGTCAGTCAGTCAGTCAGTCAGTCAGTCAGTCAGTCTGTCTGTCTGTCCGTCTGTCTGTCGGTCTGTCTCTTTCTCTCTCTGTCTCTCCATTCAAGTCTGTCTGTTAACGGTACAACCTCCTTCTTCCAACAACATTAAAGCAAAAATTTCTGTTTTCTCATTTGCTTGCTTGCTTACTCTCTCTCTCTCTCTCTCTCTCTCTCTACCTTGCTCTCTCTCTTTTGCTTCAGAATCAACTCTTTTTTTTCCTGCCTGTATCTCCTTGTCCCTGCATCTGTCTGTCTACTATCCTCTTCCAAATATCCATCCACCCCCTCTCCCCCTTTCTCTTTATTTACTCTAACAAAATCACAGACTTCCTCTGTCCCTCCCATCACACCACGAAACACCCTAGACCCAGTCAAAACAACCCCTTCTCCTGTCCCAGCTAGACTCTCATTAGGCCTGTCTTCATCAGCTTCAGATTGCCAAATATCCAGCTATTTCAACTATCCCGATCACAAATTATCCAGTTAGTTTGCATCTTCATCAGCCAAAAGTTGCAATTAGCGGGATATTTAGTCGCGATAATCATCCCAAGATATCTTGGGCTAGTTTGCAAAATATCACGCTATTTGTCCGGTGCATCTTCACCAGCCTGAAGACTCGCACTTTGCACGAACTCTGAGCAAAATAACTTGAGCTAATTTCTCGAACCCGAGTTTCAAGTTTCGAGCCGATGAAGACGCGATTTGTAACTTCAGGATTATTTCCCAAATCAGAAATAGCGGGCTATTTGGCAATCTCGAGCTGATGAAAACAGGCCTAGACTCTCATTTCCAACTTGTTTTCGTCTACATCAGATCATCGCCCTAATCCTGGCCCGCGTGAGACACTAATTAATTGAATCAAATACTCCATAAATCAGCTAATACGTAGGGGACTGACTTCTACAAATCGAGTAGTATATAATTGTTCTACCGATGTCCACTTTAGATAAACTCATTAATCCCCACACCAATTAAAGGTTTTTGGCAACATTGGATAGGGCCAAGAGCTTAAGTGTATTTACATGTACGTCTGTAGACAATGTTTTGCTTTAAAACCTTCAGACATACACCCTTTCTAAATGTAAAATAACATTTTCCAGCAGTGATATGTCACATTTCATCAGAGAAATAACTCTTAGCATACACGCACATTTAGCAATCAATGAACCTATACATAAAAATATAACCCTATATATAAATTCCCAACAATTTTCCTGCCAGTTCTGTTTAATATTCATAACGTTTTAGTCGCCTGAGCTGGAAAGTTGCTAATGCAAAACATTATCGAAATGAAGCAATAAGGCAGAAATTTAAAAAAAAAGTGTTTTGATATTATTAAATTTACTTATCTCATTAACTCATTTGGGTTTGTAGTTTTTATAGTTGTTGTTGTTGTTATTGTGTGTATTGTTTTCTTTTTATAATACACTTCTTTGAATGCATGTACAGTTAATGAAGCAACAGCATTACCATGTACATGTATTATAAGTAGAAGGCAGATTGTGATTTTTTCAATATTAACATTCATTTAAGCTTATCTGTACTAGTTTAAAGGAGGGATTAGACCAACGTGCAAGGTCACTGTTCAAGTGGTTATCTCATCAACTCAGCTCTCAATTAACATAAGGAAAAGAGGATCATGGGGGACCAGTGGTCACTGATTATGCACCGTTTCCTATATAGAGGGAGCAAGTAGCTACAAGTAGTACAGCGGGGCTTTAAATACCTTGACATGTCGTATCAAACTGGAAGAAGCTCGGTCCGCAGTCGCTGACACAGCGTCCCCACTTGAGCAGATCGCCTTCCCTGCATGCAGTGCAGTGGTATTCGGTTCCCCCGGAGCACATGGAACAACTCTCGTGGCAGACTACAAAGAGAAATGAAAGAAGAAAGGGGTTTATGTGATATTCACTTCTAAATACCAATCCAGAAAAATTTATGCATGTTTTTTAAAATTCTGGTTTGCCATTGACCCAAACTCTCAAAAGCCTGATTTTGCATATAAGTTTTATAACCACAATGCAATACTTTGAAATTGACCCTTAACCCCTTGACCTCTCACCTTCACACCCTTTATCCAAGGCCAAGGCTAAGTAGCCAGGTCTACTGGCCATAACCCAATTAGAAATAATAACAACAATTTATAAATTTTTTGTTTTGGGCTGCCCACCAAACTGTAGACTGACTTTCCAAAGTCACCAATCGATCCCTAACCCCTTGAACTCTCACCTTCGCACTCTGTCTCTGATGCTTTGAAGTAGCCTGGTCTACAGGCTGTAATCCTATTTGAAATTACAAACCAAATTAAAAAAAAAAAATTGGCTGCACACAAAACTGTAGACTGAATTTCTAGAGTTTTAAATTGACCCCTATTAAACCTTTTGACCTCTCACCTTGGCATTCTGTCTCAGAGGCCTTGAAGTAGCCCGGTCTACAGGACGTCTCGCACTGACCCTCTTGTAAAAGTCTTCCCTGACGACATGACGTACAGCCGGTGCCATCACAAGACATACATTCTAAAGGACATTGCACTGCAAACAGGTAATTGGAGAAATACAATCAGTGGACCTTTGGTGTAAATATCGTCACTTTAAACCATATCAAATTATATAAATTGTCCTACATTTATGTGTAGCTGATACATCAAGACATATTATAGCATTATACTTTTTACCATCATCATTATTATCAATTTCTGGTGTGAAAATACTTCTTATTTTTTGGTCCCGATGGAACGGCATGAATTGATAAAACACAGTCCAAAATTTTGATTGCTGGTTATTAAGACATACACAACATATTTCATACCGTACAAATCGCTTACAGAGATACATGTACACTTCAGTTCAGTTTATTAATATCATCATTTTGCAGCCTGGGCTGAATTGCATGACAATTTACAATTAAAAACATATCATATTTCTTTCACAATTGTTTCTAATAATACTAGTTAAAATACAATATAATTAACAAAGACAATGAATTGTCATCAATACTTAGTTCACTTTCACCTATTACTTTAGAATTCAAAGCTAAATACAGTGTAGTTATGATTTGCATTGCCGACTTCGTTTGCCTCTCTGGGGCAAGTGGGGCAAGTGGATGTTTGCTCTTACCTACAACACACTGAGGGCAACACGTCTGGGGGTTGGTCTGAGGCACCGTCCCGACGGGGCAAGGTGGGCAGTCGACCCTGAAGCAGCTGGCTGCCCCATCCATACAGTTACACGTCCTGCAAGGATCAGGCTGCCAGGTTTCATCAGCCTGTTAGAGAAGGGAGGACAGGTGGAATCGGTGAAAAGGGGGAGGTTGAAATAGTTGGGAGTGACATGACAATGTTTATTTATGGATTATTACAGCAATCATTATGATCACCATCATAAGTATCTTCACCATCATTAGTATCTTCACCATCATTAGTATCTTTACCATCATTGCATTTATCATTATCATCATCATTATATTTATAATTATCATCATTGCAATCATCATCACCATTATTATATTCATCATCATCGATAACCTCATCTTCATCATTAGCTTCATCATCACCACCACTACCACCACTCTCATCCTTATCATCATCATAATCGCCATCATCATCATCATCATCATCATCATCATCTAATATTATCATCATCGTCGTCGGCGTCGTCGTCATCATCATCGTCTTCATCATTCCTCTTTCTCATTTCCCCTCTCCTGCTCTTCTTCCATCCTTCTCCTCTTCTCCTTCTGCTCCTCCTCCTCCCCATGCTCCTCCTCCTAATCATCATCACTACTATCAATATCATCAGAAGCATTATATTCGTTACCACCACATATATGCACATTTAACTAAGCTGGTACACTAAACAATTTTTTTAATTAATGTTTAAAACTCACTGAATATGTTATCCTATTATGTATGCAGTATCCCTGTGATATGTGGCATTCTGGGCAGCATCGGCCTTGCTTGTGTAGTAACGTCTCACCCTGTTAAAGAAGAGCGGCAAAAGAAAATAGTCTGGATTAAAATTGTGGAGGTATTTTGATTATTTAAAAGAATTGAAATTGCATTTTATGATAAATTGTACAAGTTGATAGAAAATTTACAAAGGGGTATGAATAATTTAGTTATTAATTGTATTTACAGATCACTGTTCCAGGAAAATCATATTCCAAGTTGTATATATTTTCATTCTTAATGGGTAAAATAAACAATTTACATTTGGGTCTACACACCGTTTTCTTTCAATCATTGAGGCCTACTCGCCATAGTAACCCCCAAACCACAGGTAAACAGACACAAATAAAATTATGAAAACATCAAAATGCAATTCAGACGTTGATGCATTTAATTATTAGCATATGGGGGGGGGGGGAGGGGAGACTCATTCCTTCCTACGTAACATTACCATTTTTCCCCCTGTACAAATGTTTTGATTCATCAAGCAAATATGAGGCAGTAAAAATCGCAAGGGAAATTAGATTAAGCTCAGGGGAATCCTCGTCTGAGAAGTGATGTCAAAATCATGTGACTTTACGGAAACTTCATTTAAAGGGGCTTCCACAATTACGTCAGAGCAGGTAAGGAAATATGATGTTTTTGATAATTCAATGACTCAGTGCTATTTCCATGTTAAGACAAGTAATATTCCCTCAAACTATTCAACTCTGAGTGATTAAAGGTGCTAATAGAAAGACCATCGAAAGATGCATGTATTAGATGTGTTTCATGATCAAAATGTATGACGTTGGAACCACAAAAGATGAACCATACTGTTTCCGGGGAAGACTGTATTGAGTAATCTTACACTTTAAAGATCGACCATTGATTGAGAAATAGAACAGTAAATATTTTAATCTGGTTTGATGTACTGCATGAATCAATTAGAAGTGGCTTCCTAGTCAAAAATAATCTCACTAAAGCAAAGTTTTTTTTACTTAAAACTGGTCCCTCATACAATGTGAACTACAGGTTTCACAATAATATTCTTCTCTACTTCATAATAAGAGATAAAGAAATATAATGATCAGTGCAAAATAACTTTCACAATATATGCTCATGGTACAATAAGAGTGAGCAATGCACACTAATTTCAAGTTCAAAAGGGTAGCATGCGAAATAACAGGCACACATGTATTAAAGTTTATAAAGTTATAGTAGATAGATGATCTAGTTTCCCCCGCAATCACAAGATATCTTGACCACAGTGCTGAGTCATTCCCACCGATTCATCATTTCTTGCTGATTTAGACAAAGATTTTTGAAGCTTCGTGAAGACTGCTATTTATACTGGGTAACCATGCATCAAGCCAGCTACAAAAAGACTTCTGAACGAAAATACGATCCTTTCATGATGGGAAATATTGAGGAAGTTTTCAATAAAAGGCCATTTGTAATTTGCAGGACATGTTGAAACTGTTTTGTTTCTCAATGAATCATCTTGTTGGCTAGTCTCCACGGTTTTCTCTCTCTCTCTCTCTCTCTCTCTCTGTTACCCCATTCTCTCTCTCTCTGTTCTCTCTTTCCTCTTTATCTCCTGCCCTGTGTTACCCTCTATCATAATTCTTGTTCTTCTCTATCAATCTCCATCTTAATCTCTCTCTCTCTCTCTCTCTCTGTTACCCCTATTCTCTTTTTTTCTCTTTATCTCCTGCCCTCTGTTTCCCTTTATCATAATTCCTGTTCTTTTCTATCAATCTCTATCTTACCCCCCCCCCCCTTCTCTCTCTCCCTCTCTCTCTCTCTTCTCCTTCCATACATAGCATATATTTGATTTATTCATCTTTCTGCCCTATCCCTCTCTTCCCCATTCTCCACCTCTTACTCTCTGCTCATACATAAGTATTTGCTCTTTATATATCCTTTCCTTTTCTATCTATAAATTTCCTATATGTATTTCTTCTTTACTTCTAGCCCTCTATCTTTTCTTCTATCCCTCTGTCTTTTTTCCTTCTCTTTGTCCTATCACCTCACTATCTCCATGCCCATCTTTATTAGCTATCCCCCTCTCTCTCCCTCTTTCAGTCTCTCTAAGTCTCTCTCTCTCTCTCCTTCTCTACTTCTCTCCCTCCAAACCATCTCTCTATCATCCCTTTCTGTCTGTCTTCTGTCACTCTCTTCCCCCCCAGCAGGCACTCCAGGAAGAGGAAAAGAACAGTCTGTTACAAAAATGTCATTGAGTGAGTAATAGACAGAAGTTTGTGAATACGGACGACAACAATACATCTCTGATTCGCCCTACAGCACTTGTCTGGTGAATGGGATCCCTAACAGATCATTACCGATGGCTTTTACGATGATATGATCAAATGATTAAATGATCTATGACCACATGCTTTCAAAGAGATTTGTTACATGGGAGTATAATCATTACATTATGTTCAATCAATTCATTCATCAGAAAAGATGATCCCGAATAAAGCTCTCTTTGTAATTGTGTGGTATCTCCTTGCTTTTTCCCCCTACCCTTCTGCATTATATTCCTCATGGTGAGTCATTTCAATTTAAAATTCAAGCAATTTGAAGAGACAGGTAAGTACTGGCAACAGCAAAAATTGTTTTGAGCTTTCTTACTCTTTTCATTCTGAAAATAAAAGAATTGCTCTCATAATGTTCGTGTACATGTATCTCAAATATACAAATATTATGAGAAGTACAGTAGGCTTGCTGTCGCACCAGAGAGAGGGGGAGGATTGGGGAGTCCTGAAAAGGACTCTTGGTAATCTTTCTTTCTTGAGTGTGTGTAGTCCTGAAAAGGACTGTTGGTGTAGTCTTGAAAAAGATTGTTGGTGTAGTCTTGAAAAAGACTTTTGGTTATCTTTCTTAGCTGATAGTTCTAAGGAGAACCATAGCGCTGGTTGAAGAGGATGGATGGATGGTAGAAGTGGCTCTCCGTGACTCAGTGACTATCCGTCGTCAGGATGAGAAGATTTCTTTCAAACCACATTTACCTGACCATCACCATCATACAATACTTATTGTTATCAAACATCACAAAATATGTTATTGCTCTTAAACTAATCTACACTAACTACAGTAAAATCGTAATTACTACTGAACCTACCTCTCTGCATTCCGTCCTGGCACATTCTGCTGGATAGCAGGCTATCAGACCCTCTTGGCAGAAACAGAACTCGCAGTCCGTAACATTCCACATGTCACCTGTATACCACCGTACTCCATCAGCCTCGCAGGTAGCTGCGTAAAGATCAGAGGTCAAAGGTCAATGGTGTCGTTTTAGCTTTTTTTCCATTTTGTTTAATCAGCAGAGAGATTGATTGACTTTTTTCTCTCAATTTCATATTTTGAAATTGAATCTGACAAGTATGGTGACATAAGGTGAATAAGAACAAAATATGCTAAAGTTTGAACATGAAATTTTATTGCGTTTCAATACTCAAAATCGTTCAAATTCATGTATTATATCATATAGTTGGTTTTACATTTACTTGGAACATGTATATGTATATTTGAAGGAACGAGGTAAGCTAGCTGTATTATTGTACGTGTATCTCCAAATAAATCTCATTAGACCACACATTAATCCCATACTTTTATAGGGACATAGTATAAATATTTTTTATTCAAAAGTTAGAAACAACATCAAATCATAGAAATGTTGTCTAAAAATCGCATCTGCATAAATCCTCTTAAAATGTCATGCTTCAAGTGCATGGCTCAAAAGAAGAACACAAAAGAGCTAGGAATTCACTTCACTATTGATGATTTTTGAAAGATCAGGTTTAATCAGTCCAGGAAAAACATAATCATATCTTTGAAATCTATGAACAAGCTCAACTGGGCTAGAACCCACTCACAAAAATTATTTAAATACATTTATTGGTGCAAATCCTCCTCAGCCCCCATATATTGTTGTCTTTTCCCAGTATATTTTGTTTACCTTCTGTTGATACACATTCTGAACAGCACTGCACATCTCTTCGTATCCTTTTCTCTCCCTGAAAATAAATACAAATTAAAAAGGTAATAGGTGATAGCCCCGTCTTATAAAGAGTTGATATCAATCGCAACTTATTTGCAATTGATATCAATTACAACTATGTACATAAGAGATGGCAGACTGCAAACTTGCGATTGATTATAGGATTTGCGATTGATTTGGATCCATCGCAACTCTTTACAAGACAAATATGGTAAATAATAAAATAAAGATAAATGCATTTTGGTTTGTGTTCTTATTCATAGTCATCAAATAAGAAGAATTTCACTCTAACTCATAAAATGAGATCACTTTTGCTCGGGTCGGTCTTCAATATAAAAAGTGCTTTCACATACATGTATGGACGAATGAAAGGCACAACTGGGACCTGCTGAAGAGATGATCAAACATTTGCTCTAAAATTAATACACAAAATGTAGGGTTAAGGTTAGGGTTAGGGTCGGGCTTAGGGTTGAGGTTAGTTTTAGAGTTCAGGTAAGCAAAGTGCTGGGTTCAGTATCTAACTAAGGAATTCAGTTAAAGTGGAAGACGTTGAATACAGCTTGAAAACAAATTGTCCCCATGGAGTGATCTTTGGGAAGGCTTGGGAAAATAGGGTCTTAGAGACAAATCATTGAATCAGGTAATTACATGTATATGTGTTATTGTTATTCTTCAATCATTTTGTCATATTATGCCATAATACTTGGGCCTCTACCTTTTCTGGCTGGGAAACAAACAGGCTTCAGAAAAATAAAGGAAAATAAAAACATAACATGCTGCAATTCGTGTATTATGATACATACGCAGGAAATGGGGAGTTATAGGCAGTCACGGCATGGATATCGATTTGGGCAGGGCCTCCGTTCGGTTTGGAAACATTCTATATCCTTTCCACTCATGATTTAAACTTGGCACCTGTTACTAACGATGTTACATACAGACTTAGAGAGTTCAGTAATAATTTGTACTCTAATTGCTTGAAAAAGATGGTAAAATTGATAGCTTAATAGTTCAGGCTATTAAATTTGGAAGTATTTTATTTCTTCTGACCGCATGGATGTAAATTCGCACCTGTCACAGGGCTGGTTACATGTGCGTGTTTACGGAGAAAGGGAGTTCCTAGGACTTTGTTTACGTTTCTTTACATTGCTGGATGATAACGGTACAGCTGATAGCGCAGATCAACTCTTGGCCAGGTACAGGTTGATTAATTGCTTGGGGAATTTCCCAATACTTTATTATATTTCTTGAAAGGAATAACACAGTGAAGTCACATCCTTTCCACTGAAACAGATGCATATGCTTTTAATATTGACTTCTATTCCTTTGAAAAATATATTTGGGAACAATATTTCGATTTAGAAAAAACCCATTGGACATTATGACATTAGTATTTCTAATAAATTTCATCATTAATTTACTAATAGGCTGACAAAGTGGAATTAAAAAAGGTTTTTATGAGCCTCCTTGAAAATACAATGACATTTCAAAGCACTAATCTATTTAACGACTTCATCAATGAAGATTAATTTAGTTCATGGATTAATTAATGAGAGACCTCGATCTACTTACAGGTGCACAGGGAAGGTTGTCCACACAAGTCTCATCTACACAGCTGACTGAACCGCTTTTACAGAGGCAGTGGGTACACACCCCGCTCTTCCATGATGCACCATCCTAGATTGGTAGAAGAGAATGAAAGAGGGAGAGAAAGAGAGACAGAGAGAGAGAGAGAGAGAGATAGAGAGAGGGGTGAAAAACAATTAAAATCATGGAATATCAATAAAAGTGAAAAATTTGGCGACAAACAGTGATCAATAATTTAATTCAGGCAACAACAAAAAGAGGCACCTCGCTATGCAAGTTTTTCTGGTGCTTGCATCACTACTATATTTTAAGATTGATTCTTCTTTTAATATAGCATCTCACTGTTATACGATTAACAACTAAATTATTCACACCAAACCCTTACAAATTTGATTCGTTTTTGTATTTTTTGTAACTCAAGAATGAAAGGTGGATGGGTTGAATTAGGGCCTTTGTTGAATACTGTTAGATTTAAGCTTTAATTTGTCACATTCTAAAAAAAAAAAAAAAAAAACAATAATCATTTAACAATAATCATTTTATCAACTTAATTTCATATGTGCAAAAATTAATAAGGGTATAAATAATTCAGTTGTTCGCTGTATATGTTAAGGGTTGATCGTCGCTTGCCTCTTACTTCAATCAGAGATTTTACAGAACACCTGATATACTTTCATAACCTACCTGATAGACAGCCCCATCTACTACACATGATCGCCCCACACACTCTGGACAGCACTTCCCTTCTGAGACTACTGCTTCTTCATCCTGGAGGGGGTAGACAGACAGACAGACAGAGAGAAAACAAAAAGAAGTTTCATCATATTATTCCTAAGATTCAGACAATAATAACAAAGATGATATCGCAGAGGCTCTTGACTCTCATACCAGAGGTCCTGGGTTTGATCCTAGTGAAGGGGTTGCATCCTTGGACAAGGCGTTTTCCCTACAGTTGTCCCTCTTGACCCAGGTTTATTAAATGGGTACCTAGCAATGCTGGGAATAATAATATTGCAATGCAGGGATTTCCAGAAGAGCACTATTCATACTAATAAAGATACCCTTTGTAAATAAAACAAACTTATTAATCTTGATTTATCTGTATTATTTATTCTTACGGGTGAATTTCTAATATTTTGAAATATATGCTCTCTGTAACACTATGTAATTTTGTAGAAAAGTCTGATGATTTAGTACTTTGACAAAATGAAGTGGCTTTTAATATGGTGTTCTTTCGGAATAATCAAGAAGTTATTTTGTTTGAAAGGTTCAACATATCAAGAAATGATGAAGTTAAATTACAACTCTTCGCAGAACTGTTATTGTGTCATCTTGCTTACAACACTGATACAAAAAGGTCAGAAAAAGAAAAAAGAATGGTATGGCAGAGCTAGTTGAGATTGAAAAAATGGGAGCAAGTCACAGTAGGCTTGCAGGGTACATTTACGAAGAAAACTGTTGAAACTTCTCCATGTAACAATACTAGGAAGTTTTGAACTGCTACTCTTTAAAAGCACAAACATACCCTAAAACCATTACTCCCTCTTTTTTTCACCAGAAAAAAACAATAATATTTGGAATATACAATTACCTGAGAACAAGTTAATGTTGGGCAATCTGCTACGTAGCACTGTGACTGGCCATTATTACATGCACACTTTGCACATTTGACTGGTGACCACTGTTCCCCGTCATGATAGCTGACCCCTCTATCAGTACAGGTTCCTGCAAAAGGGGTGAGAAATGATACCAGTCAATATGATTTTACATGTTTGATTTCATGCACTTTTATATGCTACTAGTACAATATTACACTTAAATTTCAATTTTCAATGACAAATACATTTTACAAATTGAAAATGTTGAAGATGATGAGGATTACGAAGGTGATAAAATGATCAAGACTTCTAATGATGATAATGATAACGCCTGTAAGTTGGTGATGAAGTGGATGGTAGTGGTGGTGGTGATTTTAAATTATGACAATTATTGTTTTGAAGATAAAAATTATTGATGAATAATGATGACTACGACGATGATGATGATGACGATGATGATGATAGCAAAGATGGTGATCATGATCATGAAGAAGATAATGATCATCAAGATGATGTTTATGATGATGATAATGACAATGATTGTTGTAATAATGATGACGATGATGGTGATGGTGATGACAATGAATTTGATGATAAAGATGAAGATGACAATGATGGTGATGATAACAATTTTGATGATGAAGATGATGATAACGATGATTGAGATGGTGGTGGTGGTGGAGGTGGTGGTGGTACTGGTGATGATGTTGATAATGACGATGAAGATAGCAAAGATGGTGATCTTGATCATAAAGAAGATAATGGTGCTGACAAAAATAATGATGATGAAAATAATTGAGATGACGATCATCAAGATGATGTTTATGATGATGATAATGACAATGATTGTTGTAATGATGATGACGATGGCGATTAGGGTGATGACAATGAATGTGATGAAAAAGATGAAGATGACAATGATGGTGATGATGATGATAACGATTTTGATGATGAAGATGATGGTAATGATTGTGATGATGAAGATGATGATAAAAATGATGATAATGAAAATAGTTGTTGTGCTCATATAATTATGAAAATATACCAGTTTACAGAAAATAACACCAACATCTAAAACATACTTCCTGATCTAATACAGCTGGGACAGCACTCTCCCTCGGATTGGTATAACACCTCACCCGCTCTGCACTGCATGCTGGGACAGGTTTGGTTCCGACACGTCACCTGACCACTTATACAGTAGCATGTTGAACAAGGCGATGGGCTCCACTGAGAATTATGCTGCAATAAGAGAAAGGGAAAAGGAAAATAATTACTTCTTATTGCTATGTATTTTTTATATTTCAGAAAAATGTTATAAAGCATTTTAAGCATGTTGATGGCACCTTTGATAATTACATGCAGGCTTCAATGAGAGTAAAAAGAAAAGAAAAAACATATAGTACCACTTCCAATTGTTGATTTGGTTGAAAACGGTACAAGGGGAATGTAGAATACACAAAATCAAGAGAATATTGGGGGTTAAAGATAAAGAATATATTAGAGCAAAAAAGACAAGTCAGAAAAGAGAGATCAAGAAGTGTAGGCACTGCACTAGAAATTGGGATTCAAATCATAATATGGACCTGAACAAATAAACAAAGATACTATTCAGTCACTCTATCTAAAATGCAACTTTCCCAATCTGATCAGCAACAACTATTCCTACATGAACATAGCAATTTTATTTCAATAGATTGTTTCCAAATATGATCAACACCAACTTGAAATGACTAGAAGAAAAAAAAAAGAATGTTAGTAATAGTATGGTGACATCTGGAAAGAATTGATACTCTTCTTCCATGGTTCATCAACATTTAGCTGATCTTTCTTCCTTGGCCCTCTTAGGGCGCGTTCATGCTTGATTTTGACGGCCAGAATCAGGCATCTGTTACACGTTTAGTTTAAAACACGCTTGCGTTCATGCTCACTTTTGTAGAATCACCGAAAAACGGCGATCACGATCGCCGATCGTAAACTCACAAAAAGATGCGTTTACAATTTGTAAACGCGTTTAAATGGGGTCAACGCACTGACCTCTAGTGGGTCTACGTAGCATGCGCACACAGGTTTGCGAATCCAGCTGAAGGCCACCCAAGGAGAATTGCCTGGAGAAGTAAGCATGAACACTACATCGTGGAACTGCGATCACGATGAGCGTTTACAATGAGCGTTTCAGATCGCTCATTCTGCCTTCAAAATTTAAGCATGAACGCAGCCTTACATACTTGACTTCATGGCCATGGCCATTCTAAAAATGCAAACTCTTAAAGTAGCTCTGCCACGCCCCCCCCCCCCCCCACTCAGTGTTATTCAGGGTACGCGTATGCATGTTCCCTCCTTTTGAAAACACCCCCTATCTCTGGTGCATAAAGTCAATACGAGCCAGATTTTTGTGTAATATGGGCCGGACTTTGTTGCGTGAAAAGTACTCAGTTACCAGAGATTTGGGGAACAATGTGGTCCCTTCGACCCCGGAGTGGGGGGGTTGGGGGGGGGAGCTCTGCTTTATACCCTCTGCTTGACTTTGATGTTGTCATGAATGTCATTTTCTCTCCTGCTCTCTTTCAATCATTTGTGCTTGAATTGAAACAAGAACCCCCGCTTAGAAAATGCTTTGTAATCATTCACTTTTGACGTAACACTTTAGCTTTAAAGCCCATATATTATGTATGGTATCTGTAAGCACCTGAATATAATTTGATGTGTTTTATAATCTTATTATGACTAGTTAGAAAGAATCAATTCTTCTTCTTCTTTCATGAATTTTTGTGAATGTTACACATTCCCAGAACTGACAAAATTCTGAGCAACTTTGGTTTGACTAGCATTAACAAACTCTGAAAACAGGAGCTAACAACATTGACAGGAGCCCCGAACCAGCACTTGGTCAAATAAAGATATGAAAACATATCTATCTCGTCATGGAGCTGAATCAACAATGTGATCACCAGCATGGGAAAAAGCAGAGTAGCATACCATAAAAATGTTAAGGTAGAAAGAGAGGTTGAAGCTTATCTTAAAGTTGGAAGGCCAGTAGAGGATTTGGTCAAATCAAATATGAAAACGTATCTCACTATAGAGCTAGATCAACAATACCATTGCCAGATGAGCAAGAGGAAAACACCAAAATATGGTATATATAAAAGTAGCCTATGGCTTACCCTACAGTTGAGTGGCTAAAAAGAGGATTTGGTCAAATAAAATATGAAAACATATCTCACTTTAGAGCTAGAACAACAGTATGATTACCGTAAGAAGAAGAGAAAACATAGAAGTAGCCTATGGCTTACCCTACAGTCGGGTGGCTAAAAAGAGGATTTGGTCAAACCAAATAGGAAAAACATATCTCATGATGGAGCTAGAACAACAGTATGATTACCAGAAGAAGAAGGGGGATATATGGTATAGTATAAGGGAAGCCTATGGCTTGCCCTACAGTTGGGAGGCTAAAAAGAGGATTTGGTCAAATCAAATATGAAAACATATCTCATGATGGAGCTAAATCAACAGTGAGGTTACTAGCTACCAGGAGGGACAAGAGAGACTATTCATAGACTTGACAGGTATCTACAAACACAGAAAGAGATAGAGGGAGGGAGGGAGAGAGACAGACATACTGAGAGACAGAGAGAGAGAGAGAGAGAGAGAGAGAGAGAGAGAGAGAGAGAGAGAAGAGGAAGGAGGAAAAAGAACAGAGAACAAAAAAACAAGGAGGCAGAGAGAAATAGAGGAGGACAGAGGAAGATAGAAAGAGAGATATAAGAGTGGGGTATAGAATGATGAAGATGAAAAGGGGAAATTAAGAGAACAATTAAGACAGAAAACAAGAGTCAGAGTGTACCATATCAAGACAGAGATAGAGAAAGCATAAGAATACAAGAAAATGAAATAAGAAAGACACACATATACAGAGAGAACAGTCCAAACAAAAGAAAATGAACCTTTTCCCTTAAACTTTTGCTCATAATGAGCTGTACTATTATGAAGGCTAAGCCCAATATTTTTGCCAAAAATACTTGGACAGGGAATGAGCATTAATTAGTATGCCCCATATAATAGGTACGACAGAAAAAGTTCCATTAAACCTATAAACTTATAAAGCGAATCTAAAAAGAGAAACATGGCCCACCTGATCATCCATCTTTACTACCCAAACCAGGCAGATTTTTTTTTTAAAGTGGACCTGTCTTGCTTTGACAAGTTCACTTACCAAGTCATATTTTGACCCAATAGCCCTACTTGTTCAGGGCACAAGACTTGTCATCAGAAATTGAATTTCTCTTGGTGACATGCTATAAATAGGCCTATGAGTATACAATTATCTTGCCATCATATTGGTTAGCCTAGGGTGATGCGACCATATGGGCAGGAATAATATTGTTAGAAAGAACAGAATTGGGTGTAGTCAGCTGTGATGAGTTTAATATGTTTGGATCAAAAAATCTTGAGAGAGGCCTCAACAAAATTGAATATATCAAATGAAATTATTTCTAGGGGTAAGGGTAAATTTCAAGAAATATTAAATCATCTCTCCCTCCTTCTCTTCCTCCCTTTCATCTCCCCCTCTTTTTTCCCTTCCAATTTTCTCTGTCTCTTTCTTTCTTTTTCTCTGTCTGTCTGTCTCCCTGATTCTCTCTCTCTCTCTCTCTCTCTCTCTTGTTCGTTGTTTGAATGAAGTTGTAACATACCATATTCCTAATTAGATCACCCCACTCACGTTTGCTATCATTTGCTTGCGGGCAAAGTTATTTTCATGGTTTAAAATCAATAAATACTGAAAACATAATGAGAAGAAAACAGCAATTAGGTTTTTAAATCCAAACATACCTCCCCCCAAAAAAAAATCTACCTCATTTGAGAGTAAAAATGGTCGCCATTGTCACCCATATAAACATACAATTCTCAATTGCATTCCAGGTAGGTTTTTGCTACAATAGGAGGAGATTCATATCTTAGAATTGAATCCACAAATTACAAGCATGTGGAGGAACAGGGGTACAAAGACTGTTCAGTTCTCCTTTTCTCTTTTGGCAGAGAAAGAAATGATTTGATTATGTTGCTATGGAACAAACCAAGATGATTTATAAGGAGAGGGTACTAAGGGTAGTCACATGATGTGATTGGGACATAAACCATTTCACTGTCTAGAGGTTTGTAACTAGGCAAAAATATGGATATAATCAGGTTTTATTTTGAAAGTAGGCCAACCATGTCAATATGTTCTTGATAAATATATCATACCAATTAGGGGATAACAAGAAAAAGTCAAAATATTGAGGGGGGGGGGCAGAAATGAGTTTTTCTTTACATGTTGTACTTCTTACAAAAGTTAAAAGTCATATAATTTAGAAGCCCTCCCTCTCCATCTTCATCTCCATCTCCTCCTCCTCCTCTCTTGCCCTCCTCTTCCTCCTCTTTCTCCTCCTACCAAGCAAAACACCTTATTTCTCCAGGACTTTTTTATGGCGTATGTCAGATTTCTATACAGAAATTAAGATCCCCCAAGAGCACTTCATACATTGTTTCATTTTTCATCATTTTCAAAGGCTCCCTTTGAACTTTCCAGAACTGAATTGTTCTCTGCCCCCACCACCAATGGACATTTAAATAGCTACATTTCTCTTGAAGCGGGTAGACGGAGCATTGAAATTGCCTACATGTAGTTAGAAGGCAGATTTACAACTTACATGTTTGGAAGTTGTGCATTATTCCAAAAAGTACTTTCTGAACATGAAAACCACATGAAGGAAATTAACCTTTGACAATAATACTATCATATTAACCAGGGAAAATCGAAAGCAGAATCAAATTTCCCCATATTTAACAAATGCATCTCCCTGTTCTAAATTTGTATAGAGAATCTTACCTGATCTAAACAATGTCATCACTGTATTCTTTCTTAATTACCCTTGGTATACAAAATTCCTTTTTGTTTAAAAGCTGTCACACAAATATTAGAAACCCTTTCTGATGAATGAACTCAGTGAATTAATTCCATTCCTGACTCATTTCTCTGATTTTCTGCATTAAGTCTCATTGATTAAAATGTTGAGGTGGACATCCCCTTTAAAATCCAATAAGTACCTGTCCATAGCACTTGTCTAATCTAAAAAAAACACTCTTCTGATCTATTGATTGATCAATCAATCAGGATCTTAATCTGAAAATTTGGATGAAGTTTGAGAAGAACAAGAGGAGGAGGGGAGGAAAGGGAAAGGGAAAGGGAAAGGGAAAGGGAAAGGGAAAGGGAGAGGGAGAGGGAGAGGGAGAGGGAGAGGGAGAGGGAGAGGGGGAGGGGTAGGGGTAGGGGGTGGTGATCAGACTGTAACTTACCCCAACTATTTCTCCCTGATATTCACACGATCCTGCTCCAGAGGCACACTCCGGACAGCATTTATTCGCTGATATTCTCAGAATCTCACCCTGCAAATCAAAAGAAAGAAAACAATGAAAGAAATACACTTATAATGACATCAAACACTTTTAAACCTGTAACAAAAAAAAGACATCTGATGATATTAAAAGCAATACATACAGTACACTTTTCAATAATCCTGTTATATGCGTTAATCCCATTCTAACTAATTCAATGTCATTTCTCTCCATGCAATATTTAATCATAATTATATTCATAATTACATTTATGAAGTCTTTCAATCAGGGGCATCTACATGTACACCTTAAAAGTTCCAAGACCTATTGCTGAGGGTTTCACATTACACCAAATATTGAATTTGTCCTCTTTTCATACCAAAAGACTTGTTTGGGTTGGAGCGAGGAGTAACTTATCCCATACTGTTTTGCAGATAAATTCCAGATGAGGTGAAAATTTGAAAAAGCCAGTGGCCATGACCAGATTTACTAGCTTGGACACCACAAAACTGTTTGCAATTACTCCCTTACCCCATGTTCACACTACAAGAATTCATTGTATAGTTAGAAGAGAATTGTATACATGTAGCTGTATGTTAAAGTAATTCAAATGTTCTTTCTACTCCGAACGTCATATAAAAACGCTGTATAACAAAACATTGTAAAGCGCATGTTTGAGCATTGTTTCAAATGCAAGAATTGTATAGGCCTACATGTAGCTGTATGTTAAAGTAATTCAATGTTCTTTCTACTACAAAAGTCATATAAAAACGTTGTTTAACAAACGTTATATAGCGCATGTTTGAGCATCGTTTCGAACGCGAGAATTGTATAGGCCTATATGTAGCTGTATGATAAGTAATTAAATTTCTTTCTACTTTAAACATCATTTAAAAACCTTGTATAACAAAAGTTACAAAACGTTATATAGTACTTGTCTGAGCATCCTTTTGAATGAAATCTTGACAAAGAATCAGGGTCCGGTTCTAGTCTGAACGCTATATTGGCAAAAATCGTATAACCGGGCGGGGCTTATCGTGAGCATGCACTGATGAGTGGCCTGCTGTCATTAAGCAACCTCTTTTAAAACTAGTTTCTTCACATGACATTTCTTTATTATACTATGTTCTTATCCAGTCTTATGACCCCATTCACAATACGATGATTCTTTATACAACGTTTCGAACAAATTTGATGAAGTCTGAACGGGCTATAAGTCCAGCCCTACGAAACTCAGCTGCTTGGTTTTGTTTATCTAGAAAGAAATACTCTGGAGTGGAGTTTGCTAAAAAAAACTGTTGATTGAAATCAAAATTAGATTTGTGAGTTTATGGCAGGATGGATTGTTGAGGAAAATGCAGAAATGATTACTGGAAATTTGTCCTAGAAATTGGGCTCGTAAATCTTTTCGGAAGCGTAGGGGTCAGAGGGGAAGTCCAAGCACTCCGTCACCTCTGGTCAAGTTGACCTCTGCGAGACGCCATTCCAATGCAAACAATTCAACAGTGCCCCTGAAGAAACGAAGAGTCCCTGAATAACGATGATATTGCTAATAAAATTTTGCATTAATGAAAGTATTAATTCAACTTGTTATATTTCCTTGCTACACATTGAGCTCATTATAATCAAAGTGTCTAGCATAGTTACATGCCATGGCCAATAAATTTTCATTCAACAACATAGCTCACCAAAACAGGATTATCGATAGACAAATAACATACCCATACATCTAAGTTATATTTCTTTTTAATTGAATATGATGTGGGAAACCGTACTGGCTGACCGACATATAGCCCCTTGTCAAAATGTCAAAGATATGCCTTGAAAGGTATACTGTTGGTTTCTCAACTCTGTTAGAATTTCAAACATGTGGAAATTGTTAGGATTCTATGTAAACTTCAAATATTCTGAATTTTCACTGGCACAAGTTCATTTCTTCCTTCTCTCTCTCTCTCTCACGTCCAGCGCTGCCCTTCCAAAGCGGCCTAGGCAGTGGACCTTTCCAAGATCTCTCATTACAAAAACTGTCAGATCTAAATTTCAGACAGCAAACACAATTACAGAACTTTAACGTTGCCGCATAAAACTCTTTGGAGCATTCCCTAGACAATGTCCAAAACCCTCCAAAAGAAAATCAGAGTTTGTAATAGTTAGCATAAAGCTATTCTCATGCTCAAATTGGTTTTACAATACCATGGGGTAATAGATAAAAGTGACATGTTGAAAGGGTATTGGGTATTGAGTATACAAAAGGGTATACAGGGGCATAAAGAACTTGACCCTACATGTGTAAGTTCACCATATCATCACTATTTCGTTTTCTTCACAACCCTTTTTCTCATTTTCCCAAATGTGTACAATGAAAAAAGATACAATGCTTTTCTTTTGTGTGTCTTTCTCATATTCCCCTACAATCCCTCTTTGAGTAACAATTTCTACATTGCTTCTTAATCAAAGTTAGCACCAAAAATAGTAATTGCAATGTCTCCAGCAAATGTGCAACATATTTCTAATTAAACTTTGATAAATTACTGTACATTTTCCTCTGTTCGATGTTTTTACTTCTATCTTCCCTTTAACTGTTACATTTATTATACTATTTGATAATTATCATAGGCTTAAATACTGAGAAACCTGTATTAACTGCTAGCTCTGTACCCTTAACACAGGAGGTGATGGGAAAAACTGCTCCAAGAAATCTTCAACACAACAAAGGGAACAGGACGATCAATCAACAAACCAACGATTACCAGACAAACTCAAGACCTGCATGTTCTCCCACAGACTATAGTCCAAGTTCACAACAGGTCTACAAAGCAATCACTGCTAATTGGACCCGATTCCTACCCCTGGGCTAACTACTGCCTTTCTTCAATTCTATCTCTTCATTTCCTGCCATTTGTTCATTTGTTGATCCAAAGGTCTACTGTTCTTTGACAATGCCAGAGACATCCCTGGAAGTCTCTAATGGCTTTCTATTTGATCCTGAGGCAACCTGAGAAAATTGGGAAGCAGGTTACAGAACAACTTGCGGCTGATATTTGAATGAATATTGAGTTTTTACCAACACAGAACCAATTGTCCAAACATGCAACAGAAAAGTTAATGATCATAATTAAAACCACTTGACATAATTGTGGGGTTCAGAGGCCAACAAACAATCACTGATGAAACTGAAAAAGAGGAAACAAAGAATTAATACACATTTATACCAATTTATAGTCTAATGTACATCTACAGCCTCATGAATATTTCTACAGATTATTGTAAACCGTAATGCAGTGATTGTAGGGTTCAGTTCATTCTAAAGTTACACTACAGTTGTTGCTCAATTCATCTGACTCTGATGATTTGACATTGATGTAGCTCACAAACAATCGATAACTGAAAATTGCTCAACATTTTGAAGCTAATGACCTAGTATCAAAGATTCAATTTCAATAATGCAGGCCTTTGACGAGGCTTATTCCCTAATTCCCTTCCAGAAAATGTTTCTTTACCTGTAATTATGAAACATACTGACGAGAATATTACATTCAGAGAAAAATAATATCCAATCATCCTGACCTTGGTTCATTAAACAAATATGGGATAATTGTCATCCAATTTTGCTAGGTAAGCTTCGTCATAAAAACTGATACTCGCAAACAAATTATTGATCAGCTATTACCCAATTACATGATCACTACCCTTTCAAATTTTGTACAAAAGATCGAGAGTCTATATGTAGCATACCCACAGCATTGTATTCAAAATGGCTGTGTATATTTGTGGGTATCAATTATCACTGATAATTTGTAGACGCTTAAACCGCTTCGGCGGCGGAGAAGAAAGACAAGAAATACGGGAAAAAGGAATGATAATGAGCCTCGAAAATGGAAGGGTTGTAAATCATTTTGGATACAATAGGACTGCAACATGATAACTGGCAGATACTCTTTTGATACGATCTTTGATAAGTTCATGATGATCACAGGTCGATCAATGGCGAAGTGCGGTATATCCCCTGCCTCCAGGGATACAGGTAGAACGGTTTTTCAATCCATTCAAGAAGTGGCTATTCACAGCGCATAATCAACTTTTCGGTAACAGAAGAGTGTCCAACTCCTATACTTCAACACAGAGTTAAAGAAAAACTTAAATTCTGGTAAAAAAGAAAGAAAATGAATTCTAACAGAATCAAACAAAACTTACACTGAATGTTCAAGATTAATGTCGTTTGTCAAACAATTTTGGTAGAAATTGTATACTGGCTGGGTAATAGGCAAAGAGCGATAAGGAAATCAAGGTAAGTAACCCCCGACACCAATTGTGTAGTCCCATATACATCTTTCTGTGTACAGTGCCTGTTACTTTACCAAGACTGGGCCAAATTTATTATGATTTTGATGACTCCAGAACCTTGCAGTACACACCAAGACATGCTACATGATCAACTTTTTCTGATCCATTCCACACCTTTTCTTTCACAATGCAATCGCATGACCAGAACTCAACCTTATCTTTAATGCCCTTCTGGGTACAAACATACAGTATACAATACAGAGTCTTTGACTTGAACAAAACCATATTCACAGACAAACCAAGCCAGCCTGTTGCTTTCTGGCATCTTTACAAACTGATGCAACATCTTTTCTCATGATCTCGTCAGTCCATTTCCTTTCTGGAATCTCCAGGTGTAAGATGTACTCATCAGGTTCGACTGATTTCCTGATAAGCTACACTGAGTCATTCTGAATAGTTTCCATCAGAGTGAGTCTGGTAAGAACTACAAGTCAAATCCCAATCCACAACTCAAACTCAAACATAATTCTTGATGCTTCAACATTTTGCTCCAGCCACAATTGCTCTAGACTTTATTAGGGTTACAATGGTGCTTTAAGTTTGGACTTCAAAATTCTTTCTTAACATTGGCAGTACCTACATGTACGATTTGGATCAATCATCAATGAAAAGCCATACAATGTAAATCCTACAAAATTGTGCAGAGAACAACCAAATTCCAATAAGTTCATGACATTTCAGTTCATATCTGTGAAAAAACAAGAATT